TGAGAAATGTTTCCATAACGCTCCTTGTAACCTCAAATTTCAGTGGGCTCGCTCAGAGCGAAGTGGCGAAGCGAAAACGAATCTCCATATTGTGTTATCTCGAGGTCGGCTTATTTTAGCTATATCTAGCGGATCACAAGCTCCACCCATCTGCCGAACTTTCTCAGCATATGGCTCGGATATATGGAGCTCTATGCCGCTAGTTAGCGAAAACGGGCAAAAATGGGTCCCAGTTTCCCAAGACCACTTTAGAAAAAATAACGTTTGAAGAAGATAACGGTTGGTTACCTTGGTTATGGTGTACTAGAACTGGGCAGTGTGTCGTCCGCGCCGAGAAGCAACGGAGGGAGGAGGTCGGCGCAGCGATGACGGAGCGCAAGGACGCCAGGGGGCGCTGCGGGTAACAGGCGTGCTCCTTCCCGCTCGGATTGCCGCGTGGTCGTACTGCCTGTGATCGCGTGGTTCGCGTCGTCGCCTTGTTTTACTGCAGTTTTTTTTTTTTTAATGCTTGAGTGAAATGGATTGTGATCGGTGCCGTTCAGTGGGATGTAGACAACGCGTGCAATGACGGAAAAACGGCGGGATAAGAGAGACGGGACGTGTTTTGTGTCGGGGCAGTGATTTCCCTACACCCCTCTACGGGGGTGCACTCCCCCCTTGTTTTTCCGAAAGCGCCCCTTTAATTCGCAACGACTCTTAAGGCCCGTTCACACTCTTGCGACTGCTTGCGACCTCTTAAACCTGGGTTCCTTAAAACTTGTTAAACCAGAAAACACACTGGCGCCATCTATTGGGAAGCAGTGTAAACCCGGCGGTCCGGCATATTTTTTTTTATTTCTCGCGCATTATCCTTCCTTTCTTGGCTCGAAAAACTTTTGACAATGTTATAAACGAGCCTTTCTATGGGTATTACGCACATTTGACCTCGAAAATCCCGCAAAACCTTCGCTCTTGTGAAATGCAGTTCCAGGGTCACCGCATAGATGGCGCCACAATGTCAGTGTGTTCCCTCATTCTAAAAACATTTATGAAGTTGTAAAAGATCTCGTCTCTCTCAGTCGTACTCGGTCGCAAGAGTGTGAACGGGCCTTTATATTCTGAATGCCCCCCGAACCCCCCCCCCCCCCCCCCCCCCCCCCCTCCCTAACCTCAATTCCTGGGGCCCGTGTCGGGTTGCAACAGTGGCTACCGGTCCTGCAAAGAAGCCCGTTCCCTTTTTCGTGCCCCTCTCGATTTCGATCGGCGTCAGTCGTCGTCCCGCAACATTAAAAGGAGTGACAGGGAGACTCTGCTTCAGGGCCGTAACCATGCAGGGGGGGGGGGGGGGGATAGGGGGTTCTGACCCCCCCCCGAAATTTTTTTCTGGGTACGGCCCTGGTCGGTGCACTTGCAGCCAGCCGATTTTAATCTCCACCTCTGCGCACGCGCAGCGGCACCGGTCGGCTACCGGGTACCAAACCGGGACCGGTTCTTCGGTTTGCTATAACTCTCCATTATATGCCACCGATGCACATGATTCATAGGCGAAAATAAGACAAAATGGCCGCCGTTGTCCCCGAAACCCCCCCCCCCCCCCCCCCCCCCCGAAATTTTTTTCTGGGTACGGCCCTGCTCTGCTTCAGGTAATGCAGGCAGTCATGACAGTCGTCCTCTGCATTTTTTTTTTTCGGACTTTTTGCACTTTAAAGTGGCCATTTGCTAAATCGGTTTTATAGACACTGGTTTGGACACACCGAAGGGTCCTGTGCACGCTGACTGCATTAGAAAGGCTTGGAGAAGTGACTGTGAAAATGTGACGTTAAAGGTTATAGCCTCACATCAGCAAATTATTTTTTTTCCTCTCTCTCTCTCTCCTAACGGTTTTAAAAAGATGAGGGTTGGCCCAGCACTCCGTCTCTTCAATGAGGAGGTGCTAAGAGGCCTCTTTTTTTACCGCAAGAAAATTGAAGGGTCTTATGGCCCAGCGGAAGATACTGAGTCCTTTATCCTGAAGATGTCGAAGCTCATCAAGATCATGACCTCATGTTGGAGAATGTAGAGGTACAAAACGCCATAGGCGCCGACTACGGGGGAGCTCGGGAGCCCCCCTCTCCCGAGCTCTTGGGAAAAGCAAGTACCATCGCCTCCGGAATCCATGGGTGTAATCTCATCTGTGCGCTGGCGCCCAGTGCATGATTAAAATTTTATCTGTGTGCCCTGGTGCCCACACACATCAATATAGCTGGTGCTCAGTGGATAAATAAGAATTTATCCACTGTGGTTACTACCAGAGCTGGTGAGTGGATACATTTTTCTAACTATTCGCACAGTCCTGTTTGAAGACCCTACGTAGTAACAGCAAATACGATAAAGGCTAGTGCTGGAAATTCCTTCGAAAGCCCGTGGAAGTAGTTGCGAGAGTCGACGGTGGCATCTCCACGCAGCCTACAGAAGTAGACGATATAGTCCGTTTTGTAAGACCCATTTTGCTTCAACCACGGATTTTATTGATCATAACTACAGTGACAGCGAAATTATAGGGTCACAAAAGCACACATTTGTTTAAGTATCATGCCATCAGCATGCTTATCCTATGTTACCCAGAGGATTACACACGTTTGGGACGTCTCTTTCAAGAGACTTCCCGAACGTTGCCCTGGGGGATGGATTTCCCGCAGCTATTCATAACGCAACATTGCTAGCGCGAACAAGCGATCGATGGTTTTTCTATGAGAAATCAAAGGATCTCAGCAAAGTTCTAATTGCTGGGGAAAAAGCTCATTCGGGTCTATAATGCAGGTGATAAAAGTTCGTCCTCGCTAATACTCTTTCGAAGTAAATGTCGGTGTCGCGATGTGTACTGTGGTGTCCTGCCCGAAGATGCACGTCTCGGGCAAAGCATTTGGCAACGAATTAGTGCGATAAATAATATGTGAAACAGCAGAACTAAAGAATACCGTAAAGAGTTAGCCAAACAATACGAAGCAATCGAACCCGTGCAGAACGCCAAGCCAGCCAAGCGCTACCGCCGCCTGCGCTCCGCACTCCGACAGCACGCCTACTACACGTTGCGCCCTCTCGCGGCCACCGATCCGGTCATCGCTGAAAGAGCCCGCCCTCCGCCGGCGCTCGCTACACTGCCCAGTCTTCTAGTACGTCTAGTACACCATACCTTGGTTCGGACCTCTAGCGCTGCATCTTGGCGGAGAATGAGCGTTCAACAAAACATTAAAAAGACGATTGAGGGGGGAGATTTGCCGTATATATATATATAAAGTAATGAATTCGCACTTCGAAACGTATTTTAAATTTACATATATGTATATATAAATTAACATACTCCTTCATTCACAAAATTCGTTTCGTGATACTAAACAAGCCTGCGGATAGTCCGCACAACGTAAAATTTCAACGGTCTGCACTCCAGAAACGACGTTCGATGGGCGGAAACAAGACGGCGGACAAGAGTTGGGGGTCTCGACTTTCGAGTCCGCAGCGCTTGCAACCATGCTGGCTGCAGCACACGCTCCCTGCTTGTCGCGGAGCGGTTTTCCCCGTGGGAGGGGGGGCCGGGGACAACAGGAAGTTGTCGTCCCGAATCTGGTTGACCTTGGGAAAGCGGGTTTCGCGCTCGGTGCAAATAAAAGGGGAAAAGAAAAAAACTTTCGGGGGTTGGCTTTTTTGTATATATAGTTTTTTTTTTTTTTTTTGTTAGTAGTGCTGTGGTGCCGGCGTGGTGTGGATGCCTCTTGCTCAATGTTAAAAAAACTAAAAAGAAATACTGGGAACAAACCAAAACAAACATTAGAGCCGCAGGCGCCGGCCCGCTCGGCTCGTAGCGAGGAGGCCCCTCGATGAGGGGACGCGAGACCGTGATTGTGAGTGGCTGGCCGTGAGTGTGAGCTCCTCATGAGTGTGAGTAGCCGTGATGGGGTTGTGAGTGGGGCTTCCTCATCATGAGTGTGAGTAGCCGTGAAGGCGGCGACTCCGAGGGGCCGTGATGTGAGTGGCTGGCCGTGAGTGTGGTCTCCTCATGAGTGTGGGTAGCCGTGATGGGGTCATGAGTGGGACCTCCTCTTCATGAGCGTAAGTAGCCGTGATCGGGGCGACTCTGAGGGGCCGTGATGTGAGTGGCTGGCCGTGAGTGTGAGCTACTCATGAGTGTGAGTAGCCGTGATGCGGCCGTGAGTGGGGCCTCCTCTTCATGAGTGTGAGTAGCCGTGAAGGGGGCGACTCTGAGGGGCCGTGATGTGAGTGACTGGCTGTGAGTGGGACCTCCTCGTGATTGTGAGTAACCATGATGGGGGCGAGTTTGCGGGTGCGTGATGTGATTGGCTATGAGTCTTTGGCACAGTTGAACTCTGTGATGTGAAGGGCTGTGACTTTTGAATGGTGGTGTACTTTGTGATGTGATTCCGAATGACTTTGATGGGCTGCCAATTTCGGTGATGTGATGGTGAGTGAGTGGGTCCTAAAATGCCGACCTATGGTCCTGACCCCCCTCTTGATTTCTGTATGCGTAAAATTTAGGGCGTAAAACGAAGGAGAAGGAGAGGGGGTTCCTAAACATATGGTACGCTGACCAACACCTGACCCCCCCCCCCCCCTCAAGAAATTCCTATATCCGCCCCTGGGTGTAAAAACGGTACCCAGAAACCTCGCCCATCGTTACCGTATCTATCAACCTCACTTCCATTACTCGTCAGTCGTCTAGGTGGCGCAAGTCACCGCCCGATTCGAATAATTTACATGCAATTATTTTTTTAATTATTAAATTTCTGAACCTTTTTATGGCTGGTTAGTTCCGCACATACGGATCTTGTCTTGATTATTTTTCTTATCGGGCACGTTTTTAAAATATTTGAGTCACCCCGATTTTTCGCCCGGCAACAAAAATGATACTGAAAAACACTGAATCTCTAAAAAAAAAAACCGAAAAACATATTAGAATTGTACAAAAATAAACTCCGAAACGTACATTGAACGTACTGCTTAACGTAACTTCAGTAACGCTGAGTTCAGTCCGCTGGGCCCGCACAATCGTCATCAGTAACAAGAAAAAACGCGGGAAGCGCTGAGTGAAAGCCGTGAAAGCGCTACGGACGGACACGGACAGCAAAATCGGGTGGTGCTCTCAAGATGGAAAATACAAAGCATGCTCTGCTGGAATTGCTCTCCACCTTAAGCTGCGCGCAATGGCAAGTCGTCTATCATTCTTTTATTGCCAGTACATACTTTGACTGTCGATTCCAAGATACCACATAATCACCATCGCTAGACGCGGCAACGCGGGCCTCCTTCGCCTTTCTGCGGTGTCGCCGCTCTCCTGATCCGCCAATAAAGGTTATTTTATTACTAGAGAGCGTTAAAAGTCATCCTACCGCGTACACACGTTTCTACTCTTTACAAAAACCACAGTCCAGCCAGCGCTCGCTCGCAACTGCGGCCAGCCAGAAAGTGCGCGTGCATAATACCAAAAACAATGAACGTGCTAACATACGTTTTTATGGAAAGTAAGTGAGAAAATGGTTTATTTATTAGAGGAAAATAAAAATTCATGATGAAACTGGCAAGCTGGCTAATCTTCGAAAAACTCGCTTTTAGCACGCGGCAGACAGCTCATAACAACAATATGGTGGACGAAATTACCACTTCTTTTCATAATAGCAGAGCGAACGCTGGAGAGGAGGCGACCAACTCTCCAGCGTTCGCTCTGCTAAAGTGGAAAGAGGTGGGAGGAGCTTCCACTTCCTTCTTGACCTGTCATCGACTGTACACCAGCTGATGTTTGCAAACAAACCGGAGCACCTCTAGTGGCACGCCACCGGCGCCACGCATGCGCACTGAGGTGTGGGCAAGAAGCGCTGCGTCCCACATCAACAAACCAGAGGAATATGATGTTGTCAACATCGGTGTGAGTCCCCATGTTCATTTTCACGTTGGAATTGTTCATTCTACATCTTCCTAGCATTGTCTTACTACTTTAGGGGCCTGAGCAAAATTAACAAGGTTGATTAGACCACAAAACTTTGTGAAAATAATAGGACTTGTGGCGATTCATTGCGTGTGAATGCTGTAAAATCAATGCTAATGCCCGATTCACATGATGAGATTCTGCTCACTATTTTCAGTCGCAACGTCGCTCGGCGTGCATTAGCTTGGACGGTAGCTGCGGTGCTCAACATCATTACTGAAAATCGCAAACAGAATTGGACCAAGTGAATCGGGCATAACAAGGCGGTGATGGCCACAGATAACAATGATAATTTCCTTGTATCTACTGTTTACACCGAGCCTACTTACCCCAAACAACCTTCAAACTTAAAAATCTTCTGAGGCTTGGACTTCCTATCCCAACGTTCGGTCTACTCGCCGCTGTCGTTTTGAATAAGCAGACAACATTTTGAAAGAACTTGATGGTTTTCCTATGTTCATATTGGAACAAAATAAATAAATTGGTGATGGCAAGGCAAGTATCCGTGAATTTAAACCACAGTGTTTCCAGCATGAGTAATCATAGTCTGACAGAGTCTGAATTTCCCTTTTCACGGCACCTATCCACGTTCTCGGACGAACCAAGCAGGCAGAGAAAACACTGAAAACGGATCTTCACGCCTTTCCCGGCTATTGGTACAATCCCGGTCGTGGTGTTTTGGCTAGAAGACAGATTTTAGTCTGGTTTCTTCCGAAACGACACAAGAATGCCCGTCCCGCATGGCGACTTCCGCCCACGCCCCCTGATTGGAAATGCACCTGAAACGCCACCACCGCGGCGTGACGTAACAGAGTTGAGTTGGTGTATAGATTCTCAAATCGTTTCCCGTAACTTGGCAAAGAGCGAACGCTACAACCCCTTCGAGCCAACTGGAGCGACGAAGGTGAAGCACGTGAGATCGTAACCTGAGAATCGTGCCCGGGCTCGTTTGCGTGTCCCAGACCGCTTTTCTCCCCACAGGGAAACTTGGCCCAAAAGTGACTTTCCTTTCTCTGCTGCCCTTGACAGCACTGCGCGCAACTAGTGAGATAAGACGGGTGTCTCCCTCTGACGCACCGATTGGCTCGCTGGGTCCGTAGCCTTCCCCATCTGCCAAGTTACGGTTAGAGGGAGTATAAGGGTAGCCCTTACAAGGGTTGGATGGCTCCGTTTTTCTGTGCAGCAAGGAGTTGCTGTCTGAGCCCCACGTCGTCGGACTCTGTGGTCACACCGTCTGCAGGTGAGCCGTCGTCCTGTGTGCACACCGCCCGTGGTTATGGTGCCAGATCAGGGGAGCTTCGTCGTGCTTGCAAGCTCTTCGGACTAATGTGTCCATCCCTCCCAAAGCTCTTCTCTTCCAAGCTTGTCTTCCAGAATAGATCTGACGGACCTTTTGCTAAAATGCCAAAAGACCACGAGTGCAGTCCTTGCCCCCACGTGGCACTAAAAAAAGCGAGAGGGTTGTGCAGTTGCTCGCCTGCCTTTGCCCGTTCGCCGTCATCTCCGAGGTCGCCTCCGTCGTCCGCTACGATAGGTTGTACCTCGAGTTCCGGCAATTCCTTTTGGCACCACAGAAGGTGCAGCATGCTTTGCAGAAGGTCTATATTCTATGTCAGTTCTCGAGAAAGCTGAAAGTGTCTTTGGTACTGACATCATAACGTTGGGTTCAGTTGAGCATTTAATGAGGTTGCAGATGGCATGGCATTGTGGCCAAGCAGGTATGTGCTCTGAGGCTGTTGTAGGGGGAGCGAATAACTGTGAAAGGGGGTAATGGGGAAAGCTCCATACAGGTATGGGAGAGTTGAGTGAAACAAGTTATGGGGTAATTGAAAGTTTTAATTGTGTGGTAGCAAATCGAGAGGCTCAAAAAGTTAATTGCGAGTGTGCTTGTCAGCTTTTGAGCGCATACTCACTTTGATAATACAGGTGAAACAAATGTGGAATGGTCGAACGAAGGGCCTCGAGACACTGGCAGACGTCCTTCCTTCCACTTTCAAAACTGGCTGCAATCTTATTGAATGCTGACACGAAACAGTCAAATATACTTACAGGTCCGCTTTAGTCAATATTTGAGGGCACTCTCTGTTTCAGCGTGCCTACCCATTACTTTGACCTTACAGCTGCAGTGATGGAAGTGCTGTGCCATTTGTGCTAAGTTGTGCCATCAACGAAATTCTGCTATATCTTGCGCCAAAGTGCTATTTTTGCTAAGCATTCAAAACAGTCTCGAAAACACATTTGAAAGTGCCTGAAGGGCATGGTCGTGCATGCTTGCAGGCAGTGCATTGCGAGTGCCGAGGCCTGTGGCATCTGTGGTACACCAACGACGCACCGCGAAGTAAAACCGGATCATCAGATAAAGAATTTGATCACCTGCACTGCACAGCTTAAGGATTTGCTGTTCACACTAACCCCAGGTATGTTTCTTCTTTCTTTTCGTCAAGTTGGGCCAGAGCAGGAGTCCTGAAACTTTGCAATTTCAACAAACCCCTTTCTGGCTTGACTGGAAGCCGAGGAACTGCTGCCAGTCTAGAAGATTAATGCAGTAAAGCAGTTATCAGGTCTCCAGGCCCTATAAGCAGTAAGGCACATGATACGAGATGTTTGGTTCATAGTTATGCATTACTAGATACCTCAGATATGTTCAACTAGTGCTTAAAGGCGTGGTGCAACGATTATCGGATTTTGGCCAATTAATCGCAGGAATTGTTCTATGTCTCCTGTAAAGTGTGTGGCGGTCAGTTAGAGGAAACGGGGCATTATTTTGAAGTGTATAATGATCAGTTGAGGAAACGGGGCATTATTTTCGTTGGCCCAGTTGCCACCACCAGCATGTTGCTCTCACGTGGACCTTGCAACTTTTTTAATGTGTGCATTGTTGGTGATGCAAGGCTTATGTTTGTGTGGAGAACTCTGAGAGACAAGCTTTGCCAATTTTGGCCTGTTGCATCCTTGGCCATAGCGTGGGCAAAAAGAGCTTTTAATTATGCATTTGTTTTCTTCAGGTCCTGCTGTTACTTCACGGACCACATCCCACATCCCCGAGGTCGAGGAGAGGTCTAACAATGGTACGCAATTGCTAACATTCAAACTCCAAACGATGAATTGCAGCTTTTTCACAGATGATGACTGTTATGACTGTGAAGCAAAACATCTATCTGCGCTCCTTTTCTAAATAACTTGACAAACGGTGAAAGCAACAGACTGTTGGAGAGGGCATGCGGCATCTGCAGCAGGGTATTTCTGAGTGCTATTCAAGCATAAACGGGGTATTTCTGAGTGCTATTCAAGCATAAAAAAATGTATATAATTAAACAAATTAACATATTGCGTGATTAAACTTTTCACACAAGGTGGTACCCAAACTTTATAAATGCAGGTTTTAGAAAAATGAAAAAAATAAATTAAGCCTAAAATAGTTTGTTTATTTTCTAACTACTATCTGGTTGATGCCGCTACTCACAGATGGCATAACATAAAGCAAAAATGTGAGAGCTTCTTTGAGATAAACACCGAATGCAGATCTGAGCAGGTGAGTGAGTAGCAGCAATGATTAGACATTTTTTCATTGTGGCAAAATATTGAATATTCAGTTATGAAGTCCTTTATTCGTTAGCATATTATTTTTTTCGAAAACTGTGTTAATTATACTTAAAACTGAAATTGATCTACAGCTAGTCTATAACTAATGACTATGACTAATAAATTGGTCTATAACGTTTTGATTATTAGTGGAGTTAATATCTAGTTCTAATACCCTGCAAACCTGCGCATAATCTATTTTATTCCGCTGTTCAGGTCGACCAGATTTTCTTTTATGAATGATCTCTTTTTTTAAAACAAGAAAAATGGCCAAGTGGTCAGCTATCAAGCTTAGGTAAACACCAGCATGGACATCCATATCAGTATTGCAAAATGCATGATTAATAAATGTACTGGAGGTGCTAGTAATGCGAGTAAGTTCACTAATGAAGTTGTGTAAGTAGAAAGATTCTAAAAGCAGCATATAGCTATTATGCGTATCATTCGCCAGATCAATATTAAAGCCTCCAACAACTACAATGCAATCATTCCGTCCATTAGACAATGCTGTAAGCACTGCCTCGAATTTTACAAGAAAGGAGTTTACTAACGAGCTTGGAGGTCGATACACTACATTGACTATTACGCCACAATCAAGCTTTATAAAAAGTGCTTCAATGACATCATCACTAATAGTGGCAGGTGATAGAACCTAAAAGACAATATTTTCTTTCACAAAAAACGCGATGCCTCCACCTCTCGTATGTGTATCACATGGAAGATATGATAACTTGTAGCCACGCATAACAATGCTTTCATTGTTTTTTAACCAAGTTTCATTTACTGCGATTACATCAAAACCAAGCGCATGCTGGGAAACATGCCTAACTAAGAGTTAGAGCTTTTTCGTAAACTACGTACATTGCAATGAAAAATCGAAAGATTATCTTTGTTCGTTTCAGTTGTTCAACACGCTGAAAAGTGAAAGACATGATAAACGCAGTAACACAATTCTTTGCGTCAGGTTCAGAACAGTTGCACCACCCTCATCAAATCCCCTTCACACGTGATGTACGAGACAGGCGAGTTCTCAGTCTTCCGCATTAGGACCTTGCCCTGTGACACCCACACATATTTCCAGTTTTACGTTACTAGATGATACCCGTCCACTGTTTGGGCATGTTTCTGACAGCGTAGCGAGTGGGCCTTTTGCAAGGCCCTTTGACCCACACTGATCTAATGGCAGTGTCTGTTCAGCCAAGGATGAGCGGCCACCCGAACAAGCCCCCAGCAAGGATCCTCCGCCAATGGCCCCCAGCAGTGCTGGATCGTCGGACCGCCGGACATCCAAAGGAACAACCAATCCAGTCTCCAAGGCACTTGAAAAGCGCAACAAGCTGGGGGAGACCATGCTTCAAGTGGCAGCCATTAAGGTCTGTCCCAATGGAATGTTTTCAAAGTCCCTTTCAATGACTGTTTCATGTTTATCTTCAATGCTCATTTTTTTAACAAAGAATGCATTTTATGCGGCATTTTCTATTAAAACATTGTCACAAATGAGCATCATATCGAGCGTCATGAGCGAGCAACACGCTGGGAGTGTTAGAGACGTTAAGAAGAAGAAAGGGCAGAAAGGAAGACAAAGAAGTTAACCTGGGGTATTTTGTCCCGGTTTGCTACTTTTTAGAGACGTTAAGGTTATATGTAAGGTTTATATATAAATTTTATAAAAGTTATAAAGCAAAAATGAAGGTATTTTCCCCAGATAAAGGTCCTGAAAAAAATACTTTGACACTTCTGGAACTTGCTCTAACAGAGACGTGAAATTTGATGGAAGCAAGTGTAGACCGTCTGTCGAACCGTGAATTAACGTGTGCAAAATATAACATCCCGAAGAAACCTTCCGTCATGTAAAATATGCAGTTTTACTCTGGCTGAACTTGAATTATGTTCATAACGGTTCTCTCTGTAGTGGGCGGGAGTGGTTTTGCTGCCCATCAGTCTGGCTTATTGCCCATCTCTGCTGTGTCCAGCCCACTTCTATATTTTGCCTCCGCTGGACAAGATGACGCTGATTCCTAAAATGCACGACGACCCAGATTGTCAAATTGGCAGACTTGTGTGGCTACGCAATGGAATTGCACAATTTCTGTAAACAAAATCGCTGCTGTGCGGCAGAGAAACTGCCGAGAATGACCAAAAGTTGCAGCCGTCGCCCCTTCCGCCTCCTCCCAATACCCCAGAAATTGTGATATGTACACATCTCAAAAGTTTCTTGGGAGAACTCTGGTTCATAATTACTAGGGTTCCATGTATTCTATAAATACCAATGAACTCCAAAGGGTAACCCCTAGACTGTTTTATAAAAACGAGGGAAGGCGAAAAAATGCCGAATTGGAGCTTTCCTTGAACAAGAAAAACCCGTGGAAAGAAAATCTTTATCTACAGTTTTATCTTGCGTTAACCCGGAACTGAACTGTTCATGAGGTGGCTGCTTCCTTCGCAACTCCTTCTCTTACTGATACCGGGACATTTTCCATGCATGCAGGTCACTTGCGTGTTTCCCAAAGGTGTCCCATTTTCTCCTACATATACACACACCCATTTTGTGCCCAACACCAAATTTCGACACCGGAAAACACAGAATTTGCAGTAAAAAAAAGATGCCCAAACCCCTCCCCCCCATCCCCCCCGAATTTCAAGAAAAATAAACTCCACGAAACCCTACTTACAATGAAATTGACTAGCATGTCTATCATAGATGATGCGAAATACCGTTCCAAACTACAGATGCGAATTCGAGTGCCTGAGACTACTTTAGGTGAGCTGATATATTCCCAACATTCCTAAGGACTGGCTAACAGTGGTTAAAAGTCTGTTGTTTGGACCACCACGAGGCATGTGGGACACGCTGACCCACTGCTTGTGTGCTTCCGATAGTTTGTTCCGCCAATTATTGGTCATGGCTGCGTTGAACGTTGTGCACCAGTCTGGCGCAAACACTCTCCAAAGTCTCACTTTTCAAGCACAACCAGCCACTTTTGTGACGAGTGTGTGCCAGGCAGTCGGATGCCTGCCGGAAGTCGAACGCGAATAAAGGAGCAGAAAGCAAGTGGGCGTTGCACATTTCCAACTTTCGGCGTAATCCGCGTAGCTCGCGAAAATGCTCGTTAGCAACTGACAAAGTGCACAGAGCCAAAGTGTTCCAGATTGAGGGTTTCTTGAATTGCACAATCCGACCATCTTCGGCAATCGTCGTTCGTTGATCGTTGAACAATCGTTGACACCACTTTTGGCTGGAGATCGTAGTGATCCCGGCGAGACAATGGCATGGGCGAGATCCAACATGTGGATTGCTGACCATCGGTCTAGCCTAGGGTTGAAGCAGATAACGCTTGAAGCAGCATATGCATTAATTCTATGGTCGACGACAGGTCAAGAGTTTCGGGGAAGCTCGTCGCACCTCTTTCCACTTTAGCAGAGCCGATGCTAGAGAGGAGGTTGCCTCCTCTTCAGTGTTGGTTCTGTTAAATGGGAAAGAGAAGGGAGAAGCCTCCCCTAAACTCAACCTGTCACCAAATATAGTAATGTGTGCCCCTGTTCTGGCGATCACATACGACTAGAGGACACACTGGCACCCGGTGCCACCTACGAGGTGGCCCTGTAACTGCATTTTACTAGAACAAAGGTTTTGCAGTCTTTGCGAGATCAAACTGTTGTGTATTCAAGTTCTCCCGCCCCGGTCCTCACCAAGGCATTGCATATATTGGGGTTCCCCCAATTAGCGCCAGATGGGACCATGCGTCTGGAAAGCAACGAACCAGGGACTCGCCTCCACAAGCTCCACAGCATCCTTGGGAATGCAGCTCCGGATGCGTGCTCCTGTCTAGCGCTATTTGGGGGAACCCCAATATGTGCGATGCCTCGGTGAGGACCGGGGCGGGAGAACTTGAATACACAACACAAACGTGCATACACTGTCTACAAGAAACGGTCGCTTATAACGTGGTTGAAAGGTTCTCGAGTCAATGAAAAAAAAGAGATTTGATGCATGAAAAAGTAGGAAATATGCGGAAATCACGGGCGTTCTTTGGCTGCGCTGTCACGATGCCGGCGGGTCCTTTCGTCGTAGGAGGTTACGAGAGCTGCATCCGGTCGTAAGCAGTCGCTAATGCGGGCCTCACTTGGCACGAGGGACCTGCTTTTCCTTTCTTTTATTAATGCGAAAGCATTAACTGTCTCACGGAGGGAACCGACGTCATCAGCTTTGAAACCACGCCAAACTGGCCAAATGGCATCTAAAATACCCTTTTTCAAGTGGAGCCGATTTCTGATGAATTATGCTCCAATTGGCTGGCGCGCGTCATCAGGGAACCAGAGAAGCCCTCTCCATGGCGGCGCAGTGCACGCAGAGGCCAACGTTACTAGATTACCTCAGTTGTGGAACTTCCACAGAAGGGGCTACCCCCCCTCACTCACTTCAGTCTGCCTCCAATCTTTTGAAGCGCCATCTAGATTTTCGTTTACGAACTGTGTATTCTATAGAGTACGGTGGAATGTCATTGAGACGCTGCACTTCGAAACGTACGTATCCCATAGAATACACTGCAGTTACCAAAGCAGCCATCCGGCGCATCGAACGACTGGAGGCGAGTTGTGGTGAGTGATGGGTGAGTACTGCTCGTACATGCAGCGTCTATGAGCAGTTCCGTATCTGAGCTAATCTAACAACGTTGGCCGCGGCGCGGCTGCCGGTAAGAGGAGGGGGCGGTGGCGGCAGAGTCGGAGCCTACCCGGGCAGACTCCAGAGAGGTGGCACGGCCGAGTTCGGTGCGGCCACTTCACGAAGTCGCGCGCTCAGCCGTCCGCCGGCGGAACGTGGTCGTCCATGCCACTACGCCACAGACAAACTAAGGGAGCGAAAGAACTACATTCATGCTTTCGCATTCACAACCCATAAGAAGTGCTTACGTGTCCTTGGAGTTTTTGTGCCCTTTCGTGCGCTGTTTTTAGGGGGCTTTTTCCTTGACGTGTTCCCGTGCATTCCTGACGCTTGCAGGGCAATGCAGACCGGGTGAGGCAGCTGCTGGAGGAGGGGGCCGACCCGAACGTCAAAGACAACGCAGGCTGGACCCCCCTGGTACGCCTCTCCTCTGCCCCCTACTACGGTGCCCCCCATGCATCTCTGATTGATGTCGTCTACCACGTCTTAAAGAGCGCTTCCTCGATTTCTGCCCAACTCGGTCTGCTCTGCTCAGCACGAGGCCTGCAACCACGGCTTCCGGGAGGTGGCACGCCTGCTGCTGAGCCATGGCGCATGCGTGGACGTGGCCGGGCCCGGAGGGGTGACCCCCCTGCACGACGCCACCGTCAACGGTCACCCAGACATCGTGCTGCTTCTGGTGCGCTCCGGTGCCACTCTCGACGCCAAGTAAGTGCCTCTCGGGTTTGGTCGCCTCAGATATGCTGCCCAAGACACGCCTTGATTTATCTGTTTAGCCGAGTGCTCCAGTTCGTTCTCAAGTGCCGTTTCTGAGCATGATGTGCTCAGAGACTTTAGGAAGAAGGCAGACTAGACACGACTCCACAGAGATTGCCGTCGGCGAATAACACAAAAATTTGAGTCGGAGCTGAAAAGAAAGCAAGGTAAACTAGAAGTCACAATCACTTGAAATTCGGGAATGACCTTAACGAGTTCGACTGGATTGTTTCTAAGGCTTATTTATTGTTCCCATTCCGTTTTTTGTTATCACTAAGTTCTACATATAAAATGTAATTGAGGTTATACTCAAATTAGAATATATTTTTTTACCCGAATGAATAATTGCAGTTCTATTACACCCTTTAGACCTTTAATTATACGTCAATTTGGGTGCTCAATATTATTCTACTCTGTCATTATTTTTACAGAACATAATTTGGTTTACCTTGAGCTCCATTTCTAAAATGGCCATTCACTGCAGTTCATACGGTCCTTCACACTCAGCATATTGCTGTCGTGACTGGTGCTTCTACATGCAACTAAACAGCTGGCTACAGGCACGTAGCCAGGATTTTGGTTTAAGGGGGGGGGGCCGCCCATGACAAAATGCTGTATGAGGGAGAGGGGGAGAGGAGGTCCCAGCAAAATGAAAGATTTCGGGGAGGGGGGGGGGGCCTGGGCCCCATGGGTCTCCCCCCTGGCTACGTGCCTGGCTAGCAAGTTCTGTGTTAAACAAACTTTTAGCTGCTGCAAAATATGCTCCAAAACGACTCGGACCAATCACATTACTGATATGGCTAAATTGAATGTTTGATGAAATTTAAAACTCCATATAAATTAGTTTGCAATAATAAATTAAGCTAAAGAGGTACCAGTGGATAGCACATGTATAAGACTGCAGGCATCTAGTGTTTAGTAAGCAACACTTGTAACGAATTTAAGATGCGAGGCTCTAAATATGCCACCAAAACATAAAATGTATGATGTCTGGCATTCATTTTCTCTGACATTCGCTAAAGCAATTCAGTTTAAACAAAATAATAGGCTGTGCATCGTACATTCATAAAAAATAAATTTTGTGTTTTTTTGTCTTTGTTTTTTTTTTAGCTTGTTTTAGCAATTGACAGAACTACTGTTGAGGCCGGTTATAACGAAGTCAACGGGAATCGGAAATCACTATTTCGTTATAACCGACTTCGGTATAGCCACTCTCGATAGTAGGTACAAGAATCAAGCACCCAAAATGTAGTATTTCACTAAGATTGAAAGATGGGCTAGTTGGTACATTGTTGGACTGAAGTGCCGAACAAACAGGGACGAAGAAGTAGACAGAGACATGGCGCGTTTGTAGTATTCCACCGTGCTCGACGCAAAATATTTTATAAAAAAAATAGAAAAAAAAATTATTTTAGAAAGTTTGAAGAGTGGGTTTGTTCAATATGAACCTGAGACTTTTCTTTATAATAATTTGAGGCAAAACAAAATACCCACTCCGACACGCACGTTCGGTTGTGATTTGCTACCCACGGCCGTCGTCTTAAAGACGTCTGGGTGACGCAACAGCCGAGAGGGGGCGTCAGCTGTTGACACGGCTGAGAGAACCAGACAAGGAATCTTTTTCATTGTTTTTGTGTTTTTTCAGCGTGCTTTACCAGCAAAAGTAACAAAATAAAGCACAGACCAAAAAAGTCCGCACTTCAAATATAAGATTGACTGCTATCGTAGATTAGGGTCTGTGCTCTTGCTTGTACTTGCCTCCGTCTTTCGCCAGTTGTGCCAATCAGACGCCTTTTGTTAGCTGACGGGCGCCTTAGGTAGCGAAATCAGGTTGTTAATTATATATGTTTTACTCGGGTAAGTTCACTCTTCCAAATTTTGATACACAAAATGCAAAATCTCGGCCACTTCGGTACAAAATCTCGACATGTTAAGGTTCTCAAACTTTACCATCTCTTTTGAATGACAGCCCTTCCAGGTTTTGACACTGACACAATAAGACCATACAGAAGCATACAGAACTTGTAAAATAAGGCTATATACTAGAGAGCCTGGCCCATAGTTATCCATCAGTGGATAGCTCAGATCTGCTAAAATTGTATGTGAAAAACATTTTTCTTTGGAGTCAAGGAATTTTGAGAGTTTGAGGAACTCCTCAGTGTATCCTGGGGAACTTTTGTGGGTATCCTGGAGAACGAGGGTATTCTGGGGAACACCTGGTTTCCTAGGAACCTATTTTGAGAACCTGTATGTTAAGGAATCGGTTTATGCGGCCCCTTCGAAGAATCAACAATCCACTTGAGTCGTGCGATAGAGAGCATGCGGTCTCGGCACCTCAGATATCTCTCCGAGGTTTCCCTGGTGTTTATGCCAAGCACCCGTGTCCGGGCTGATCTCTGATTGGCTGCTCTGCCATGCAGGACCAGTGACGGCCTCACAGCCCAAGATCTGGCTCAGGGGGAGGTGATGAGGGCAGCTCTCTGCACGGCCGTTCCGCCAAAGGTGGTCGCCCTCCGGTCTGGGGTGAGCTTCGTACCGACGACCCCACCTGCCACGTGGCACCTCTTACGGAGCCCATTAATATAAGATTGGCTTGGCCTGCTCGGCAGAACATTGTGTGCAAGCCTAAGGTCTGGCTTGGTTTTCGGTTTCTGAACTTGTTCCATGTGCTCTCCGGCAGATGGCAGCACTACTACTCTCATTGCGTCCCCTTTGAGCTGTTTCGTTGTTTGTTTATTGGAATTTTATCGAGAGGGGCCCCTCCTTGATGGCTCGCTTTTGGCCGGCACGTACTCTTGCGAAGGGCTACCTGATTAATGGTTTGTATGTAATCGACATCACTCTGCTCGACTCCTATGTAAGCTAAAGCGGCTGAGTGGAGGCTGCGGAACTAGGGACGACTGTGGCCTAGATCTCGCTGGAGCAATTTTGAAGAGTTTGACTTCCCGGCTAGGCGATGCATGTCGTGTTGCAGCAGAAACACGCCTCTTCTTTAAGGAGCAAATTACGCTTGCCACAGAACTGTAACTTCCCGTCGGAAAGAGAAAAGCTCGACATGAGTGTACTATGTAGGCACTGTCCACAACAAAAGAAGTGAGGCAACATGAAACTGTGGATGGTGGAAGGTGGCTCTTCATCTTGCACTATCCACACTCTTGCTCTTCCTGATTGTTTCTGACAGTACTGCACTGCAAGGAACTACTTAAAAGAAAACTGAAGCACTTTTCAAGAAATTTGAGTTAGGAGGAGAGCTCCTGCACAAGTCGTCTGCTTCTTGCGCAGGAGTTGTGGTGACATCAGAATGACACCGAGCTCTGATTGGCTTTGATTGAATGTATGGTGGGTAGACCTCAATGCTAAATGTCTTGAAGTTTACCCACTATTTTTTTTAATCAGCCAATAAGAGCTTAGTGTTCTGACATCATTGCAACCCCTGTGCAAGAAGCAGACAAACTTGTGCTCCGCATAGCATTTCGTCCCGTGGATTCAGTTATCGCATTTATCTTGGGCAGAAGTAAACGTAAACCTGATTTGTTTTTAAAAAGGCTCGAGGTACACCTAAGCACTTCTTATGAGTTGTGAATGCGAAAGCATGCAAGCCACTCGTTCGCTCCCTTCAGTCTGCGGCATACAACGCGCTGACTTTGGGCGTGGAACGGTAGAGCCACTGCCTCGCGGACATGCAGCGCCATCGGGTGAATGATTGTTCAAACTGTCGTGTGCCTTGCGGTGCGAGGAAGGAAGAGACAGCAACATAGTTCCCAGCAGAACGAACCCCTTGGTTTATTCTATGCGCCGTATATACTTCCACGCGCCCTACAACCGATAAGCGGCGAGCGAACGCAGTAATCAGTGACAACACAACTGTGTAATAACGCAGTCAGGATGACACTACACAAACTGACGCGCAGCGGCCAATGGGAGCCTCGTCGACGCGCCAGCCAATGGGACCGAAGTGTAAAAGGTGCCGTTGGCTCGTTTTGCATGGTTTCAAAGCTGATGACGTCGGCTCACTCCATGAGACCAGTTAATGCTTTCGCATTAAAATATGTGCAGCAATTGCCGCCGGGTATGCAATGATCCTCTCTGCCGTTTGTTATCTGTCCAGAGGGTCGTGACGTCATTGACGGCATCCCCGAGCCACCTTAGTGGCCAGCACCCTGCTGCCGACGTCACTTGTGGTTTTTTTCTCTGCTCTCACGTTTCCCTACCGTCGGCGCGCTGCAACAGGCGGGTGTACGTCGAAATTTTAATTGACTATTACGACGCTCCTACTAATAAGATTGAAATAAAACTGAAGGCACGTAATTTTTAAGGTGTCTACATTACAGCTTTTATTGTTTGTTAGACTTCAAGGACCTTTTCAGCTTCTCTTTAATGAACCTCAAAGAGCAAAAAGTTATGCTCGAAACGAAACTTGCAAAAAACATTTTTTTAAAGTGCCTAAATAAGACAATACTTCATAAAATAAATTTTCCTAAAAAAAAAAAAAATTAAAGCGGTTTACAAATCCCTGTAACGCCGGTTGGAGCGCAGCTCTTGAGGAGGAGGATGGAAGCGTACTGAGGGACAGCTGACTCCTTAAGGTCACGTGACCTCATGGGAGGTCGGGTGACTTCAAGGGGGTCACGTGACCTCGGGGGAGGGGGTCACGTGACCCTTCACGTGACCTCAGAGGGTCACATGACCTCGGGAGAATCACGTGACCTCAGGCGGCCACGTGACCTCAGGGGGTTCACGTGACCTCAGGGGGTTCACGTGACTCCAGGGGGTCACGTGACCTCAGTGGGGTCACGTGACCTCAGGGGGTCATGTGACCTCAGGGGTCACGTGACCTCAGGGGTCACGTGACCTCAGGGGGTTCACGTGACTCCAGGGGGTCACGTGACCTCAGTCGGGTCACGTGACCTCAGGCGGTCACGTGACCTTGACGATGACGATTTGCTGACGTTATCAGTGACGTCACTGATGACGTCATCAGTGATGATGACGATGACGATGCGGATGACGATAACGTCATCAGGTTGCATGCAACCTGGATTGCATGCAACAGGTTGCATACAACTTGTTGTATGCGAGTTGCATGCAACTCCCGAAGGAACCTGAGGTCCTCCCGAGGTCTACCGAAGAAACCTGAGGTCCTCCCGAAGGGACCCGAGGTCCTCTCGAAGGACCTCGGGTTCCTTCGGGACGACCTCGGGTTCCTTCGGGAGTCCTCGGGTCCCTTCGGAAAAATTTACCCATAATGCACCGCGCGGTTACGCCGACGGCGATGGCGACGCCGCTCAAGCCGGAAACGGGTGCCTAAGAGCTGCGCTCTAAAAAAAAAAGAATATTCCACGCAATAATTATGTTGTGAAACACAATTTAGATGGAGGTGTACTCCGCCCACGCCCCACTATAGAAACCGCCCATTGGTATTGGCCCACTAGTTTTGGACTGGCTGCTCGGCCAAACACCGCATGCAAGCCTAATGTCTCCTTGTCACAATGTTCGGTTAGTTCAGTCTGGCATCTGACACTGCCTGCTGCTCATGTGAGCAGCGACACTGCAACATCCGACGCCGTATGCCATCGTCTGCTACTCCACCACTGTATACAACCGTCTGCAGCGCCCAGAAGACGCTTTCATGAAAGCGGCATTCTAGCGTCCCTTTGTGCACGAGCCACAATCCAATACAAGCACCCATCAATACACGCTAAAAAGCGCTTGAAAGGACTAAAAGAAAATTAAAGAAATGTGCAGTCCTCTCAGCTTGTCTGTTGTTGGTTTACTTCATAGCATTTGCGAGCAAGGTGGGGAAGAGTCATGACGCACAGTCAAAACGCAACCTAAATTATTTGCTTTTGCAAGCAGGTGCGTTGCTCAAAACATCATCTTGGACTGGTGTTGGTGTGTCTGGCGTCTCATGTCGCCCACGCAGGGAAAGTAATCCCAAAGGTGCAACGAGCAACGTCACGGGACTGCAGTAAGCGACTGCGGTCCGTCTGGCTTTGCAGGGTGTGGCATCCGGCCCTCCCCCGGTGCTCCTGGCCTCTGGGCTGGACGAGGCCCAGTGCAGGGATCTGGCACGCTGTGCAGAGATGCTTGGCGGCAGCTGCCGCTCCTCCTTCTCCGAGGAAGGTGCGTGGGGCGGGGCTTCTCAAACCCTAGGACACCATCGTCCCCGCCCCCGTGGAGAGCGTTTTAACAGCACTGTTTTATCTTAGCCTCTCATCAACGCATAGCTACGATCCAGACACTACACCCTCGTCTAGAGCAGCTGATATATGCAATAATGTGCATTATTGTTTACAAGGTCTGTAAGCTTTTGCGCCGCTTTATTGCGTCGCTACCGAGACCGGGAGGGTTGCTCGGTTGTCAATTGATAGAGGTGGGCATTCCTCAATATCAAAAAGTATGGATCCCAGCTTTAGAGGAACGTTGCTGTAACGAGGAAGATGTGAAACTGCCTTTTAGATGTCACTAAACACATTTTTGTGTTCCTCTGTCCCCCCAACATTTTTTAACACAACACTTATTGCTGTATCTAATGTTGCTATACCTAATAACTTTTCAACATAGTAAATGAAGCATGAACTAAGCGAAAGCTTTAAAAGGATGCATCTGCATGAATGGCTGCATGGATGTAGGAATGCGAGCGCATTCCTACAAGCAGCACACCACGTCTTTCTTTTGCACACGGCGTTCCAGCTGTGACATCACGCTCCCCCCGTGCAGGCGCAGCGCACCCGTCGGCCTCACGGCTACCATGACTAAGCATCTGCGTTGCTTAAGCGCCCCCACCTGCTTCACGGTTTCCGTGACAAAGCATCTGCATTGCTGTGCTTTTCTTTGTGTTTTATTTCTGAGGCGCATCCGCTTTGACCTTGAGCGGCGCATGCTTGATGACATATTTTTATGGCCATTTATCGGGCACAACGCCGATGCTGTCTTTTAGGATAATGGGACGTATAAGGCTTTTGGCTGAAAAAAGAAATAGATAGGAGCAGCAAGGTTGTACTTGTTGAAGCACAATGATTTATGGGAAATCAGTAACGTTATACCGAGAAGATTCATTATAGTGGGAAATCAGTAACGTTATACCTCGTGGGGCCATACTTTGTATGTGTTAAACAGGATGATCTGTGAAACAAATTTATTGCATTGTCATAAAAATGCATTGAACACTAGTCATGTGTGAATAGTAGATTTCGGGGTAGAAGCGATCAGTGGTTTTAGCCGAATATTTTCAAATCAAACATTAAATAGTTTTTCCGAGCCTTTCACTACTGCTGCACACCATGCTTAACACTTTCGTGCGCAAAACATTACTTGAAATACTAGAGACCTACAAACCTTGGCATTGTTTCAGAACACACAGAATAACAGAAATCTGGTCTTGGGGGAGATGGGCGCTCGTCCAGTCATCAATTTTACATATCAATGTACTGTGCATATTTTCTCAGGTCTTACAAATTTGGGTATGGGCGCTTAATGTGAAATCCGCAGATGCGTGGTTTTCTACGGTACATATTGCCTTTTTTCGTAAGCATGTTTTCGTAGTGTTGCTCGTGAGCAACAGTGCGCATTTGCGGTGCTACTTCCCGTCAAACAAATGAAAGCAGTTACGACATGGGAGAGAGCCCAAGCGCATATAGAATTTTGTACAGTAGAGAAAGGTATAACTGAATTGGTAATATTTGCGCTGGTCTTCCTGGGATTTGGTAATATTTGCGCTGGCCAGTGGGGCATGCCATCATACGTCACATCTACTATTGACTCTGATTTTGAAGGATGAGTGATCTGCTTTTAAGGTGCATTTCGATCCTCCACTGCTAGCGCAGATGTCTTTGCCCATGCGACAGGTGGCACTAAATTTATGGAGGCGCACATAGCACAGGAGAAAATAAATAATTCTTGAATTGTTGCTCCCGGGCAACGCTGGGCATCAAGGGGCTAAGTGAAAACTCAGCTGAATTCATGAAGGTCGTTCCCAAGGGTCCACCCTTTCTTTATTCGCAACTCCAACGCCCTATAGGTGGCGGGGCGGTAGTTCCAAGATGGCGGAAGAGACGGGGATAGATTCTCCAGGATATCCCGTGCGCCTGCTCGCTGACGCTGTTCAGCGCGCTAAAAATGATTAATTTTTTTACAAATGCGAAGCGGTTAGGGAGGGATCATATTACAGGTGACCGAGATGCTGATGCACGTTAGGAAAACGAGCATGCTGTTATTTAGAAGTTGCAGAAACCTCAAAGTGCGAAGCTTTGTGGTGAGCCTGCGCGTTTTAGGCACCGGCCACGTTACTGTTTGTGGCAGAATATTTTCGAGGGTGATGAAGATATGTTTGCGCTTTGCCTGGCCATTAGTGCTCAAAAAAAAAAAAAAGAGCCGCGAACGGTGACCGTCAAGCTTCGGAAGAGCAGCGTTCACAGTATTGGTGTCTTCGCGTCACTGCCTCAGAACTCGCTGCTGACCATCTCGGTTTTTGGTGTATTGCAACACGTAATCAAACTGCTCTATGGTTATTGATTGAAAGTTTGTTACCGCAGGCTACCGTGCGGTGTAGCATTACAGCTGCAAGCTGGTGCTGCGCCTACGAAGCACAATTTTCAGTGCGCGCCAGGAGCGTTGCCGTGCTCATTATTAAAAAAAAATGTTGTAGTAGTCCTTACACTCCTTGTCACATATACGACACTCCAAATCTTCAGTTCGCCGTGAAGCCCACTGACGTCAAACTGACGGCCCCAACTTTTACAAGAGGCTTGATGACGACGCAATATAAGATATTAAACAGCTAAAGTATGCGTCAAAGAGAAAAACAAAACAAAAAAAACGCTTAGGTTTTGCAATAAAACCAAAAAAAAACGACTACTCTTTTTTTTACAGTCATTTAGACTTACTTAAGCTATTTTAATAAGTTGTACAACTCCCTTCTTTAAAACATACACTACCGTCACTTTTAAAGGAGCTCGAAGGTGAAAATATTGATATTACTAAAAAATCAAAGGGTATGCTACGCGAAATGCTATCGGAAAACAGTGTTAACGACTCTTTTTGTAGATAATCCATGCAATAAGGTCTAGTACTTTGTTTTTTGCTTGTCCTGTTTGAAATGTCTCTGCTGCTTTGCTCCACGGAGTAGGGCCTCGTCAAGCTGCAAGCCATGTAGCTTTTTGCCCTATCTCCCTCCTTTGTAAATAAAGGAAAATAAAATTATTAATTAAAAAAAATTAATTAACTCGGCTATCAAGCAGCTCGTGAAAGTTGGCTGCGCCGGTTTAACGTCAGTACGCTGTACGTCCAACTGAAGTTTAGGGGTGTCGTACGCTATGCAAATACTGCCTATTAAAATAATCGGCGTGTTTAGGGGTTTTATTTATTGCTCTATCAAAAGTAAATATTTTAATATACCGAACACTTTTTGTACCATGTTATTTGCAACATTCCGGTCCTTCTGGCCAAAACTGCGCGTTCTAAGCTCTCGTCACGAACGGCTGGCTAACACAGACGCGCTTAAAATGCTTCGAGCATTTCTTTATTTGCTTTGTAATTACCTGAAAGCAAGTACGGATATTCTGTCTTTTTAAAGTGCTTGGAGTAAATGGTAATGTTCCTTGTAATGGCCTTAAAACGCGAACCCATTCTCGATTTGTATTGCTCGACATACCGTTGCGCGACGAGTTTTCTCCTACTTATGGCAAAGAATAGACTTTCCGTAGTCCGTACTATAGAGTTTTTCAATATTTACCGAGAGCGTTTTCCGTCAAGTTCAGCAAAGATTGAGCTGGGGGCCATGCACAAGACCAGAAATCCGCAGTGTGTGCGATGCACGAGAAGCACTAATGAAATTAGACATCCCGGTCCTTTGTGCAAAGCTGTTGCAAGACGGAGCATAAGAATTACTTTTTTAGCGCGCTCACTTTTTTCGTCAAAACGGCTTCCCGCATCAAGGCAGACAGTCCCTGCCACCGTTTCCGCGCCGCCGCGGCCGCTGCCGTCCCCGCTCCTCTGGTTCTCCGTTGGTCCGTTTCAGGGCGAGCGGCGCGCTAGAGTTGCGAATAGTATTCCTTCAAAAACAAAACTTGACCACTAGAAAAACTTTTAGGGGGAAAAAAACTCGACCGTCATAGGGTTAATAATGATGGCAATAAGGCTTTTAGTATTTTCTTTGTTTTCCACAAAAAAGAAAAAAGAAGGGGGCCGGCAATAAAGGCCTACGTTGGAGCTCGACGACACCGCAATATACTTTGAAGGATAGCAGCATCGTAAAGAAAAAGAAAAATATCTCGAAAGTCTTGTAATGCGTGGAATGCAGTATTTAAATCGTTTATATTTGTTTAGCACAGTCGTTGCAGGGAGTGAAAAATACTTTATATTATTGCGTGAGCATTAGTACCCACATGACAGGAAAAAGCTGATGGCGTCCGTCTGCGGACACAACAGTGGAAAAAGAAGTCGCCGTGTAGAGAGGAGGCGAGTAGTGAAGGACAAAGGCGAGAGGAAGGCGACATCACGTGGCAAGAGCCAACGTGCGCGTGGATGCTGGGGCGAGTCTGAACTTGCAGATGGGTGAAGTGCGCATGCCTTGGTTTGCGCTACAAAATGGAGTGTAAACCAAGTACTAGCGCTGGTTCAAGTAGGCGCCAAAAGAAGACGGATTGTGGACAAAGTTTTTGTGTTGAAACCGGTGGACAGTGAAAGCAGCGTCAGGCAGCGGATGCACTGCTAAGCGTGCAAGGCGGGCAAACGAGACAGAGGAGCGGAATCAGCGCCTAGCAGAAGAAACCCCCAAAGCCGGCAAAGATTAAAGGAAGATCCATAGGTGGATTCTTAGAAAATGCATTTTTGGAAATGCCAGACATCCCTCATCTGGGAAACGCTAACACTGACCCCGTAACAAGGCCAAAGAGAAGTGGGAAAAATTAGACGAAGCAAAAGAGAAAGCCAAAACAGAAAAGTGAAGGGGTTCAGTGCTAGCATTTCCCAAGGGTCGTGCTAACGCATTCCCTAATGATCCACCAATGGATCTTCCTTTAATTTATTCAATTCCCCGCCAAGCTTAGCGGAGGAGGTGATGTCGCAACGTCACAATATCGTGTGATACTGGGACTTGAAAGTGCGATTTGACGTCACACAACGTCAATTTTGCAGTGGCAGCGAAATTGACGCTGCAGTATCGAGTTGCAGTGTCGTACGTTATCCCGACGTTGCGTGATTTCTCCGCTAAACATATGGCGGAGAAGGACACAGGCAGAGAAACTAACAGATTTCTAGGGGTTCCGTTAAGAGACATCACATTCCTTCAAACGGCAAGACACAAGCTGTCCGTCCTCACAGTGAGCCACCTGGTGGTGAGCTGCGACGAGCGTGGCAACTGCCGGCAAAGGACCCTCAAGGTGCTGAGTGCCCTGGTCACCGGCACCTGGATCCTCAGCTTCTCATGTAAGTCCCTCCCTCGTACCGGCAGCCACCTCGCCGGCATTGCCGTGGAACTATGGTTAACAGTAAACATCTAGCAGTAAAAAGTAAACATTAGCAGTAAACAATTGGAGGAAAGGGGAATCCATTCACCCAGACACTCGCGATCCTCCGTTGCCAAACCCCCGACTTGGATTGCTCCCGGCAATGGGTAGGGACCGCAGTTCCACGCGAGTATAGTACACTCCAGTCATAATGACAACGAGAAAACCCGAAAATGCAATTGTTATGACCGATGATCGTCGTATTTGGATTGGATGCCCAGTGCAGAAAGGCGCGGTCCTCTAGAAACCGGTCGTCATAAGCGGCACACCGTTGCATGTGATATCATTACAAGGGGATTGCACTGTACCTTTGAGCGTAGCCACTAGTGGATCCACGCAGCATCGCCCAGCTTGTGTTGCCAACACTGCGGGTATGTCTCGCAGTGTCTCACAACAAGCATGAGGCCAGCACGCGGCGACGCCAGAACGACTCTAGTCGAGCTGCAGCGCGTCTGCCGCTCGGGACGGGGGTTCACCGAGGACGCCATCGTACGCGAGTCTAGTCTCCTAGATGGCGTTGCCCACACTGCCGCATCTTTCAACGACGGTCTCTCTCTGCAGGGGTGGAGGCGTGCCTGCAGCAGGGGCGCAGGGTGGACGAGTTGGAGCACGAGGCCAAGGGCACCAGGCAGCACCCGGACAACGGGGCTCCTGCCAGGGCGCGTCTCCGCCGGGCATCCCATGCCGACCGCCTGTTCTCCGGCCTAAGTACGGTGCTCCAGGGGCCCTTCGCACGGGGACCGTCAAAGGACGACCTGGCGGCACTGCTTGGCCTGGGAGGGGCCTCCCTGCTCTCGCGGCCTCCGCCGGCAGACGCCGCCGGCGTGGTCCTCCTCGTGACGGAGCGGGAGGGACGTCCCGCTCAGCAGGGTGGTCGTCCGGGCGTCTTCGGCGTCGGGGCCCCCTGGCTCCTCGACTGCATCTCCAAGTTCGAGGTCGACCTTCCTGCGTAGGCCCTCAGTCCGAGTTCAACGCGAGAAAGGGGGTATCCGCCTTTCATTCGTCGAACCAGCGGAGGATAAAATTAAAGATTTTCCATGTCCAACGCATGCTCGACGTGCCAAACTGGGAGCAGCCATGACGTGCGTCTCGTGGAGGAGTGACCTGGCGTGGGGAGGAGTACTCGAGGCGTATGCCGTACTAGATCCCGAACCGACGTGCGGGATTGGAGCGGGCGAAAGTTACTTGAATAGTCCCGGTGGTGTTCCGTTGTGAGCGATTGCATAGGTTCTGCATACGCTCAGTTTTTTAGTTTGGAGTTTGGAGGCAGCAGGGAAAAAATCTATTGCGAGATCCAACTTGGAATATGTAACAAATCTGCGGTTTCTTGGCTCTTGCGGTGACCGGTCCGGTTTTGTAACAAATCTGCGGTTTCTTGGCTCTTGCGGATGAGCGGTCCGGTCCAAGACTGAGAGTCGTCGGTCAAGGACAGACGACAGTTTGCGGGACGACGAGGCACTTGAATGTTTTTCTTCTGTTGCATATCTTGATCGGATCCAGTGTCTGCCACCTGAGCGACCGTGGAACGTGCAGCCGTCCACAAAACTATTTCGCACAATCCTTAATAAAGAAATTTTTGAAGTATGGCATGCTCGAATAATTGCTTTATAATTTTCATTTACCAAAATAGAATTCCTAGCATGCACAGCGCTCACCAAACTTATCTGGAACACGCCAATGGTGTCTTATCTCATGGGAGCATCATCCTGGCAGCAGCCAGAGAACTGCTTCATGACGTAGTTCTCAACAAAACGGCCCGAGCAGGAGAGGCCGCTTGCTGGATTGTGGATGCCGCAACAATTTTGCCGGCTGGCCAGTCCATACTTGCCGCCACCTCTTTGCACAATGCTGCATAGGGAGCTGTCGAAACAGTCACTGATTGCATGGTTTGATCGGTAATCATCTTATGTCTCTTCCGGATAAGGTGAGAAGCATAGACCGCCTTGCAAGCAAAATTGCCGCAATGTCCCCAATCCAGCAGCGATCTTAGCCTGGAGCTAGCGGCTTCCTCTGCTCGGTCTGTTTCACCGAATGCTACATCCTGGAGCAGTTCTTCGACTGCCATCAAGATTGCGTTTCCATGAGATAAGACGTTGTTCGCACGTTCCTGATAAGTTTGGCGAGCACCAAACGCCGCACGACACAGTTTATGCAAACGGAACATTGAAACTTCTTTTCGTTGTACAATTGAAATGGTGGTTGTGGGCACCAAACTACCTCTTACATTACAGTCTGAAGTGACCACCTTCTATTACGTCAAAGGGAAAAACTGCTCTTTAAAAATACAAAAACAAAAAAGCACATTTTTGAAATTGTGTTTTTAAAGATCGACAGGCACTTTCATCGTGTCATGAATTATTTTCATGTAATAAATCTTTTATATTGAAATATTGACTTCAAAAAATTGTAAAATGCATGTGTTTTTTTTTTTTGTTTTTTTTCAATTAAAAAAAACTATTTGCACACTTTGCTATTTTATGAAAGCCATATCTTCACTTGCACATATACAATCTTAGTAATTTTTGCACGACACTGTTTCTGCAAACGCAACATTGGCACTTTTTCTCGTTTTACAATTGAAAGGATAGTTGTGGACACCAAACTTTACCTCTTACACTAGTCTGAAGTGACCACTTGCTCTTTAAAACATAATAAAAGAAGCAAATATTTTAAATTGTATTTTTGAAGATTTACAGGTACTTTCATCTTGTGAATTATTTTCACGAAAAGTCTCTTATTTTGAAATATTGATTTGAACTTGTAGTAAAATGCATCTGTGCATGTTTTAGGCTATTATTTTGAGAACTATTTACACACTTCACTATTTTATGGAAGCCACATCTCCACTTGCACATATCCAAGTCATTTTTTTTTTGTCTTTCTCTGCTAGCTGCATGTGCGAGGTATCCAATAAGGGGTATGACTATGTTAACGGTAGGCTGAAGCGGTTTTGTATTTGAGAAAGCACATAAATCATCTTCATTTGACCTCCAGAATCTCGACAATCGACATTATTTTTTTTTAATTTGGTGCATGAAGGCTGCAGAAAATTAATTTTAAAGTACCGCTGAAGGCCCTCCTTCCTGGAGCGTGATTTCGCAAAAGGAGTTTTTGGAATCTCCGCTTTAGCGCATCTTCAGCGCCTGTCAAAGCCTTGCACGCGCACCCTTGCTATTTTTTAAAAGGGAAAAAAAAAAACGTTGCGACTGGTGCCAGTGCGGGGGAATATACTTGGCAAGCTTGCAATTGCAGGTGCTGCCCACACGAGCAACACACGCTTGGCGGCCAAAAGATTCTTTTATGACGTATGGACTGGTCGGAGATTTTTTGTGTTTAGTTACTCACTCGGGGAAAACAAACATGATATTCAGATTCACGGGATAAAACATGCTAGAATCAACCTCTATCTCATTTTTTAAGTAAGTGTTTCAGGTGCTCTTTAAATATGGCAACAGCGTTTTGTTAGACGCCTTTTATACTTTCTGCAATAAATCATTTTTAAACTGAAAAAGTGTCAAAAAAAAGCTATAAATCATTCTAGAGCTTTCATGTATGCTTTATTGCAGTGGTTCTCAACCATTGAGGTCTTGCGGACCCCTTGTGGGTCAGCAGAGATGATGGAGGTCCCCATTTGTGGTGAGGGGAGGGGAAAGGTATAGGTTAATTATTATAATGGTTTAATAAATGGATATAACTAAGGGCTAGCATGAAAGAGACTTTTCCAATTGACATACACACAAGAAAAATCACCAGATAATTGGAACATTTCTTCTTAATCTGAAAAAATACAACTTTTATTTCCAGGTTTGTCTGATTAGGCAGGGCTTCACAGACCCCTAGATTCCCTTCGCGGACTTAAAAGGGTCCGCGGACCCTCGTTTGAGAACCACTGCTTTATTGCATTCCACAGACCCTTCAGTTTACCGATATATGTTTATTTTATGATTTCACTATTTCAAATTGTCTTAATCCTCCCATAATTTTTGCAAATAAAACTTTTAATATTTGCAAGACTAATTAAGCTACATCCTAACAAAGCACATATTTGTTGTCAGATTGTAAAGGTAGATAAGCTATGTAAATATAATTTGAATTGGATCACATTAATATAGTAAAAAAGAAAGCTCTAGAAGCAGTGTTGCCCCTAATAGTTTTGATGACGACATCCTAATGCTAAAAAAACCAAACAAAAAAAAAAAAACAGACAAAAATAGATGTTGATCGCTTGTTTGCTTTAGCAGCTCTGTACAACAAAGCTCAAACTTTAGCGGAATGTGCGCAAAACCCCACAGAGAACTGTTTCCCTGAGTGCTTCCACAGTGCAGAAAAGCCAAAGCCAGGACACCTTTGCTATGTGTGCTCGCTTTGCTACAGTGCACTTGCGCTGTGGGAGAAGCATACTCAAGCACCTGGAATATTTTTTATATACAAGTTGTGAACTCAAATTGGAAAATTATAAGTTGCCAGTGAGTTCATTCATATCAATATTGAGCTGTTTATTATGGTAGACAATACAAACAGGCACATTTCTAAAATTGATTAAAGTGACTACAAGCAGTTGATGAGCACAAGGGGATTTATTTATACAGCGCACATTATTAATGTGAATGCTAGTTTGTTAGGTTTGTCTAATCCACCCTCCTACCATGACAACCAGGGAAGAAGTTTTGAAGACTCCACTACAGCATGACATGTCCAAAATCTATACCTGAAAAAGAAAAAAATATTTTGTTGTAACTTGGAAAAAAGCTTGCAATCACCTTGATCTACACTTTATTGCACGTCCTGCAGCAGCAATTTACGAACCATCAACTCCGTTTCAACAATCTATTTGAATTATGCTTGTGCCACTGTTTAAAGAGGCAGTGCAATGATTTTCAGACTTTGATCAATGAATCGCGGGAAGAAGTCTTTGTCATTTATAAAATGAAACTTTTTCTTTTCTTTTGTATGCACTAGTTATTATTTAGAAAAAAATGAAACACATTGAATTTTGTGGTTACACCATCTTCCAAGTGATGTGCGCAGTGATGTAACGGGGAGACCATACAACAGTTAGGTCCTGTCACCTAGTCCATCAGCGCTCGCTCCGTGCTTGTCAACTTTTCAAGGTCTGTTTTTTTGGGCACAAGAGCACCCGGTCAATGTCGCCGAAAGTCGCGGTGAGCGGTCCAAATCGAGGCAAAAAACAAAACGCAGACGCAGATTCCGTTTGTCAAAAAAACCGGCTTTACCACGGGGAACCGGGTTTGTTCGAACGGATGGGGGATACTTTTGTTGACTACAGCTAGATGGTGCCATGAAAACTTAATAAAACTTCTGGTGATAATGCAAGTCTTTTGATGGATTTATGCATGCTTAAACAAGATTTCTTTCAAACTTGACTCCGAATTGTTTCACGACTTGCTAACCCACGAGTGTACTCCATTGATGATGTCGCATCGTGGTTCCCACAACTGCCATACGCAGCTGCAGATTGGGAAATAACAGGTGTTTCTGTTTGCGATTAGGCAGCGGAATTGCAGTCTTTCAAGGGGAGAGAATGTATTTTTCTCACTTGCACCAAGATATACTAAGAAATACAAGCTGCATATTCTTCCAACATTAAATTCCAACATTAAAATCATTTCATTTCCCCCTTAAACGTGCATGTTATCATTTTCGCAAAGCCATCGTTACTTTGGTGCTAGGGTGGTCACAACTGATGTAGCACAAGAGCCCACACTGCTATTGGGTAAGGGGGTGCTAAGTTGACTTCTAGAGACAGATCTTGCTGTGAGGTAGCTAGTGGTATCATCCCTGCGTGCCCAAATGTTTTCATGTGTCAACAACTGTACAGCATTACTTCAAGTTTGGCTGGTACAGTACTATGTCCATTATAATTGAGCAGTGCTTTGTTTCATTAACCAGATTAATGTCTACCTTGAAACTTACAATCAATTACATCTGTCAATCTAGCTTGTTAAGTTCACATTAGTTATTTTGTCAGTTGGATCAGTACAACGACAACCTCAGCACTTGAATGAGGCTGCGGTAGAGCATTTAACAAAGCAAATTAGCACAGGTAACTGAGATGTACGATATCTGCACTTTGACACATCAAAAGCCGCACATGGCTCATGCTTTGTGATTTGCCTTCTCATGTAGCTGTTTTCGGTGAAAATACGACGACGTCGAGCTCCAAGCTGTAGTGTATAACAACATTGTGACAGCATTTTTGGTCCACAAATGCTCAGCCACAAAGACTTGATTGCAAAGTTTGTTGATGAGAAGGTACCTTAATTCAGGTCGTCTTCCTGATTGCGAAGTTTGAGTATTCGGGACTTTGGACGTCTCTCTCATCTGAAAAGACGCACTTGGAGATGCTCGAGTGAGGACTTCCGACACTGCTCAGCCATCCCTTCCTAAAACGGAAAGATACGACATTTAGCCCAAGAATCAAAAGTTGCGCTTACCAGCGACTTGCAAAGCTGTACGCACATCTCGTTAACCTTCTCCCTCTCTCCCTGCACCACACCTTCGACGGTGCCCTTAGAGGTGTTGCGGACCCAGCCTCTGAGCTCCAGCTCCTCCGCTTTCTCCTTGGTGCACTGAGTCAAAGAGATATGCGTGCACATGGCAAGTTAAGATGCGAGGGCAAATTGGGTTCTTGCTTTTTTTTCTCTTTTCCGATTCGGCATACATACCTTGCGGAAGAAAACACCTAGAAGGAAGCCGACAGGGAGAGAAATTAACCAACAATCGATAAACTTGATGTTCAAAATATGTCAAGTAAGCAAGAGGGCAAGTAAGATGAAGGAAACTGGGCTGAAGGAGGAGAGGGGACGTTGGGGGGGGGGGGGGGGGGGGGGGGGGGGGGCTTAACTGGTTAACACGCGCCCCCCTTAAAACGTCGCCTCAGCGAACGCGTTTATGAAACGTGTTTCTATGTAGTACCGGAAGAATTAAGTCAATATTCCACCCGCAGTGTTCACATGACTTCAGACAGCCAATGGGATGGGACTGCCGGGAGAATCGGCTGCCGGCAGAATAGACACTGCCTCTCTCTATGCACTGAACCATGCCAAGCTCCTCGGTATCTCGGCGAGCAACTGCCAGAACTATGAGCTTGGTTTCCGAGCCTCGCTTTGGTTATTAAGGTAAAACGGAGTATGTATGGTAGAACTGACATTAACGAGGTTCAACAATGGAGAAGCACTCGGTTCCTATGGAGCTGTCCTCCGAGAAAGCATGCTCACGATAATTACCTTGCACTCTTCCGGAGACCTCAAAGTGAGTATTGAACAACATCTTAAGCCCACGTGCTGCTTTCATCTGCTTCAATAAAACAGATTCATTTCAAACACGCGGCGATACCGAACTTTGTGACGAAGGTTGGACGGAAAGGACAACTCGTTCATACCGAAAATGGAACCGTTGAGCTACGGTTGCTACGGTGACGACTTCGGCAGTGGGGTGAAGCTCTCGGCTACTTCCGTCCCGCCGCGTATACTTATGACGTTTGTCCGGTCCGGCGAACTGCTTCCGATTGCCGCGCTCCCAGCGGCTGTTGGCACTTGTTATTTCATTTTAAATAAATATGATTCATATATTTAATTAAGCGAACTAAAGTTGAAGTTGTTTTGAAGGTGTGGATGGGTTTAAAGCTTGTTATCGTAACTTTCTCTTTCACTCATTCAACGTGTCTGGGCGCGCTTTCTCTCTCTCCGAACCCGCGCCTCGCGCCTCGAGATGCGCTGGCCGCTGGCGCCGGGAAGTCGGTGGACCGTTAGAACGCGCGAGGGACGCGAGCCGGTGAGTTGCTTCGCTTCTGGGAGTGCGTCGCGGCGCGAGATTCGTCCCGCGCTCGTGCGCGCGCGGCTATCTTTTCTTTTTCGTGGGAACTTGTTGTTGGTGTAATGTGGTCAAGCATGGATTATCGTCATCAACACACCACCTGATGTGCCAAGTGGGGAAACAATGACTGCCGAAAGCCGGGATATCAATGGTTTCGAGTTCGAATGGACGTGCGGTACGCTCTTTTGGTCTTCTCTTGCTTAAGTTTCTGATTAGATGTTTGCAACAAAACCTAACTGTCGCAGTGGTAGTGAGTATTGTTTGATTTTGGCAATAGCTACGATGGTTTCCAATCACAAAAGCAAATCCTATCATTGTTCAGGATTGCTCTTCACTCGCCGCGAGAAATATGTCATTGTCAAATTACTGGAGACTTCTGTGTAGACTTTTTCATATCAAGATCGAGCACATATGCTCACTTTAAAAGATGGCAAACTTTTTGCTGTGAGCTGTTTATTTGGCACTGTTGTCAGCGATTCACGCGTCTGTTCGCGAGGAGTGAAAATATGAGCCTAAATATTTTTCGATTAACCGAGGATGAGCGATAGAGCGATCCGCTCTGGTTTCCCGTTTCGTTTAGCAGTGAGATATTAAAAACGAATGGGCAGGTTCTCGATGAAGACTCAATACCAAAGAGCTGAGCTGTTTTTCTTGGTACTCATTGCTTAGTTTCCTTTAGTTGCAATTAAGACACCGTCGTCTGTCTTTACTTATATGCTTACTTATATAATCAAATTTGCAAGGACACATATCATCACCTTCGTCGCACGTATAACCTTAACGTTTTATCTTGTTTTGTTGTTCATTTCTTTGTTTCTCGTGTGCAAAACAGTGAGAAATTTCGTCTGTATTTTCTACTGTCTGTTGAATAAAAATGAACGCAAAAGGACAAGCATTGCATATTTTTTGTGTATGTGTCACTTTCGTTGCTTTGCTAGGTTTCTGCTGCTTTGCTGCTGGTCTCGCTTTTCAGTGCTGGCTTGTGTGCGTTTCAACGCACATTAACCAGCATTGAAATGCGAAAACCAGCCGCAAAGCAGCAGAAGCCTAGCAAAGCAACGCGCATCCCGGGCAAAAAAAAAAAAAAAAAAAAAAAAGCCACAATATATATACTTTTAACTCTAGGTGGCGCAAGCTGCCGCCCATCCATCCAAACACAATGGCGCTGCCGTGCAGTTTCGGTTTTGGTTTCGCTGTGCCGCCATGTTGATTTTAGTACAGCCACCAGATACCAGGGGATTCAAATGGCGCTGCGGCCTCCCAGGGTTTTCCAATTTGCGTTCCATGGGCGGTATAGGAAGTTGCACTCCTCTGACTTCGGTGTCTCCGACTGGTGTGTTTAGTGATGCATCGAGCGTGGTCCCATTCCCAAAGGGGCAACAAATGACGCCACAGAAGCCGGAATGTCATGCTAACGGATGTCGCGATCCTGGCGGTTGGTAATAAAATTTCTGGCAAAAAGCTGGCGCGAACGTGAGTGTCGCTGTCGTCACTATGTCGCAACTCCTGGCTGCGCTAAAGGCTCTGTTATACTCCGACGTAACGCGTGCGCGCGCGCGAGCGCGTCACAGCGACGTCACGTCGGCGAAAACCCGACGCTCTATACTCCGGCGTCGTGGCGTAACCGACGCGACCGGCGGCGTTCGACGCAGCCTGACCACCTCGACGCCAAAATGGAGCATGCCGTATTCCGCGCCGGCCGCGCCGGCGACGCCGGACCAGGATGCATCACGCGCTGGCTCCCGGCAGCCCTCCCGCGGGAAGCGCGGCGAATACGAGCAATAGCAGACGACGGGAGCACTTCGTGTGGCGCCATGTTCGAAGAATCGGACTCGGTCGGGGGTCGAGAAGCTGATCGAGGGAATTCGTCCTCACCTGTGTTTCTACGACACGAGGAACACAGGTGAGGACGACACGAGACCGTGCGACACGACACGACACGAGACCGTGCGCTTGTCAAAGATGTAGGGTATAAACATTTACCACCTACGCTTGCGGCGCAGGGGGTGCACCAACAGTGCAAGAGCGAGTTTTCGTCGGGCAAGGTACGTCCACGCCATCGCTCGAACTTGGCGCTCAAGAAGCGCGAGAATTCTCGTCTGCTATTCGAAATGAAAAGGAACCGGAAATGGCGCATTCTCGCAGGAAGCGCGCCCTCGTAGCCAGATTCTGCGCATGCGCCGCGCTGGCGACCCACCGACGCGCGCCGCGGGAGTCGCCAGGGCCGCCGGAGTATAGAAAGGTCGAATTTTGGACGCGCGCGGCGTGACCGACGTGACGTAGCCGACTTCGGCCAGCGTTCTCTTGCGCGCGCGTTACGTCGGAGTATAACAGAGCCTTAACTTCCATAGACTGTCAAGTAGGAGAGCGACCTGCCGCAGAACAGGCGTCTGTCACACACACTACCGGTTCTGTGACACCACCAAGATCGCGGCCGGCGAGAGCATGACACTTTTATGACGTCATAAAGCAGAAATCAAGGCACCCTTTTTTCGGACGCAGCGAGCACACCAGCCGGCGACGCGTTCATGTGGCGATTCCTCATTAGCACAATTAGTGTAATATTTTGTTAGTGCTCGTATTTAGTCTCGGTAAATCGATATCAGTCATTTATTTTGGTTCGACTCGCTGATCTCAGTGGTTCAACCTTCAACTTTTGACCGGAGTTTCCCTTTAAAGATGGCGTCCTCCACGTTTTGTGGGTGACTTCGCCTTCTCGCCTTCCTTTGGCCTCGTGACACTCTGAGCGGCTTTCAATCTACCACTCAAACCAATCGATGGATTTGCATAGAAAATAGTCTGCCAACGTCTCGTCTTTAGAGTGCCTTTGCGAATTGGGACATTATGCCTTTCGAACTGTCTTTCGTGCCTGATCGAAGTGGTGCAGTGGTGGCCCGGTGAATCAGCTGAAGCTAGCCCCTACCCACAAGCATCACGAGCTCCAATTCGAGTGACTTGCTACCGGCTATCCTTTACCATGGGAGTGCAAGGACTCTGGCAGATACTGGAGCCCGCTGGCAAGCCCGTAGCCCTGGAAACTCTTGAGAGTAAAGTCCTCGCCGTTGGTATCCTTGCACTGGGAAAAGTTTTGTCGAGTTCTCAAACTTTGTGATCCCGAGGAATGGACTGAGGAACCCATCCTAGGTGTCGGCACCGATGCAGTGAAGCAGTACATAATCTTACGGATATTTTGAGCAATTAATGCAGAGTTATAGGGAGCGTAGTTATGCAACAATGGGTTGCTCAGGTCTGCTAAAAGAGCGACTTATCTGGACGTACACTTTACTCGGAGACAGGGACGGTCAGGGACTTTTGGAAGCTCGGGGGAGCCCATGATAGTGGTCTGGTGAGCCACTGGGTTCATAGGAACACAATTTGTAAGATGTATGAAAGGAAGCAAAAGTCGAAAGCATGCGAGGGAGTAGCAGGGAATCGAAAAATTGTATTTCACCTTCCATTCAACCTTCCCCACTAAGCTCAATTTCACAAGCTGTGGGGCAGCGCCATCACAGGCGCTATACCTTAACTCTTCGCAATAGCATTTAGTTCGCAAAAGTGCTTGCGTTGAGGCTTTAGTGTAATTTACTATCGATTTGAATTATCTTAGTAGCGGATACAGTGAGCCTCCATGGTATGGACAAAAGTCTTTTCCCTGTCATCCGGGTTTTATAAACCGAATAAAGCATTATTATTATTATTGTTATAAAGCACTGTCTACAGCCACATGCTCATGACGCCCGCATCTCCAAAAGCGCTGTATGGAATTCTAGAGATTCCTGGCCTTTTAAAGTGTTTTCTCGGCAAGCCTCTCGAAGTAGTTAAATCTACGTGACTTCATGCCTGAATACTGTGGAGACAAATTTCACGCGTTCGCTCAAGAATGATTGTCGCTACTCCAGAGAAACTCAAAGCATTAATTTTTTATCATAGGGTTTTTTTGGATGCCACCTGTAAGTGCCGGTTGCACTGTTTCAAACTAGCGGAGCTGCCCCTTGTCTCCTGGGTGTTGTGGCTCCTTGACTTTGTGTGCCCAGATATAAGCATGTGGATGCACCAGGCACTGAAGGGCATGCGGGACTCTGAAGGGGGTCCCGCGGCCAATGCACACCTGGTGGCCCTCTTCCACCGTGCCTGCAAACTGCTCTTCTACGGCGTCAAGCCTGTGTTTGTCTTTGATGGTGGGGTGCCCCAACTCAAGAAGCAGACGTTGGTAAGTGGGCACCGGTCATTTTCATTTATAGCTTGAATTGGCATCTCTTCATCTAGCAGAGGTGCCTTGCTGTTTTCATCCTGTCAGTGAATACAGTGGTTGTTCTGTCGATTACCTTCCTTCTCTGTGCCAACTTTATGCCAAGGGAGCATTTTTTCGGCCTGGACAGTAAGTCAAAATAATGACATCGCACTCAAGTTATGTATTGTGCATTGATTGGCAAAAAATGAAAAATGTTTACAATTCTCTGTAGTGCCAAATTAAAGTGCAGCTCTTGAGGAGGAGGAGGGGAGAGTACAAAGGGGAGGGTATGCCCCTCCTCTCCTGCTCCTCTCTCATTTAGCGAGAAATCTTCGCTAAATTTCTTACTACATTTAGCAAAAATAAACTTTGCGGAAAAATTTCCCTGTTAAAGTTAGCGGAAAAAGTTTTGGTTAATTTAGCAAAACATTTTCCCGCTAACTTTAGCGGGGAAACGTCCCATAATGCAACGCGCGGTTACACCGACGGCGACGCCGCTTAGCCCGGAAACGGGCACTTAAGAGCTGCGCTCTAAATAAAACTTTCTGGGGACGACAGATGACAAACTTCGTGAAGATGGCGGATGTCAACGCCATTGGTTCGATCTGTCTCCTGTTCTTTCACGCATCCATTTATTTAGACAGCTTTAATGGTCTTCCAACCTCGTCGTATTGTCTGTTTAAAGTGTTTCAAACCTAGAACATGAAAATGTGTCCTGGAATGCAGGCTGCGAGGCACCAGAGACGCGCAGCCATGCTGGCCGATGCGCAACGCAAGGCACGCCTGCGCCTGCTCACCTCTCGCCGAAACGCCCATCCGTCGGTTCGGAACCCGCAAGTGGAGGCCGACATCTACGCCCTCCCTCCCTTGCCCCCTCACTGGTCCAAGATCTATGGGCAAGTGCTTCTGCCTGATAGCATTTCCTGAGGGGAAGCACTACACTAATGGCCGTTATGACTTAGGTCTCGATGCAGCAGACTGCAATGGGTTCCTGGAAAAAATAGAATAATGTGCAACAGCACTTCATTGTTTCGGTCACAGCTCGAGAAATGTGACCTATTAGTACCATATCTTCTGGTGTAAAAGTAACTTTTTTTTCCCCCAAATTCTCGTTTGTGCATTTCATGCAATAGTGCGACTTATACCCATTTTCTTTATATAAGTATGGACGTTAACTGCAAGATGTAGGCGATATTGCCTTTTTTGCGACAAAGGAGGAACGGCAGAGCACCTGCCAGTGGCCTGCTCTTCCAACAGACCTAGGTGTGGCGACATAGATCCGTGGCTGCAGCATTGCGCCACAGACGGACGAGAAGTGAGACTTGTATACTACATTTATCATTAAAACTGACATTTATAGGGGGCACAACTTATAGGCACTTAGAGACTGGAAAATATGGTATTAAAGGGACACTAAAGAGGATTCTGCGATCGTCTGTTCTTGGTCATTACTGATTCTAAGGGCCCTAAGCATCCTAAAATTACATTACCACGACGGCAATTTCCTTATTAAAAACCTGATGAAAGGTCGGGACACACCCCTTTCTGAGCACGCTCAGGAAAGTGGGGCATACCCCAGCAGCGGCATGAGCGCGATGACACCGCTGCTGGGGTGTGCCCCGCCTTTCCTGAGCGCGCTCAGAAAGGGATTTGTCCCGACCTTTCATCAGGTTTTTAATAAGGAAATTGGCATCTCGTTAATGTAATTGTAGGATGCTTAGGGCCCTTAGGATCAGTTATGACCAAGAACAGATGCATTAAAACTTGGGTTTGGGCTAGTTGGTCCTTTACTGAATAAAAGGTTAAAAAGCGCGAACAAATGAGGACAAAAAAGAAACACGGACGACAGGACAGGCGCTTCACTCAAAAAGCGCGAACAAACGAGGACAAAAAAGAAACACGGACGACAGGACAGGCGCTTCACTCTTGAGAGTGAAGCGCCTGTCCTGTCGTCCGTGTTTCTTTTTTGTCCTCGTTTGTTCGCGCTTTTTAACCTTTTATTCAAGAACAGATGATTGCGGAATCCTCTTTAGTGCCCCTTTAAGAAATCTGAAATTGAGCTTTATTGATGTTGGGGTTTTACGAGGATCACTTGATGTACAGTAAGTGCCAACATGAGCTAGCTCAACTGTTGGAAGGAAGGTTAGAAGGGGTCGTCATTATTCTTTATAGTCGGATGGTGGCAGGTTGTTCCATGGCATGCTGGAGGTACCCCATCTGGCATTTCTATGTCAGTAAACCTGCTCATGGGAGAGCATTGCTCTTTCTGTCCAGGTAGGAAAAGGAAATGTAGTACTCTGAAAATACAGAGTTTCTTTATACCTACACGCAATGTCAAATGACTACCTATAGGCTGCCAGCCACATTTATACAACGTCTAGCCAAACATGTCGGAGCATGGGCACCGGCAGGATTTTTTCTTGGCGGGGGCAAAACTTTCGCACCTGTCATTCTTTTTTTTTAATGGGGGGGCGCACCTGTCATTCTTTTTTTTTAATGGGGGGGGGGGGGCAGGGCAGGGGCAGGGGCAGGGCAGGGCAGGGCAGGGGCAGGGCAGGCAGGGGCAGGTGGCAGTGTCACAGTCTGGCTTGGGGGTAGCAACTGCCCCTTTTGCACCCCCCTGCCGACGCCCATGCGTCAGAGGTCCATATTTGAGCGCTCGGTCTAAATCTCAGTGATGTGATTGCTGCGCCAATTGCGCCAAACTGCGCCAAGGGGCTAACCCTGCTACATCCTGCTACATTTTGCCAAAATATGGGTAATCTGCGCCAAGCCTGCGCCAAAGGACCGATTTCGGTCGTCTTTCAAAACCGAAACTAAAGTAACCTGCATCAATGATCCATCCGGTCTTGCATAGTTTTCCCGCCGTCTTGCGTTTCGCACTCTCGTCGTCTCGTGGGTCTCGTCTCGCATCTTTTTAAAAATGTTTCAACGATAGACGCGGGTGTGTGCGGGCGCTCCGGCGCTAGCGTGCCGGGTACCAGCCATGCCGTTATGCTGTGAAACGAAGCCACGTTTTTGCGTGGTAGGAGTTACTTTGTGAGCTGAAGCACTCGCTCCTAAATGCAACGGCCGTGGGAAAACCAGATTTGGTCCCTGCCTACCAGTCACCGTCGTCACGCGACGTCGGGTGTTGCTGTCCCCACGTCGCTGCCAATATAGCGCTTTCTAAACTGAAACGTAAGGACCGCCGCATGTTCAGCATTATTGTTCTTGTTTAAATCATACGCTACTAGTACTACAGAAATCCCTCTTTAACTCAAAGACTTCTGTGTCGAAGTATTCACTACCTAGGTTTCTCTCGATGGGCTTTCTGAAACGTGAAACGTATGCGAAAAATCTGCCGCGAAAGAACGTTGAAAAGGAGTGAGTTAAGCAAAGAAGGCAATGTCTGCACGCTGAACCTGCACAGCGCGCTTGTTTGTCTCGCGTTCAGTCGTTTCACAAAGCGCTCCAAGAACGTTTCGAACTTGGCTCGCGATGTCCTCCATCGTTATGCTCAGGTTCTTTTTTCTGTGTGTTTAGGTTGTACCTCCCCTGCCGGCCTGGCAAGCAAGTGCCGCTGGACTGTTTTAGTCGTATGCTGGACAGTTACATTTTGTATACACTGTCGGGAACCGAAACCACACCACTCTGAGCGGAGTGGTGTGGTTTCGGTTTCGATTGAACAGCCGTTGTCTCCGCTCGCGCAACTAAGCACGTGCAACTGCAAGCCTGCCGAAGTTTCTCTCATGTGCATGTGAACATGATTGCACGACAGGGGCACGAGCCGATCGTTGGCAATCCATTTTTTTTTTTTACGTTGGCATTTGCTTACTTTTGACGAAAATCTTGCACGTCGGGAAACAGTAAAAAGGTGGCAAGCGATTTTTCGGAATTGCTCGGCCACGCCTACATCACTGTACGCTTGTGGGGCGTCTTAATATCTCTTTGGAGAAATTGAAAGTGGACATTCATTACTAGCCGAAGGCAAAGCGAGGCTTGCAGCAGCCTTGCAGAAAGTTTAGAAAAGCAAAAAGAAGAGTACCCGCTAGTCGTAATGCACCTTTGTCTTGTGTATACGATTTCGCAATGCACTGCAGTAGTTACGTGTTTCATGATTTGGAGGCTGCTTTCATTCATTATATCATATACCTAGTAAACCTAATGGTGCGATATTTACTACTGAGCTGGTCATTTTCAAATAAATTTTATATATGCAGTTTGGTTTTTATTTATCTCTAGCGGGTACATATATATGTACCATTTAACTGAAGCATTGCAAAATGTGTCATGTCATTGGCATTTCAGTTACATGTGGAAAGACTCCCAGGTGGTCTAACTCGACCATAATTTGTTTATTGCGTCGAGCAAAGTGCCCTTCCTTTGTCCAGCACTTAAAACGAATATTTGTTCTTTATTTTTCGAAGAATATCTTCTCCAAAAAACACTTTTTCTGCTCTAAAACACTGTTTTGGCTGCTCCAAAAGCCACTTATACTGCTCCAAAACACTCTTTTGGTTGCTCCAAAAACCACTTATGCTGCTCCAAAACACTGTTCGGGCTGCTCCAAAAGGTGCTCCAAAACGGCTTAGGCCAATCACATCACTGAAATCTGGAACTTGTTGTCATTCATGTTGTTGCAGCATTGCGCAGGACACAGAACAAGGCAACTAGAGTTCCTGTATAGGCTCCCTACAAGGGTCAGAGTTGCGTGTCTGTTTTTCACGTGCCGCCGCGCCGCTGTTCGCCGAGATCCAATCACGTGAGGAGCAGACTCAAAATGCCGTGCAGGAAAGCCACCGGTGCAGCCGCTTCGCCGACGGTGCAAGCGCCTCGGCATGCGTTCCCCTGCTTTTGCCTCCGCCTCCTTTCCTGTTTTTGCTAGACGTTATATAAGACAGAGAAAGAGCACGATGACGCTATTCGCTGAATTCAGTCAGGTGAGGTGCAGACTCCAAATGCTGTGCAGGCAAGCCGGCACTACGGGGATGAACGCAGAACTCTGGCTCTCGTAGGGAGCCAATGCCGGAACTCTAAAGCTAGTGAGCTTACAGCGCCGAATTTGCTGTATCTTCATGCAGCGAGCAGGAAGATGAAGAGTTGAGCTGGTCAAGGCCGGGCATCGGCCTGAGCACCCGGGAGCTGTCGCTGATGGACTTCGACTCGGAAGAGTTTGAAGAGCTCCCTGCTGAGCTGAGGCACGAGGCTCTCAGGGCAATGCAGCACCAGCAGCGGTGGGGCCGCAAGAAGCAGTTGCCCAAGGTGCTTTCTTGTGCAAAAGAGAGCGCTCGTCCAAGGTGCCTGGGAACGCTGTGTAACATGCTTCCTGTGTTCCAGGACTCCGAGGCTTTCTCCAACTACCAGTTGACCCAGCTGATGCGCAAGCGCAGATTGGAGAGCAAGGCCAACGAGGCCCGCAGGGAGATGCTCCGTCCAGAGGGACTCCCACTTGCAGAGGTCTACTCCGTGGCTTCTGAGAAGGGGCTACGGTCCCTCTTGCACCCACTGGAGCAGGGAATGCCCCAGCAGAGGACCACGTCTGTTCCTCTTGCTTCAAATGACGGAGGTACCATTCGTTTCACGGGGTGCTCTCTCCCGCTGTCTTTCACAATATGTGTGAAATTTGACGTATAGTAGTGACATGAAGTGGGATGCAGGTTATGATGCGGCCTAGTTTGAGTGTCTGCAGAGAAGGCTTCGAATGTTGTGCAAGTTTTACACTGATATATTTCGTTTGGTGTGTCAAACTGTACTGGCACCAACACACTGTTAATACTACGATGGTTTGCTATGGAAGTTTTACTGCTTCCTTTAGTCACTTAGCTGGCATCAAATGTAAAATTATAATTGATAGCTGAATTTGCCCGTGACACTTTTTGTACACTGCGCGGCACTGTTGGCACAAACATGACTTCGGTGCTTGTTCATATTTCATTTCGAAAGGGTGCTGGCAAGCATCAAAATTTACCATTAGGGTTAGTACCTCAACTGAGCTCTTTCCACCACTTCTATGGTAGCTTTGCTGACAATCCATCAATACTGAGATAAAAACAGAGAAAATCGGCGATGGCTTGTTCGTGCCGAGAGTGTCGTGGACTGTACTTTGTTGTTGTAGTTGTGAATCTACGGCCTTCTTTATGGTGCTTATGATTCGTGGAAAGCTTATATTCTTTAAGTAACAAGTTACGGAAACACTGAGAGTGATGCATGCATATGAGCTTCTAATTCTGGAAGGAGCTCATGCTCATTTCTTCTGAGGGATGCAGTCGAATTTTTTAAAGCAAATCGCACAAGCTTCTTCTGTCAATCACTAACACATCTTTTGAGGTGAAGTACCGCCACTGAAAGAATGCCTCACCTTTTGGCAGGAGTCGCGGAGCCAAGTCCGACCACAAGGGAGCAGCCCAAACCGGAAGAGGACATGAAAGTTCCACAGCCTAACACGTCTGCATCCAGCGACAACGCCGCTGTCTTGCAATGGCTCCAAGAGCAAACTCAGAAGGGTTCACCAGACAAACGTCAGGATCACACTTCATCCGAGAGCACTCTAGCGGCAACCGAAGTTTTGCAACACGACAGTAGCAAACAGCTGACGCAGCCTCCGCAGAGGCTCCAAGTCACGCCGCCACATCAACTCTCTGTGGAGAAATCCCAGGAAGTAGACGCTGCCTCGGAAGCCTCTCTCGAGGACGACATGATCGCCGCAGCTGTAACCGAATCTCTGCTTGAGAATGCTCGAGTTTGCAAGGATGTGGTGCCGGAGAGGACAGAAAGCGGTGTAGATGACAGTGCAGAGACATCAGACCACGGGGTCCACGCGTCACCAAAGACTGATGTATTGGACACCGAAGTATGTGACAAGACTCCACCTGTAGACTCTAGGGAGGTGTCTGATGGTGAAGAGGAAAATGTGTGCTACTCGTCAGATTCCAACCCCCCCTCTGAGGCAGAGGAGAGTGCTCAGCAGGCTGAAGAGGTGACAGAACATGAGCCTGTCCAAGAGAGACCAGATGTGGCATCAACAAGCCAGGAACGAGTGAGTAGATGTTACTTCATCTATCGATGCTATGTAGGAGAGGAAGAGTGCGAAAATAGGCCAGTTTGGCTTTTCCGAGGGTATGGGAATGTGTGCAGATACCGACACAGCACTTTGAATTTTGTCATCAGGTGTGGTTGTTTTGCTAGTATGCTGGACAAAACGAAATGCGCTAGTTTCATCCTTTGTAATAGTTTGCGACGGGCTAAGAATGTGGTAGATGGCTCCGCCGTCGGCGTGAGATTTTGAGCCTTTGATAGCACTTCATCGCATGTGCACCCAACAAGTGCTTGCCAAAGGCAGAGCATCTACAGCATTCTTAGCCTGACGGCGACTACAGTAACTCTAGTGCAGCAAATCCACATGGATCCTGCGATATTGACATTAGTGTTGGGAATGCCATCCAGAAATCTGAAGAGCATGTCTCGCACATCAGAACAGGCGCCTTTTGTGAACAAGGTGCTGGAGGGCTAGGTGGTCAATAAAGTATACATATGGCCCACACTGTCAAAGTTCGCTTGTCTCACCACACATCATTTTTCAATTCCCTCCTGGAAATTTGTTCTTATAGTGTCGAGATTTAATATAAAAAATAGCGATATCAGCTCGAAGAGACCAGTGCTTTTGCCCATTATACAAAACAAGTGCAATTTTGTTGGTGTGGAGAAAATACCCCCGAGATGCAAGTATCATCGTTAAACAGTTTGAAAGTGGAAGCTTATCTGCTCTAAATGTAAGAGTACATAGTTATAACTAGTACAGGAAGTCTGGTTGATCAGTACGTTTAAGAACCTGATGTCCTTCAGTTTGGAGAGGTAGAGCTTTTAAGGCTGGTTCACCCATTTGCATCCGAGTGCGATGGACTGTGTTGCAGCGGCTTGCAGCGGCTTATGGCGAGAGAACGTGCTGGCACGTCTACCAAGTAGTCTTGGAACCCTTTCGATCTGTGTATAACTAGACTGGAAGTTTTGCAGTACTAGTGAGATCAAATTCACTCTGTATGAGAAATAGTGTCTTATAATATTGTCGGAATTATTGTAAGCACACGGCAAAAGAAGGATGCGTAAAATACTGTATATGCATACTGGGTGTCTTCCAAAGATACCGGACAGATTGTGCCAACCTGTTTTCCCGTCGTAAGCGACTAGGAGCGGTTGCAACGTAGTCGATCGCAATCAAATGCAGACCTGTGAACAAACCTTTAGTGGCTGGTTATGAAAAATTCCCTGCAGAGTCCAACCACAGAAGAGAGTTGGAAGCCTCTGCAACTGTTGCCAGAGGAAGAGCTGAAGGAGCTGGAGAACCAGGAGCGCAAGCAACAGCGGCAGGCGACCAGCATGTCCGACCAGCTGGTCATGGAGTGCCAGGTGAGAAAGGGAGCATTGGAGCCTTCTTTTCATTCTCTTCCCTTGCACGGGGGTAGCCTTCAGAGGCATTTATCGTTGGCACTTTGTCGGTCGACACCAAACGGGGCGTTCTGCGTGTCGTGGGAAGGTTGCCCTGCCGCATGCCCGATCCAAGGAACAACCGGGTGGGGAAGGGAGGGAGAGAAGGGGGGGGCAGAACTCTCTGCCATCTAAAATGCTAGGATGACAGAGAACTCTCATCGTTGGCACGATTTGCAAAGTTGTTCCAAATGGCATTACCTGTAGGCACTGACAAGGTGAGGAGGTAAGGGAGTAGCTTTACTTGTCCTGTCTCCAGCGCGCGCTTCCTACCTTTGACGAGGCGCATGCACACAGCCAAAGTGCGGGGGAAGGCTTGGAAGCGGGTGTTTGAAAGACAATGAAAGCCCTGCCATTCTCACTCTGTCTGGTGCTGCGCAGGAGCTTCTGCGCATGTTTGGGCTTCCTTTTGTGGTGAGCCCAGGGGAAGCGGAGGCCCAGTGTGCCTGGCTGGAGGAGCAGGGCCTGACCCAGGGCACAGTGACGGATGACAGCGATGCATGGCTCTTCGGGGCGCGCACGGTCTACCGGCACCTCTTCGCATCCGACAGAAGGCCCTCCGTGTACCGGCTGCAAGACTTGGCCACCCAGTTGGGTAAGTGCGGAACAACAGAGTGGCAGAAATGTTGCGTGCGCCTTCATCTTTCTTGTCACGCTCGGCCCTCCCCAAATCTGAGTGCCCGCCAATTACGAAGATTAGAAAATAATGTTGAAAAACTAGACTTCTCCAAGCGGAAACTCCCTATTCCGACTCGCGTAGTTCATCGAAGAAGTGCAGCACATTGTCACGCACACCCTACCACTGGCATAGATAACAATTTGGGGGGGAGCATAATGCTTGTGAATATTGCGGGGCATTTCGAAGGGTTGGAACTTCAGCATCATAAGCCCCGGGCTATGCTTTACATCTTAACTTGTGGAGTGAGAATATAGCCCCCCAAAATGCAGTGTAAGCCCTCTAAGAAAGCACTTCCTAAATGCACATGATCTTACCCTTGTTGCATACAGCTCTAATATACAGTAGAACTTCGTCGATACGTTCTCGGTTGATACATTTTCCCGGCTGTTATGTTCAAAAACGCTGGTCCCGTTTTATGTTTTATTTCATGGAAATACATGTATTAGTTTTTTGCCTGTTACGTTTGCTTTCCCGGTTCTTACGTCCAAAAGTGTCGGCATCGCGGCGCGCCGGGCGCCAGGCTGTCACGCTGGCTTCAAAGTGAAGCAAAGCTGAACCATGCAATGCGGGTCGCACGGCACGCATGGGCTTGCAGGTGCCCGTCTTCTCTTTACTCCTTTCCCCCTCTTTTTCGTCTCTCTGTCTCCTCGCTAAGCTTTGCTGAGTTCTGCCACAGCTTCCCATCTTGCCCGGTTGTGACCTTGGAGCACTGCTCGGGTAAGGAGCGAGGCTGGCGAAGCGGCAAACGCTCATTCTCTCTTGCTCTCTCTTTCTCTGGCACGAGGTGCACCCGCATGCACTGCGCTTCTAGCTTCTGTTCTGCTCTATTGTGGAACCGTGGTGTTTCGGAGTATGTGTGCTTTGCGCCCATTGACGATGGTAATGGCATCGCGGCAAAGGAATGCACTCTCTTTTAAAGAGAAGTTTGATATACTTCAGATGGTGGATCGCAATCCCAGCCAGAAGAGATCTGACATCGCAAGAGACCTCGGACTTGCGATGTCAGCTTTGAACAGCATCACTACTGCCGACAACGAAGAAAGTGATGAAGATGTTGAGCAAGAAACAAACGATTACGCTGCGCCCACGTTTGCGGACGCGATCGTTGCATTGGACACCTTGCGTCGCTACGAAAATGTTCACGACTGCACAGAGAGTGAGAGAGGACTGCGGCTCCTGGAGAAATGGCTTTTACTGCTTAACATTAATTCGAAGCGGCAGGCAGATATTACGCACTTTTGTGAACATGTCCGAGTCCTCAACAGTTCTGTAAGTACACAAAAAATAAACCATTTTATAGGAGCTGCTTTCTCTCTCATGTAGAGAGAAGAGAAGTGCATTGTCGGTTGTTACGTTTTCCCAGATGATAAATTTTTTTCTGCGGCCCCCTGAACACGTATCAATGAGGTGTGACCTGCCTGGGTGTCGCTTTACTGCAGTGGTCACCTGCTACAACGTGGAAGGATGCACAACAGTGCTAGACAGTTCATCCAGGCCACCTCTGGATATAGTAAAATATAATCTCCAGTTGAAGGTCAAATCAAAATTAATGCCGTAGTCTATAGTCTATACTTATGGGTCTCTTTAAATAGATTTATGCCAATTAAGTTATATTGTAAGAGGAGCATACCATAAAGATTTACAATTTTTTTATTTTGCTGCAGATGCCGGTTTCTTAGAGGTTTGTACGTAACTCCACCTTCTTGATTGACTCCCCATTGAGCCGAATGCCCTTACACCGTCTGTGTGGCTGTGTGGCAGCCTCTCAATGCTCTGCTGGAATCACTTTTTGAAGAGCCTTGCACCCATTCCTGGACAGCCGCTTTGACCTTATCAACGATTGTGAAATGGTGTCCTTGCGGGTGTTTTTTCATGCCACTCAACAGGTGATAACCACTGGGGGCCCAGTCAGCTAGGCTCACGCACGACCAAACTAGGACTGGTCGTAAAACGTGTCGAAAAGACTGCCGAACCCGATCAAGTGTCGGGCAATAACGGCCTCACGCGTAAGCACATGATGCAATGATTGACCAGCCATCCAAACAACCGGTATCTGCAGAAAATAAAAATATTATAAATCAACATGGTACACTCTTTGTAGTATTATTGTGATGTTTGTGCAGATTGTGTGCAAGCTGCAGTGTTATAAAGACAATTGCCAAACAAATGCCATATTTACTATGGCAGAGCCTCCGAGTTGACTGACGACATCCTTTCAGGGTTAAATCGTCAGAAGCTGGTGGCTTTTGCACTGCTGTGTGGCAGCGACTACACGGCCGGTGTGTCGGGAGTGGGGCCAATCACAGCTATGGAGGTGTTGAGCGAATTCTCCGGTGAAGACGCCCTCCAACTGCTCGAAAACTTTCGGTGAGCATTCATATTCTACTAGGTTTTGTGTACATTTCTGTTGCCTTTCATTACACATGTCGATGTGCTGGTAGAGGGCTTCATAATTTGGCTATGTGTAATGTTCTTCTCTAAGACATGACTCGAGGTGTCTTTCAGAGCTGATGAGTGTTTCTGTTTTGCTACGCAGTCCCACAGTGAGTGATAAATGTATTTCGTGTGGTTTCTTTTGCGAGTTAGAAAAAGTTTCTTTTGATTTGTAAGTAGGAAGGGAACCTTAACTAACAGATGAGGCCTCATAAGAAAGAGAAATCACTCACTGGAAGCAGAGCTCATTTAACGGCTGGGTTTCAGATTGTGTTAGGTTGCTGGGACCATCCCTCGCATTTTTGTGACCCCAGAAGTTTAGAAAACTTCACGTTTGACGAGATTTTTAGATTCTAATGCTCACGAAAGTGATTGACACAAATATGTGGATTCAAAGTTTAGACAAGCTTCGAAAACTCAATGGCCAAGAGCATGTCCACAGTGCCTTGTTAGCGAAAAAATTGGTACCGTGGAAGCACAGGGATCACAGTATGCCTTCTAACTCGTGGCTTGCCATGTTGAGAACATGCGCCTTTCCAAGTGCAATGTCTAGTGGAAAACTCAAAACCTGCCACAGACCCAACTGTCGTTTTTATTATTCCCTTTTCTTTTTATGACAAGATCAGCCTGTATGTGTAACATTGGAATCCTTCAGTAAACATTTAGTAGCAAATTAGCACCCGTCCCGCGCGTTCTTCCGACTGTGTCTCGTCTATTTTTCACCGTTTTGCAGTAGTATGCCTGCCACAAATCCAACTGTGGTTTTCATGTTTGACAGGACGTGGCTGGAGCGTGCCAAACGCGAGAAGGTCCATCCAGGCAGCCGCACCCGCTCCCACCTGGTGCGGCTGACCGTGGAGCCGGGCTTCCCCAGCGCTCCAGTGGTCAGGGCCTACCTGGAGCCCAGTGTGGATGCCTCCAAGGAGACCTTCTCTTGGGGAACGCCTAACTTGGACGAGCTGCGATCATATCCTTTACCTTGCCTATCGGCGGTCAGATCTCGGACGGCGCTCTCTTTTACGATAAAGTCTGTATGTCGCGTAAGACCAAATTATTTGTTATTCACGGGAGAGGTGTGAACGACACAGCAGTTGTAAGGTTAGGACTCGAAAAGGTGGCCTGCGCTCCATGTCGTTCTTTACTCGCATTGCCGTTAATGCCTCACGAGTTGCTGCTCTCCTTCCGTAAATGAAAATGATAGGCTCTCCACTCTCTTTGTAAAAAAGTAAGCACGTGGGCCTTTGTTCGCAGAGAAATGTCGAGCAAAGGTTCAACAACCACAATGCACCGTAAAAGCTGGCCCTTGCGTTGACACCATGCACGCATAATTCTGGTTCAGAATTTTTTTACAGCGACAGCTTTTAGTGGCCCGTTCCCCGTTTTTCTTGACGGCGTGAGCATAAACGCCGTCAGTTTCCCTGCTAAATTTAGCGGAAAAATTGACGTCACATGACCTATGCACCAATTCAGTTTCCCCGTTAATATGGCAGGAAAATTGATGTCATGTGATTTGCGTCACGGGACATACGGACAAAATCAGGTTCTCCTCTAAATTTAGCGACAGATTATGTCGCATGGTCTATCCACCAATTCAATTTTCCCGCTAAATTTAGCGGAAAAATTGACGTCACGTGACATACCATAAAGTTCCGAGAGAATGCTTGCCCCCAAACGCCCATCCTGTTTTTCTCGCTAAATTTGTTTAACATAAAAATTCCGAAACATTGTCCACCACCCAATTCTTTTTAGACGTCACGCGATGTTCGACGGTAATCGCATTTGCTGCGTGATCTGGTGTACCGGTACATCTGATAAGCAAGTTCATAGCGGGTTCCCATGTTTTTGTCCACTATCTGCACGCGCAATATCGGCTCACGTAACACGCGAGTTGTTCCCGTGTGTATATTGCACCATGAAATGTGAATCTGCTGCGTTTGTGGTATTCGTTCCCGTGTCATAAAAGTTTCTAGCGGGTTCCTGCGTTTTTTCCGCAACCTGCGCGCGCGATATCGATTCCCGCAACACACGAGTTGGTCCCGCGTGTATATTGCATCGCAAAATGTAATTCTGCTGCATTCGCGATCTGCTATATTTGTCCCCGTAACATACGAGTTTGTAACGGATTCCTGCGTTTTCGACTGCAATCTGCATGTGCAATATCAGTTCCCGTGACAGGCAAGTTTGTAGCAAATTCACGCATGTTTATTGCATAAAACTTGAGCCTGCTGCATCCACAACCTGCGGTACCCTTTCCGGTGACAGGAGTTTGTAGCGAGTTCCTGCGTGTTTATCGCACCGTGAAACGCGATTTTGCGGTGTCTGCAATCTGCGGTATCAGTTCCCGCATCACGTGGTTTGTAGCCGGTGCCAGGGTGTTCATCATTAATTTTTTTATAGGGTTTTGCGGTGGCATCCCGAAAGATAGCCCGCCCCATGTTTTTCAGCATTTACCTCTTCATTATGGGTGGGTGTTTTTTCAGAACTTTACGATATACACCAATTCAGTTTTCCGCCAAATTTCACGGAAAAATTGATATCACGTGACCTGACGTCACGGGACCTACAGACGAATTCAGGTTCCCCGCTAAATTTAGCGGAAAAATTGTCAATCGACCGTCATCGTTGAATGGGCAGCACAGCTGTTGGTTAAACACCTCTTGTCGTCTAAACGTCGCACAATCTTTCTTTTCCCTTAGTTTGTTTCACTTTTCTTATTTTAGCCACTGGCAGAATGAGAATGGCAGGTAGGTCCCTCAGTTGTCCCGCCTCCAGTGCAAGCCTCTTAGCTTCGATGACGCTTCAGTGTCTCACGAGCCTCGAGCAAGCACGTGCAGCCAGAGCCCGGCGAAAGACGACGTGCTGGAGGCCGTGCGTTTGAAAAAGACGCCCTGCCGCTCCCACCTTGCCAGTCACTATAACATTTTGTTCGGCCAGCAATCCATAGCTGTGTCGTTTCCTCAGTTTCATTCGTCTGTCGTGCCCCAACTCTATTGCTGTTTTGGTCCTTGACCCCGAGTCACATTTGGTCAGCGGAAGTTGGGCTGGCAGCGCGAGAAACTGGACGACCTGCTGCTCCCTGTGCTCCGCAGGATGGGTGAGAAGCAGAGCCAGGTGAGAAACAGGTGGAGGGGGTTGAGTGGACATTTGTGAATTTCAGAAATATTTGAATGTTTGTGAACATTTAGGAACATCCGTGAATATTCATCAACATTTGTGAACATTTACAAATGTTTGTGAATAGTTGGAAACCTTTGTGGACATTTAGGATTGTTTGTAAACATTTAGAAACATCTGTAAACATTCACAAACGTTCATGAGGATTCACAAATGTTTGCGGACATTTGTAAACACTTACAAACATTCACAAAATTTTGTGAACGTTCATTACCATTTGTAAACGCAGACGTTTTTGAACATTTGTGAACATTTACAAGTTTGTGAACCTTCCTGAGCATTCACAAATGTTTGTGAACATTAACATTCATGAATATTCATTAACATTCGTGAACATTCACATGTTTGTGAACAGCCATGAACATTCATCCATCAAAATTTCTCTCCAAACCTTGCTGGTGATTTCCACTACATGGAGCAGATTTTGGATCAAGGGCCTCCAACTTGGCCCATGTAGCATATGCTTTTAGGGGAAAGTTTGGACGAGTTTTGATCTCGCTGCCTTTCGCCTCACAGTATCTCGACTTGCCACAATTCTTTCATGGCTAATGCATAGAAAATTGAAATGACGGTATTCTGTAATGAGTTGGCAACTTTTTTTTTTTTTAAAGTAGGAAATTGCTTTGCCAACATTTATTGCACGACCAAAAATGCACAGCATAAGTTTCATGCGTGGCTTCACACTACTAATTGTATAGCAAATAGGATGCCAACAACAAAAACGAGCTTGGCTCGTTACAGCTAGAGTTCCTTGCCCGGTTTTGGGGATTGTTTTTTCTAGTTCGGGAGTGTTTTATCGGAGTTTATTTTCTCCCAAAGTGTCAGTGTTTTTCAATACCTATTTCTGATGTCGGTCAAAACTTTGGTGTTTATCGGGGGACACACGTGCGTCCCGAATACCTGGAAAACGTCCCAGTAACGGCAAGAAAGCGAAAATAGAAAAAGAGTGTGGTTCCCAAAGAAAGAAGTAGCCTTGCAGACAATTCAGTCGAGGTCCTATTCCTGGTCTACAGAAACTAAAGCTGTAAATAAAAATTTATGCCCTGGATCCTTGGCTCTTTATAAAGGTATAGTCTGTTGTGTTGAAAGGTTCCTTTAAACTATACCTGTCAGTGACTAAGTATAGTTTGTTGTGTTGAATATGGGGCAATCACTCCCACAGTCGGGTGATGTTGTTAAAAAAAAACGCAGAAGGGAATAAAAGTGACTTTTTTTACATAATGTAGCAAAAGGCTCCCTAACTGCCTTCAGGAGGCAGTCACGGGGCCAGCTATATTGGGACAAACAGGTTCGACGTATCTAGAGGGACTGTCGTCCGTGCAACTACCTAGGTACCTTTCGAAGAGGAGCTGCACGCTGTTTTCGTGTGCTTGGCGTGTTCACCCTAAAGGCCCGTTCACACTCTTGCGACCGAGTACGACTGAGAGAGACGAGATCTCTTAAAACTTGTTAAATGTTTTTAGAATGAGGGAACACACTGACATTGTGGCGCCATCTATGCGGTGACCCTGGAACTGCATTTCACAAGAGCGAAGGTTTTGCGGGATTTCCGAGGTCAAATGTGCGTAATACCCATAGAAAGGCTCGTTTATAACATTGACAAAAGTTTTTCGAGCCAAGAAAGAAAGGATAATGCGCGAGAAATAAAAAAATGTGCCGGACCGCCGAGTTTACACTGCTTCCCAATAGATGGCGCCAGCGGGTTTTCTGGTTTAAGAAGTTTTAAGGAACCCAGGTTTAAGAGGTCGCAAGAGTGTGAACGGGCCTTAATTTTATCCTTGTAGAACTGGTCACTTACCTGAACATTCCTCTTGTCCCCTTGTCACTCAAACTTCAGAAATCTCTTTGCGCGAGATGCGGAAAAAGCACAGGCTCCCGTCATTCGCCATTCAGTTACCCCTAGAAACGTGTTGTGCCACTTCTGAGGTACAAAGTCTCTCGTAACGCAACAATAATGGCACAAAAAATTGCAATGGTTCCCATACAAATAGCCAAGATGTCCGCTAGCATCACCTGCATGTTGCATCCAGTGAGTTTGCACGTGTGCAGAACCCTTTTTGGAAAAGGTCCACTGGCTTAGAGGGGAGAACCTGGAGGAATCTTCTTTGTTCTAGTTTTTGAGCTAGGTGGCGTAAGCTAAAGGCCCGTTCAGACACATGCGACTTCTTAACACCGAGTGCCTTGGAACCTCTTAATGTCTCTTAGAACGAGAGGACACACTGGCACCATCTATTGTATGGGGAAGCAGTGAAAACTTGGTGGTCCCTATTTCTCTCGCGCATCATTCTTTCTTTCTTGGCTCGAAAAGCTTTTGTCTTTGTTATAACTGACCAGTTCTCATAGGTATTACGCACATTTGACCTCGGAAATACCGCAAAACCTTTGCTCTTGGGAAATGCAGTTCCAGGGTCACCACATAGATGGCGCCACCGTGCCAGTGTGTTCTCTCGTCCTAAGAAATTTTAAGAAGTTTCAAGGTGCTCGGTTCTAAGGAGTCGCAAGTGTGTGGACGGGCCTTAACACCCATCATAAAGGGTACAGTCACTAGTATCCATCCATCTACTCAGACCCGGATGGACCAGTACCTGCACGTGCTCCAGTCGCCCCGTAAGCCCAAGCTGTTCCCGAGCAAGCGGCTCTGCAAGGCCCTGGGCAAGATGGCCGACCAGCCGGTGTACAAAGCAGAGAGCGAGCCCCAGCTGTCAGAGGAGAGCGACTGACCGTGGTGACCCGCTGTACGCCACCTGGATTCAATGAAGTGCACACTCTAGAAAGGAGGCAAGCATGTCAGTCATCATGGTGACATACTACCATGTTTCCTAGGCCATAGTCCGCAGACTATACATGTTTAGAAGTTCAATTTGTGCAGCACGGTCTATGCAAGGATTTGTTTCTTCAGAATCGTTCGTTACGAGACGCGACAGAATTTTTGGGTGACAGAGTATGTTAATTAAAGACAGGTTCGCGCATACATTGCAGCACTAAATGAACACTAGGAACTGCGCTGATGCGGCGTCGACTGGAAAGTAATTTAGAATAGATGTAGCGCTGTATCACCGATATAGCACGAAGTCGGCACTGCATCAGGAGAGTCAGCACTATTTCCAGTGCTGACTCGTAGCACTGTTATATATGTGAACAGGACGTGATGACAATTTATGTCGATACGAGCTTCTTTGCGAACTACTATCTAAGCTTGTTACAACAGACCTGGTTACAACAGACATTTGGATATAACATGCCGATTTGTGAAGTTCGGTTGGTTTTCCTCCATGTACCTTCGACTCAACTTCATATCTGCATACTACATACTCTTCTTACAACAAACAAAAATCTTGGTCAAAATCAAGGTCTGGTATAACGAGCTTAGACTGTAATAAATCGGGCATTTATCGCAGTGTACGAGAATTTCTTACGTGCAGATTGGGCACCAGATGTGGATTGTGGACCAGACGCACACTAATACCAACGTAGAAAAAATAAATTTTGAACCAAAATTTGTTTTTTTGTGGATTATATACGGGGTCTGGTATATTGTCCGGAAAATATTGTATACATTGGGAATATTTAGCCGAATTTGCTTTTGGTACAGGCAGGCATGGATTGTGTTTTGCAAGGGGCCATCAATAAAAGATAGTTTTCTTCCCTGGTGCTGCATCGAGGCTTCATTAAAGTCCTCCAAATTAAAGGAGCACAAGTTTGGTCTCGCAGCTAAAAGACCTAATGCTCCGCAGTTTTTTTATGTTTGCAGAAGTCTCTGTGGGAGCTCTGGAAATGGTAGCCACAAGGTTACATGTGCGTTTCACAAGACTATTGTCAGAGCTGTAATGATAATAAACGTGGAACAAGCTTTTTGTATTTCCCCTCCAGCAGCTTAGGTGTAGATCCCTTCCTACTTCTCTGAAACAGTAGAGCAGGTTCGAAAAAGGTTGAAATCCTAGTGAAATACAGTTATGAAGTGACTCAAAGTTATATTTCAAAGTGCAGTGTTCCAAGCAGTGCACCTCTGCACTGCAATTGAATGGCTTGAGATAGTAATTCATCCTGTAATCCTTCATTGCCCATGACAGCCGTGAAGTCTCTGTTTGGTGACAGAAACAAGATAGTAAAGCTCTAGTGCAGTGGAATTCCACTGTCAATGCTTTCTAACTAATGACACAACTTGACTCTTGCCATGAACCATAGCCTGATTGTACCTATATTGTATTTGGACACTCTTTCTCTTACAGGCTGTTTGGCCCCGTGTCACGTGTACAGAGCGAATGCATCCACCAACCGGTTCGGCCCCTCACATCTTGGAACATCTACACTCCAAGACGATCACACATGAGCAATTAAGATTGGTCTCGTCTTATCTACTAATCAGTTTTACAAATATTGGATCCTTTGTCCTACCCTCGCATGCACATCCTTTTTAAATTGAATAAACTAATTTAAGAAACGGGCGTTTGCTTTCTGTAGAAACGACACCATAAAGGACGGCTCACAGCATCTTGCTGCTATGAGCCTTAGGCGCTGAATAACTGCAAATTTCAAGAATGCACTGTCATGCACATTCTTAACTCTTCTTCAAAAGCCTGATGTACTTTTTTCTTGCGGGCTCCCCATTTGCAACAAATTTCTTCTGTGGAGGGAAGTTGCCAAGATCTCGTGACTCTGTCGGCACATGACGATGCCTACGAGAACTGGCCACTTTGGTGATGAAGTGGCTGACCCTTTTGGCTCTGTATACTCTTGCGGAAGAGGAGAGGAAAATTTCTGCGTGTTGTGCAACTCCGGATCAGATTAATGGCCAAGGAAGCTCTAAATTTGAGAAAAAATAAACCTGGAGAGGGGGGTTGAAATCAAGAGTGAGAGAAATTATATTGCATCTCTTTTAGAGCAGGGAGAAGACAATTTAAATGTAGCTGAATAATGAGTTTCAATTCGTCCATACGGGCAGCCTCCTCACCCTTTGAAAATCGGACAGCTTTACGAAACTGTGTAACAGCTTGTTGAAAACCAAGCAGACACTGGGCCAGAATTACATTCTTGCATGCAGAAGTGTATCTTATTTAATGAACCTTCCTCCCCCTTGCAGCCCCTGCACAAAGTGGTTGGGTCACATCACAAGTTTCACATCCTGATGTCTGAAAAGGATAGCAGCTTCAGGCTGAAACCACACCACATCACTGCTATTCATTACTTCACTGTACAACTTGCTCACACTTTTCTGCAGGTTCAAGCACATACTCGCAGCTCTCCGAAGTGTCACTGCTGAATAAATACACGTTATGGGGCCTGTTTTCAGAGCTCATGAACTTGCAGCTTTTGTAGATCGGTGGGTAAATGTATGAATTAAGCAGTGGCAAAAGGAGTGATTCACCGATCTCTACTATAGGGCTGGATGCCACACGGCTCCAATCTAGCGGCATGCGCTTGTGAAGTCGCCAGAACTTCCGCAGTTTAGACATACCTGCCCAGGAAGTGTACCACTGCGGGAGGCGTTCAAAGCTCGTTAGGCCAAAAAATTTTATTTATACAGGTCCTTAAAATTTGTGGGGTTTGTTAGTAACTCTCTCAAAGTTTTAAATTTATATATAAGAAAGGAAGAAAACTGGCTGTTTTTGACATTTCCCCAAGGCGTTTAAACTGTATAGCATTTAGAACACCTTTGTTCACGTCCACCCAATACCAAAGTCTGTCACGCCCATTACAGATCGCAATGAACAGATCGTCTATGAACTGGCACTTACACTGCCAGTCGGCCACTGCACAATGGCAACTGGCTTTTTGTCGCTGATGGGCCCGACGCTCTAGTTTTGCAACCGCGTGCCTTGCTCCTCCTTCTTTACGTTGCTGCGCTCGCAGTTGTCACTTCTGCGCCGGTTTGGCGCCACACGAACCCCGCAAGCAGACGCCTTCATAGTTTGTGTAGTCTGCGTTTCTGCCGAATGCACTGGGAAAAGTCTATGCAACAAAAGCAGGTGCGAATTGCACACCCCACATGCAATCGGCGACTGCACGCTCTTCTTTACTGAGGCTACGTCCCAGACTTGGACATAAAATGGCGTCTTCAGGGACACGCGCAAGCTTCCAAGGTTTTAGCGCCATCGAACAAGCGGTATCTAGCCCCCTCGTAGAGATCGGCGGATGAGTCCTCTGGCCATGGCGGAGACTTCAGGAGTCCTGATGCGACGCCTGCTGTTGCTGTTGTTGCTGCTGCTGTTGGAGCTGTTGTTGCTGAAGTTGCTGCTGCTGTTGCTGCTGCTGCTGTTGTTGCTGTTGTTGCTGCTGCTGCTCCTGCTGTTGCTGGTGCCGCAGACGCTCTAGTTCGTTCATTCGAGACCGCGCATGCTCCAAACGGTGGAGTGCCATGTGGAAGACCTTCTGTGCCGCGTAGCTCGAGCCTTCGTGAGGTTGCACTGTAAAACCACAAGAGCACAAGACGTTGGCATACGTAGCAATAATGGGAGTGCAATGCAATGGGCACTGGGATTAGAACTGTGCATGTGCAGAAAATATAAACGGGAAGACCAAGACATTACAAGAGTCTTTGACCCAGATTATGATCCAACTGGAAAGTTTGTATCACCATTTTGTGTCCTTGTGACGAATTGAGGCATAGTGTGGAGTGAACAAGTTAGCTATGAAGACATTCATGCAAAAAGTCAGTATGCCTTTAACACATGGTACCGTAAGACATATTTCAAAGGTGAAATTTAGCTAGTCTGTGACAACTCTAACCAGAGGCATTTAAAGTATCACATAACGGTAAATAAGCCAAAGTCTGAGATGCAGTGCTCATCCATGTCAATCTAGCAAGAGGTGAAAGTTGAGCCTCTGCAGTGAAGAACCTTTGAAGCGCTGCAAGTTTAGCCCTAAGTTGAACCACCAGTCCCTACAGATGCTGCCTAATGTACTGAGAGTGCATAAAAAAAAAAATACTTTCAGCCAAAAATAATCTTGTACTCCAGGTCCCCACAGATGCTGCCTGCTGTATTAAAAATGCATACATAATTTTAAAAAAATATATTTCAGCCAAAAATAATTTTAGCGTGATATTTACATTTTTGTGATATGACTGTCAAAATAAAGCACATGTCGGAATCTCTCCTCACTCAAAATGAACTTCTCGACGTGAATATCACGCTAAAATATTTTTTTAGAAAGTTTATTTTGTGACATACATCTGCATCCAGGAACTTAAAAAAAAAAAAAAAGGGGGGGGAGCAATTTTGAAATACGTTTCTACGTCGGGTTGACGTGCCAAAATATCTGAATCGCTCACAACTCAAGATATGTCTCGCAACATAAATGCTGTGGTAAAATGGAAAAGGCTTGTTTACATGTCCCATCTAGAATTTTATTAGGAAAAACTTTTTTTGGGGAGTTTCAAGAAGCTTTAGTGCTGGTCCAAGACCATGCATTTCCTTTCATATGTGACAAGGTTGTACTTCCGACTACACTCTCGCATTGATGATACATGGAATATGCCGGCTTGTCTCATACAACCTTCTCTATAAAATGCGGGCCGTCATACTAATCTCAATCGGACGTTTCAGTCACTGTGTTAGTGGTATTCAGAAGGGTTTAAGCGGCAGAATCCACCTTTAGCAACAAGGTCACAAGAACTGCGTCCCAATGTAAGAGGTATGCGGGGGGAAGGGGGGGGGAGGGAAGGGATCTGTTACCTGTGGACACCTGGGTGAGATACAGGATATGTTTGGTGAGGCTGTTTTCCACGTTTTGCAGCGTCTTGACAAAGGCGGTTGCATTTGAGTCCACCTGCTTTGCGTTGGGTTTGTCTTTGCTGAGCTCCAGGCAAACTTGCCCTGCACAGTAGAAAAGCAGCGAGTGATTTCGAGGAATCAGTGTAGAATGCTTTGGTCCAAATAGATCCTTTCCAAACCCTATCCAGCAACAATGGCGGTCGCCATTTCTTGGTCCCGAAGCCTGTGATGGGATTCGAGTCCTCGCTGAACGCACTCTCGATATGAGCTGAGCCGAGTTCATGCCGAACGCTGACACAGCCCTCGTGTTCGATGCATGCTCGAGTATGTACCCAAACAATGGCGAACCCAGTTAATTAGTGCAGCAGCCACTAGATTGCGCACACTTTTGTAAGAGGTCCATTGTTTGGAAAACTAGGCTCTTGCTGCAAGCTTGATCCAATCCCAAATTCACTCAAGCTGTTGGAATGAGAGGTAGTGTGCCTGCCATATTTTCCGGACTGTACTTCTGGGACCATTGGCGACTCCAGCGAACTATAGGGAGCGCGCCGGTCGGGCAAAAGGACGAACGAAAGGAGGTCGGTTTTTTCGTTCAGAAGACGAAACACCTTGATTTCTTAGCTTGCGGCGTAAAATCTGTGTTACATTCGAAAGTAATGTGCTTTTTGGATGACAAAAACCTTCTTCAATACTCCGTATCACTAATTCTGTGCAATGCACACGAAGGTAAAGCCAGGCGAAGAAAGAAAGCGCAAGCACTAGGAAGGCAGGACGGGAGAGGAGGGCAATGGAGGGCGAGGGGAGAAAGGGCAAAAAGGGAGAGCACTAGGAACATCAGAGAGGAGAAGAGGTTTCTCTCCTGCTCCCCAGGTTTTATTAGTGCTTGCCCTTTCTCCCTAGCCTGGCGTTTCCTTTGTTTGTGCTGCACGCAACTATTGACATAAAGTATAGTCAGTGGATAAGAGTGACGCGGTGGAAGCATAAAAACAATTACTGAAAAAAATTTTTTTTTTTTCTCTTTCGCCAGCTCGATTTGCACATCTGGCCGAAACTTCCAGCTTAAAGGGGCCCTGCAATAATATTTAAGCATCTACCTTTTTTGCGGTTTCCACGTCTCTTGGGGTTCGGGCAAGCCAGCGGGCATGGAGAGAGTAACTAAATATCAGTGCATCATATTTTAACCAGACGACGCAGAAACGTCCTCCACCGACGGGGGCGACCCGCGGTACCGAAAGCACGCGAAATGTGACGTCTTTGGTCCTGGGCTTACTACTGGTCAGAGCCGCTAAAAGCTTCTTTTTAGTCCAAATACAAAATATAAGCGGCGCGAACCGTTTCAATTACTTATAAAAGTAGTTTTTGCTCAGTATTTTAGATCAGGAAAGAAACAATTGCAGTTTATAAAGTACGGAAACAAGAAATGACCCGTCGACATACCCGCCACCAAGCGGTGGAGAAGGCGGCGGCGCATACTAGGAAAGAGTAGTGGGATCAGGCACCGACACGGAAAGGTCCCGGATGTATGCGGCGGCGCTGCGGTCGTTTACGGACTGGAGGATCCGACCGGCTCCGAGCGTTCCGAAGGCCTTCAGCGAGTAGCTTTGTCTTGCGTTTTGGCCATTTCGCGGTACGGCAGCGCGAAGTGACTCCCATTCTGAACTGATCTTTACCCCGTGTTTGCTGTCGTTTGTGGCCAATGAAGTGTCATGCCGAATTAGTGTTTAATCGCGCAGCAAATGCAATGAGAGCCGCTTTGGCTGCCCGCTGTATACAGCCTATCCAGAATACGCTTTAGTGGCGCCCTCTCACGCCGTCCACACGGAGTGCGGCAGCCGTGAGCGCTTGCTGAGCTCACTATCCCTCCTCTAGTTCACGGCCGCTCAAGCAACCAAGGACGTCATGAGGGAGGTTATTTTTTGCTTGTTTTTGTAATTTTAATTTGCCTATAACTTTTAAAATAAGACGAAATTCGAGAAAAGAACAGTTACATTAAGTAACTACGGCCAGTGCGCTCAGGTTTGGTGCAAATTAAAAACCAGTAAAAAAGTGCTTGCAGGGCCCCTTTAAGAGGTGGACGATATTGAAAATCCCCAAGCCTCTTTGAAAGGTGACAAGCAATTGTTAACAACTAAGTACAGCCCTTCGGAAGGTTGTCAAAGTGCAGATAAGGGTTTGCACTAGATTTGTCCGACGCACTTCATATGCTGTTTTAGGGGTGACGTTTGAAGAAAACAATAAATGACCTCAATAGGCTTGTAAGCTTTTGCAGCCAAGTACAAGTGATTTTAGGGTATAAACTACTCGTAACCGGCGTCACCAGCTTACTCCCCCAAAAAAAGTAATGAAGTATTATTTTAGTGCTTTCTCTGATATAGAGGATCGGGGCATTACAGCTGGTTGTGATCAGGCCACCATATTCCGTTTTTATCTACAGGGAACATTCTTTTGTGATAACAAGTGAAAGCGTGATTATGTTGAGAAGTGCCAAAAATGTGAAAGCAAAATACGACCTGACTACACTTCAGCAAGGAATGTCGGCAAAGGCGTGGAATAATATGGGTCAGTAAGGCGTGCGTTCTGGCTTTCAGTTTATTATACTTTTAAGATATTATTGATAGGGAACATACACGGCATTCCCATGCATCTGTGTTTGTGCAAATTTAAATTGATGCTGTACGAAACTTCAATATAGTTTGCATAATAATTATGTTTTTCCTGACTTGTTAGCACAACCAAATGTTTTCGAGTCATTGGTGATTTGCGAACATTGATTAATGGCTGAAATTAGTGTCGGGCAGACGTGAGAATGGGCTTTGTGCCCAGAAACACACCATCGTCATCAAATTTGGTGTGTTGTGACATTGAAATTGGCTGATGTTTTAAATGCATAGGGTTCTGATATTCTTTTTGAGTAACAAATAAAAAGAAACAGATAGTTTGTAGGCACAGATTTATGTTTTTCTTTTGCCCAGGTCACTTTTGCAACCATTTTTGTTTTATACATGTACTCCTGTTTGTTGGTCCCACTACACGTTTCACATGAAGCATGATTTGTGTGATGGCATTGATGTTTTCACGTCCTTGTTCATCTCTTATTCTGTTGCGGCGCCGATAAACCACAATAATTTTATTGATCTCAATTGAAATTTTATGTGGTGCGGACCACACAACGACCAAGATTGTTCATTAAGACGACGTAACAAAGTTGGCGATTGACAGAATGTGTTAATGATGATTTACGTATGATACAAGCTTCTTTCTGAGCTAATAAAGCCGGCATCTGTCAAGGTGGGCTGTGCACAATCATTTTAGAGCACAGCTCTTAGGTGCCCGTTTTCGGCTTGAGCATCGTCGCCGTCGGCGTTCTGCGCGATGCATCATGGGAAATTTCCCATAAAGCAACGCGCGGGACCCTCGTGACGTCACTCATCACTTGTGACGTCACAAGGGTCCCGCGCGGTGAATTATGGGACATTTCCCATAATTCACCGCGCGGGGAGGAGGAGGGGAGGAGGCAAGGGGAAGGGAAAGACGAGGGGGAGGGAGGAGGAAGGGGACAGAGGAGGAAGAGGGGCAAGAGGAGAAGGGAAGAGGGGAGGAGGAGGGATGAAAAGGAGGAGAGGAGGCAGGATGACGAGGTGAGGAGGAGGGAGTAAGTAAAAAGCCCTTCCCTCCGTACCCTTCCACCCTCCTCCTCCTCAAGAGCTGCGCTCTAATCCGGCGTTACAGGGAGCTGTAAACGGCTTTCATTTCTTTTACGTGCAGACATGCGCCACGTACGAACTAGCTAAGGAAAGGCTTTTTCTCTTCTACTGAAATTTCCCCCCTGCGGACTAGACTACACGCCGGACGTGGACTATAGTTGGAGAAATATGGTAGATTTCCGTGTGTTTCGAACTGCTCGGTGAGGGTCCCATGGTTTATGGGGTGCATTTGCAATACAAGCTGCGATGAGGTGGCAAAAGTGTTGATCGTCTACAAGCGTCTCTGCCCCTCAGCCCGCATTCCTCCTTGCCATGTGACAACACAATGCATGCACACTTATGACTAATGTACTCCATGTGCTCCATGGTCTGAGTTGCTCCCTCTCGAGTATGTAGGCTCTCTAATAAAAATGACACCATGCAACATGCTGTGCATTTCACATTTTGGGCTGCACTTTTTGCTATCCAGCCCAGAGTAGCTCTTTCAACCAGGTCAATGAAGACTATCACTGTCGCTATACTTTGTTTCACCATAGCATTACAAAGGGCGAATGCTACGGCTCCCATGAGCCAGTCAGACTGTCAATGTGTCGTTGGCACACACTCTTCCTATTGAGAGCGCTTCCATACTTTTCTCCATCCCTCCAAAGTATAATGGGTGTCTAAAAACCTGCACAGCTCTGTGCTGCAGCAAATCGTTGGTAATAGGCCTTTCCAGAAAGTTTTACAAGACCTCTCGGCTACCCCACATTGCAGCTTCTTTTATTCACGAGTAATCCTTCACGCACTGTACATCAGATTTCCGTAATGCGCCCCAGAAGACGATGGGTGCGCTACATATATACAAAATTTTCTATTGAGAGTGGCCTTACCATCTACAAGTAAACCTGAGCAACATGTGTAGATTAAATTGTCCAGTGGAAATGCCTGGGCACCTGTCTGATTTGCGCACAAGCGCAGGTACTGTGGTGTTGTACTATAAGTTAGGTTGACTTGTTCAGGTTAGTTTTGTGTCGGTGCAAGTGATAGATATCACCTAGAGCCACTAAATGAGCTATGCTTAGATAGATTCGGTGTCAGGAAGCTCATATTTCTTTGTTCTGTCATTTGTGGAGGACGGAAAGGCGTTTCCTGTAATTTCAGATAAAGCTCCTGATAGCAGGCAACCTTTAAGTGTCGTTACTCTGAAGCGTAGCTTATTTAGTGGCTATAGTCATATGCTTCTTGCACAAGAGTTGCGGTGACGTTAAAAAGACGCCAAGCTGTGATTGGCTCTGGCTGAAGGATAGTGGGTAGACATCAAGGAAGCTGCCTTGAGGTCTACCCACTATCCTTCATCACCATATACCAAATTACTTCATATTATTGAAGTTTATGTGACACATCCCGATCTTATAGCATTTCCTGAACTCAGTCAAGATCCATCGCATACAAACAAATCCAGATAACGTGCGTTACGCTCTAGATTAGCAACTTACCTGCGCTCTGGAGTGCTGTCGCAACATCTTTTTCGATGTCCTCGAGCTCTTTGAGCTTCATTTTCAAGGTGGTCATCGAATTCTGCAAATCAAAATATTTGCTTTCGTAATCTTTTTTTCTTTTTCTTTCTTATACAGCGTATGTAATCTTGGGTTTAACTTCATAGTAAACTTTTAAAATTTAAAGTCTTCATTTACAAATGCACACAACAGTTTAACGAAAGCAGGAGACACGAACTGTTGGTAAACATTTCCACGAACGACAAGGTGGTTACGAACGGCCGTTTCCGTATTTATTCGGGGACACGATGATTTGAGAAGTGACTCAAGAGCGCATCAGGTGGGAGGCGTAATCAACTTACCATCTTGATCTTGTTTTATTGTCCAAATAATCGAGTTTTCTCGTGAATACAAATACGCGGGTACTTATTCACACACAAAATGGATGCGGCTTTCAACCGGAAAGGATTGGATTAGGTCGTCTCGTTCTAGTGCTACTAGCACAAAGCCGCCCTGAATTTATCTTGACTGCTAGCTTTAAAATTCTTGACTGTCAAAATTGCTTTATTTTAATATATATAATAACTTCTAAGACATTTTATAACTTTATAAAAATCAAACCGAGCTGCAAGTAAGCGCAATCTTTATGAAAAACCAAGCAAAAAAGCGCCTTCGCGAACATGACGGCACAAAATCTATTGTCTTTCACCAACCCTGTGCGCGACAGTGCGGCGGCCATCTTGCTTCATTTTCTATTTTGATTTGCGAGTGGAATTTTCGGACGCACCGGGGGTTGCCTGTAATAAACAAATGAACTGTTAAACCCACAAAGCAATGTGCGCCTATGTCAGCCATAAGCAGTCCCTTGCCCAGTGAGGAAGCTAAAGCGGACGCCGGAGCGGTCTGCAGGCGTAGGAAAACCTCAGGAAACCAGTCGGTCACTGAGCGTCCACGGAAAAGGCTCTCGGCGATGACCGACACGGGGAACCAGAGGAGGCCCATCTACTCGGCCTTAGCGGGCTCCAACGGCGTCCGGAAGGCGTCATCGCCCATGTCCAACAACAAGCCCAACTCTGCCAAAAAGCTGGTCATCAAAAACTTCGGTAAGCGTGCCTCCAGATGCATCAAGGCGGGCGCCTGGCCTGTCCCCTAGTTCGTTGTGCGTGCAACACCCGCGCAACGTGGGACTTCTCTTGCTTCTCTAGGGCCTCTTGCGACAATCACGAGTTGCAAAGTTCGTGGCATCTGTTTTTGAACGGTTTAAAGATTGTTTAAGGTAACTTCGACCGCCCGTGCGTGTGCGCCTGTGTCCAAGCACGGCTGTCTGCTCTGTTGCTCTCGTGGGTTCGGTACTTTTCGTGCTGGTGCTGATAGCGACTGCGCTGATACTTCAAACTTTGCAACGCGCTTGATTTCTGGGGCGTCTGCGACATTGTTTTGCGACTCGAACGAAGTACCCAGATCTTCGACGCATACTGCACCGTCTCATCGGAGCACACGAGCTGAGCGAGGTGCCTTTTCGAGATCAGTTTTGACAACAGAGTAGGAAACCATTATCAGTTGTGAACGCGCTACACTGTGTGCGTATCGGTAATTTTCGTCTAAACCCCGCTGGCCCTTCAACACGGAGGAAAAACGTCAGATTTAAAGGTTTTTAATCAAGGGAAGTAATAAAGCAGATTCGTGTTGAAAGTGTTAGCTACCATCAGTCATGCACGGGTTATGAGCAATATCGACACTGGGAACCGGTTTGCGAAGTCAGTTTTTTTGACTCGTGGCCCTTATCTTCCAGGGGAAGTGTTTCACAGACTTTAATCTACGGACAAACTAACCCAAGGCTGGCATGAGTCAAGAAGAGTGGTGTTGAAGTCAGAGGTTTGGTCCACTGTGCATGCTTCTGGAGATAGACAGGATAGAAACATAAACAAGGAACAGTCTGTACTTTTCTCCCCCCTAAGCTTTGCAACAGAATTTCCGGGAGCAAGTGCTAACATAAACAATATGGTAATGTCGAGACAGTCAGCAGATGCCATAGAGGGAAGACAGCCTCTTGAGTGGGAGTCATCTCACCGAAGGGGGTTCTATACTTGGGCTCAACTTTCTGTGGCAACAACGACAAAGCTGTGGGTGCCCGTGCACTCTCCGCTTGCACATCTTGAGCGCACAGTGAAAGCTGTACATGCACACTTTTCACTTCTAAAATGCCACAGAAAGTTGTCCGCGAGTATAGGGATTCCACCTCATTTAACCTTAAGCAACTAGCAACTAAGCCCACTTGTATTGAACATCCTTACGAAACCACCCTTATTCTTTGTGGTAAAGGTACAAGCATATGTTCCGTGAGCAAAACAAGAATTTTGTCTGTTGCAATCAGTGGTCGCAGTTCAGCCTGTCGAGTTAGTTTCTTTATTGTGTAAACTAACACCGACACATGCCCTAGAACCCTGCTTTATCATACATGGTCAACTCGGCAAATCTTCATATTCAGTTTCTAACAGCTTGATTTGACTATCATACATGGTCAACTCGGCAAATCTTCGTATTCAGTTTCTGACAGCTTGATTTGACTGAGTATTTGCGTCTTGGTTGTTAAGCGAAAGCCAGTGGTTTTTGCCACTGTGAAGCAAAGGCCACTGGAAGATGTTTGTTTTAATGCGAAACCATTAACTGGTCCCATTGAGTGAGCCAACGTCATCAGTTTGAAGAGCACCAGGCGGCACCTTAAATCCTCTCTCCAGGTGAAGCTTGCTCCCAGCTATGAAATTAACCGCAAAGCTTATTTACGAAAATAAGTTGTCAAGGCTTTAAAAGGCATGTGACTGTGTGAAGGCTCGTTGCCACCGCTCATGCTGCTTTACCTAAATGTTCCGAATTCTGGTTAGAAAAATGTAAGATTAGGCCACTTGAAATAGGGACTTTCTAGGTACCATTGTAATCAGTGCTACAGTTGTGTCCTGAGGGCACACCTGAGGCACATTTACATAAAGGATTATTAGCTTTTGGAGAATGTATTTGTTTTTCTATGATGCCCTTTAAGTTCACAGATATTGATAGAGAAGTAGCAGGCTTGTCATCAGTGCGAATGCTTAAAAACGAATACTCCTAAACTTATTTTAAAGGGCTGCATCTAAAAGCTATGAAAAGAGATTATGTGGAAATAACCAGTATCCTTTCATGCCTGTGGGCAATAGCGGTTGAAGTGATATTGTTTTAACAGGTCACGGAGGAATTCAATTTAAATCGAGAATTACATTGCTTTATAGTAAGCGTCCAGAGGTTGCCATAATCGTGGCAACAAGCATATCATGACCTCAGTGCATCAACAACCGTGGAAAATCGAAAATTACACCTGCCACATTCTCTTTAAAGTCCACATCAGCCATCTTTAAGACATCAAATTGAACCTGGGGCACTTCTGTGTTCATGACCAATCTTTTATATAGTTTGAGTTATGCCAGTCCTATAGACGTTTTCCATTTCCCGTCATTCTCTGTCATGTGGGTTCCGTATCTGGCATGCGGGACAAAAAAATAATAGAACATTTCAACCTGGAATATGCGAGAAAATGTAGGTGAGGCAAAACAAAATGTGTGACAATCACGCATTTCTCGTAAACAACTTCCTGCGGCGTGGAGAGATCAAAAAATGTTTTACCGCATACCAGAAGTGACGACATTCAAGATGGCTGTGCCCTTGTGGAAAAGGTGTATCAGTCAACAAATTTGTAATTGAATCTCTGCGAGGTATGGTGCCATGCATTCACATTCACGATTGGCCATGTAGTTCACATGATCTTAAGTCTCCCTGGCATGCGAAAATCATTCCATAATGCCTTGCCTGGCATAATGTTGCAGTATGTCAACTCCTGTGTCCTACCATTTATTTGGTCCCTGGACCCGTCGAAAAGTGCCGCAAGGTCGTCGATGCTCCACTTCAGTATTTATTTTGCCGTTTCAAGTATACAATGAGCTTTTAGTAGAACATGCTCTGTCATGCTTACACTTGTCTTTTTTTCTGACTGAACTAAAAAACATGAAATGCTGAGATGGTTAGAACACAAAGTGTATCATCCTGGTTGTACCCCGCTAACATGCTCGTCCCTTTCACACTTTTTTTGCCTCATATATATTGATTGTGTTACTTTAACCGTTGCTCCTCTCTCCCCCTCTTACCATAATGAGCCCTGTCCTGTTTATTGGAGAACATTTCATTCCTGTTATTCCCTGTTCTTTACATTGATCTATCTACAGTCTAAGTCTTATCTTCTTTTTAAACTTTACCCTTTTGGCTTTCTTTGTGAAGTTTCAAATTATAAGGAGAGCCGACATGTTTCAAATTATAAGGAGAGCAAGACGTCTGCTTCTTGCGCAGGAGTTGTGGTGATGTCAGAATGACACCAAGCACTGATTGGCTTTGATTAAAAAGATAGTGGGTAGACCTCAATGCTAGATGCCTTGAGGTCTATCCACTATTTCGTTTCGATCAGCCAACAAGAGCTCGGTGCTCTGACATCGTCGTAAGCTCTGTGCCAGAAGCAGACAAACTTGCGCTCTGCATAAGGAGGCTAGCGTGCATTCTGTCGCGGGGTCTGACCCGTGCCCTCCTGCAGAGAGACCCCAGCTGCCGGACCGCTATGAGGAGGTGGCGTGGGCCAAGCTGCGGGAGGCGGTGGTGGCCATCCAGCAGTCGCAGCGCATCAGCACCTCTCAGGAAGAGCTGTACCAGGCCGTGGAGAACCTCTGCTCCCACAAGATGGCGCCACAGCTCTACGACAACCTCCGGGACCTGTGCGAGCAGCATGTGCGCTCCGCCCTCCACACCTTCTTCAAATATCCTTATACGGTGCAGGCTCGGTGCCCCGCTGTGGGGAGAGCCGGGAGCCGTTCCCAGAGTTACGGTGTCTGGAGCGCTTCTCCGACTAGTGTGTTTACCGCGTTTTCGAAAGTGGCCCCCCAATCTGGCTCGATGATGTCTTAAAAAGTGAGTAATTCTGTACGCATGACGCAAAACTTTTTGCGTCTTGCCTGGTTTGCAGGGGGAGGGGGGCAAGGATTGGGTAAACATGCCTCGGTGAATCACGCACTAACCTTTAATTTCTTCCAGATCTGATTACGCACTTGGTAAAAAATACCCTATATAAACCAGTGTCCGAAATCCTAGCCCCAGCGATAAAAATGGAAAATAATAACCTCAAATGCAAGCACTTGTGAAGAGGAGGGCTACTCATAGAGCAAAACTTTTACATTTTACGGCACTCTTGTCATTGGTGTCGTTCTTGTAGCTTTGTGACTATGCATTTCTGATGTTCTCGCACTACGATATGTTCGAAGGTTTCTAAAAAAAGAGGCTCACAAAAGGTGCAGCCCCCCTATGTGTCGTGGCTTTGGCATAAACAAACCTGGTGGCACCCATGGAACTGAGCAGACACTGGTCTATATAATGCTCATAAAATGGATTTTCAAAGCTCTGGCGTGGCTTCGCAGTAATGCGCCCGCTTCTGACGTGGCAGACTCGGGATCAAATCCTGAGGCTGGCAGGCATTCTTTTTCGACCATTTAATGATATCGACGATTGATGGCCTAAGCTATCGGCAACATGTATTTTTATCTTTTTTTTACAGCTATTGCCGTGAAATGGTTATGTTTTTGACAAAACTTTGCGAGATTATAAGGAGCCAAAATCCACCACTAAATTGACTATATAATGTGAGCTCTCCGTGTCAGGCGTATAGCCACTTCCGCTTGAGGCGCACTATGTCGTGCATACAGCATCACTCTAAAGGCCCGTTCACACTCTTGCGACTGCTTGCGACCTCTTAAACCTGGGTTCCTTAAAACTTCTTAAACCAGAGAACACACTGGCGCCATCTATTGGGAAGCAGTGTAAACTCGGCGGTCCGGCATATTTTTTTTTATTTCTCGCGCAATATCCTTTCTTTTTTGGCTCGAAAAGCTTTTGTCAATGTTATAAACGAGCCTTTCTATGCGTATTACGCACATTTGACCTCGGAAATCCCGCAAAACCTTCGCTTTTGTGAAATGCAGTTCTAGGGTCACCGCATAGATGGCGCCACAATGTCAGTGTATTCCCTCATTCTAGAAACATTTAAGAAGTTGTAAGAGATCTCGTCTCTCTCAGTCGTACTCGGTCGCAAGAGTGTGAACGGGCCTTAAAGGCCCGTTCACACTCTTGCGACTGCTTGCGACCTCTTAAACCTGGGTTCCTTAAAACTTCTTAAACCAGAGAACACACTGGCGCCATCTATTGGGAAGCAGTGTAAACTCGGCGGTCTGGCATATTTTTTTTTATTTCTCGCGCAATATCCTTTCTTTTTTGGCTCGAAAAACCTTTGTCAATGTTATAAACGAGCCTCTCTATGGGTATTACGCACATTTGACCTCGGAAATCCCGCAAAACGTTCGCTTTTGTGAAATGCAGTTCTAGGGTCACCGCATAGATGGCGCCACAATGTCAGTATGTTCCCTCATTCTAGAAACATTTAAGAAGTTGTAAGAGATCTCGTCTCTCTCAGTCGTACTCGGTCGCAAGAGTGTGAACGGGCCTTAAAAATCTAATGTCGCCGCCATTTTTGGTGTATGTTGCTCTGCAGCTGGACAGTTGAGGAAACCAAAGCAGACGCAAAATCGGATCCTGCGACGACGGTGACCCTCGCGTCTGCTCACCTTTTTGGCCCGAGTTTCTGTGACCAACCGCCGGGATCGCGACACCGACAGCATTTCACCCCGGCTCCTATGAGACAATTCGCTACCACTTCGGGACCACTTTTGACGCATGTGCGGGATAGGACGCTAATCAAACCGGTCGAAGATACATTCCAGGCACGGTACCAGGGATCCGTGTTTCATGGCGCCCTCTGGGGATGAGTCTAGAGGTCCCTGATGAGTTGCTCGTGGTCATACAGTGTCTCGTTACGCTTATAAATGAAAATGAGCACTTGGCGAGAAAGCTCACTACACGGAAGCCAAGGAATCATTCTTGGGCCCCTGACCACATAATATGGGATTGAATCTTTTGCTAAAGTGCACGGTGCTCTTGGTAACCAAAATGTGCATCGTAATAATGAGTTAGCGATTACTTGGGCTCATTTCCCTCACCTGGTGCCTACCTTCCTGGGCCTTGTGATTTTGCGAGGTTTTGTTGAATTAGTTTCCAGCATTTCCGTGGTCAGCCGGCTTTTATTGGCAAGCATGACCCTTAACTCCCGCTGCACAGAGTCGCTGGACAACACACTCTTCCTGAAGCTGATGAACGACTGCTGGCAGTCCCACTGCCAACAGATGGTGAGTGCTGTTTGCTGATCGCTGTGTTGTCAACATTCTACTGTCTTCTGGGGACTGATGTTGGTAATATGTGTGCGTTGTCTGGTGCAGATAATGATCCGGAGCATCTTCCTGTTCCTTGACCGAACGTATGTGCTTCAAAATGCTGCTGTGGCTTCCATATGGTAAGTATGCATGTGCGTTGCTACTGAAAAGCAAGAAAGAAAGATAACTTTTTTAATACATCCTGAGACATGAAGCCATGAAGGTGGACAAGCACCATTTTATGTTTCATGTTGTCCCCCTTTTTTTTCAGTCAGTTTAGTGTTTTTAGGACGGCATCATTTTAAGAAAGCAGCCAATTCCTAATCTATTTTCTTAATCTATTCAACACCGCAAACCTGTACCGATACCGTATGAAAAGAGAGGGCTGACTTGACATCAGTAAAGTAAATATGCAAAAGTGTATGTAACTGACAATTGTGAACTACCGTAGATACTGTTAAACTAGTAAAACAAAAGTTTGTCAAACCGGATCTTCTTGCTTAAGGGTTGTGTTCAAACTCGCACGAAAAAAGTATGAACTGAAAAACAACAGCAGCAACGCTGTCATCTCTAGTGACAATGCCTTTGAAAATCATGGCAGTCGGTCACTGTTTGCCGACGTGAACCTTACTCTGGCTTCACTGACATCTGCCAGTGTCTGTTGTTTTGCCAAATTCAGCACGAGCCCACAGTGTTTCAGCGTCCAATCTGAAGCCTGGCTTTGCGTTCAGGGACGTTGGCCTGGAGCTGTTTCGGACGCACATAGCAAGCAACAGCAGTGTTCAGGGACGCACGGTGGAGGGCCTCTTGCAGCTCATAGAGAAGGAGAGGGGAGGTGATGCGGTGGACCGCTCTCTGCTCAAGTCGCTCGTTCGCATGCTCTCAGACCTTGGCATGTACGGAGAGGTGAGTTTTTGCCGGCATGGGTTTCCCTAGAGCCACCAAATGGGCCATGCTTAGAGTACAGACACTCCATTCAGCAACCGTCTAGTGGGCGCCACCATCTTGTTCCCTGGTGCAGGGTGGGTGCAATAGGTGATGGTTGCGATTAGAAAATTAGACTTTTCAAGTCTTGAATGCAGTGTTGGTGGGTTCAGGTGATACTGTTTTGCTGTGTTGCAGACTGTTTTTTAACATTTCTGGAGGATCGGAAACTGCTCCCGTGATTTCAGATAAAGCTTTGGGCAACTGGCAACAATGATTTCAAGCAACAAGATGGCTGAAGTGTAACTTACTAATTAGCAGCTCTAGGTTTCTCTAGCTGTTTGTGCAGGTCGGACGTTTGCCAAGCAGACGTGGTTTGCGGCGAACACTAGACTCCGAAGCTTTTGAATTGAAGTGCACTTGGGAGTGCCAGAAAGTGTTTGTGATAACTGCCGATTTAGCTCGAGATTTTATGTTTGTGCAAGCACCGAAGTTTTGCTTGGGCCAGTGTGATGTCTCCATTCGCTTTAGGCCCAATGACCGTATTGAGGTGTTCCAAAGGGTCCAAGGGCTACGAACAGTCTCTAGACAATTCTCAGAAGCAAAGAATATTGTGAAAAATTCCAAAACTAAAATGGTAAAATATGGAATGGAACGGGCGACATACGACAAGTGAAGAGATGGAAAGGTTGACGTGAGATATATTTCCGTGCAGGTGTTTGAGGGACGGTTTCTGGAAGCGACGGAGCGTCTCTACGGTGAAGAGGCGCAGCGTTTGTTGCAAGAAGCGGAAGTTCCGGCCTACCTACAGCACGTGGAGCGCCGCCTGGCGGAGGAATGGGAGCGCCTGCTTCACTACCTTGACCACTCCACAAAGTGAGCCACACGAAAATGTCTCCTATGGGTTGGTGTCACACAGCACTCTTCTGGCTAGACCTTTTGTAAGAATTCATGCTGGGGAACCCTTGCCTCATGCTTTGTACATATGGAGGCAATGTTTTCGAGCAGGGTTTTTGTGCTGCCTCAGCCTGCATGCGTAGCGGTGTTCAGGCTTGGGCAGCACAAAGACCATGCTGGAGGCTTGGTCACGTTGTTCAAAACGAGGTTGGAATGGACCGTCACATTTTCTGTTGTCGTAATGTGACAGTTGGTCTTATAGCTTTTTATGCCAGAGGGGCCCCTTGTGCCATTTAACACTTCTCAGCTAGCACTAAAGTGGACCAGCTCATATTGCTGCTGACTGTACATAGCGCGACTGTGTGTGCAAACAAGCCATCTCCGTTTTTTTTGTTTTTTTTTTCCTTTAGAGTTGGAGGGATAGTATTAAAAGTACCATGTAGTGTGATGGAAAGCGAGCATTTGGGGCACTACCTAAATAAAAAAATTTCGAAGGAATGAAAAAAAGCTGGTATCAGATTTTTGCAGATGTTCGGTATGGCCACTGTAATCTCATTGTTACATATTGGCAACTTTTACATGCAATTTTCTAATGAAGGAGACTCCTGGGTTTTGGGTATTTAAAGAGCGCTCTCGCACTCAGAGCCATTTGCACTGAGAGAGGGGCCTATGGGTGGGGCTTGTGGCCCGATGGCGCGAGCCGACTTTGTACTAACAGATTGTGTTGTGTTATCCTATCAAGAAACGGTGACAGTTTGTTACGCGTCAAGGACACAGGATGGGAGAGGTAGCATACTGTTTCCCAGTTGGATGGATAGATGGATGTTAACGGCCGTACCCTTTATAGTAGGTGGTGGCTAGCACCATATAGCCTAAAAACTAAAAAAAAAAAAATTATCCTCCCCCCCCCCTCTTTTTTCCTTTGCCTTCAACCCCCCAGCGAGGGAGTTGCCAGCTTTCCCCTGGTCAAACCATGTCTGCATTACACCAACATCATACCCGTCGGGGGAGGGTGGGGTTGAATCTTTAGGCTGCAGCTATGGAGTGGAAGTCTGTCCCACCATCTCTATGGGCTTTCCCCGTACCCCAGACCACCAGACTCTCTCCATCGGCACATGACTCCGGGCCTAACTCTCCAGTTCGAGAAGAAGGCTAGCACAGAAAAACATGCTCAGCAAACATCAAGATCAACCAGGCAAAAAATGTGCAACAAGAAAGACAAAAAAATATAGATAAACATTTTTTTTTTTTTATCTTTTAGGGACAACTTTTGTATCCTTATTAATATGTTTTCTTAATAATCCCTTCCCTCGTTGCTCTCAACTTTCATAATTTTCTATAAAAATAAAAGCCCTCTGATAGAACCTGTTCCCCTAACAGCCATTTCAAAACTTCTTTTTTTTTTTCCTTCAAAATCACCATTTGATGGACCTCCACTCTTCTTATCTTATATTCCATTGGCTTTAAATCAGTCGTGCCTTCCCAGGAGGTGCCGATTGAGAATCTTTATTTCTCTATCTTTTTTACTTTCTCGCCTGATCTTACGTCCCCCACCTGCGCTAGTTAGTTCTACTTTGTTCAATTGCCAAACTCCCAGCCACAATCGCCAGACTGTCGACACCCTTAAAAGATTGCCACACGCTCGTTATAAACGGCTCTGGTGGCACCGAAAAGTGGTCTTCAGACGGGGCAGTTGGTGTGGAGTTTGTGACGCTTGTGCCCCTGCAGGAAGCCCCTGATCAGCTGCGTAGAGCGGCAGTTGCTGGGGCAGCACCTGTCCCTGATCCTGCAGAAAGGCATGGATCAGCTTCTGGACGACAATCGGGATCTGGGCCTCATGTACAGCCTCTTCGCTCGGGTCAAGGACGGGCTGCCCATGCTCTGCACCCACTTCAACCACTACGTCAAGGTCGGGATGCACCCCTTCTTTATGCCGATCCTGTCGGTCCGCTTCAAGCGGGAATCTGTGGCCGATCGCGTTCTAATCACCGACGGAAGGGCAGGGAGAGGTTTTATTTGCCCACCTCCAGCGTGAGCCTCTTACCCTCAATAGCACACCGGCATCTTGTGAGCCTCAAACGTTCACGCACAGCCGCAAAAGACGACAAGCATGCGCCGGAGGTCGGGCGTTCCAAGGAGGCACCCTGCCATTCTCGTCTTGTCGGGCACGTGGAGTTGAAGCTTGTGCCACCAAACCCGAGGATCTCGCGTTCAATCCCCCCCCCCCACTCCCCTGCCCGTTTTGATCTGGACGAGCTTCGGATTGTCGTGCGATTGCGTATCACTACTGCGTTGTGCGCGTTAAAAGCTCCGGGCTGGCGGTTGTACTGCACTGGCTAAATTTCCCGTATACGTCGAAAACACCGGATGCCCACTGGGGCTAGCTTACTTCCCGCCATCCGAACGCGCAATTATGTCTGACAATGTTCAGTGTTGTCGGGGGTGCCTTAAATAGATTTATCTTTCATTCATTCGTACCTTAAAGTCTGATGCAATAGGTGTCAAAGGCCTAGATTGCTCTTAGTTACATGAAAGGAGAAATTGGCATGAACGAGGCATTTATGCCCTCCCTTTCACTTCTCTGCAGTGTGCTTCGAGAAGTAGTGACTCTGCTTGTGAATACTTGAGCAGGGCCGCTTCGCAGCTTGGTACTTTCAACACTGTTGATTTATCAGAAAGTGCCAATGTAGTCAGTGGAGTTAGCATAAACGTAGCTTTGATTTTAGTAATATCGTGTGAATACCTGAAATTTTTTTTATATACGTTGTACTGCTGTAAAGTTCCGAAAGAACGCCCGCCCCCGGAAGATCGCCCATCCAGTTTTTTTGGCTAATTATCTATCCCATAAAAATTACGAAACATTGCCCACCCCCGATTTCCGTCGGACGTCGCGCGATTCCGCGTCGCGCGGAATCGAATCAACTGTGCCATTGAACTCGCGCTTGATAAGCGAGTTCTTAGCGGGTTCCCACGCTTTTTTCCGTGACGTGCACGCGAGATATCGGCTCCCGTAACGTGCAAGTTGTTCCCGCGTGTATGTTGCGCCGTGAGATGCGAATCTGCTGCGACCGCATCTGCGGTATCCATTCCCGTGACATAAAGTTTGTAGCGGATCCCGCGTTTTTGTCCGCGATCTGCGCGCATGATCTCTATTCCACGCAAGTTGGTGCCGCGTGTATATAGCACCGTGAAATACGATTCGGCTGCGTTCGCGACCTGCGGTATTTGTACCCGAAACATACGAGCTTGTAGCGGATTCCTGCGTTTTCGTCCGCGATATCGGTTCCTGTGACAGACAAGTTTGTAGCGGGTTCCCGCGTGTTTATTGCACCATAAAACTTGCATCTGCTGCATCCGCAATTTGCAGCATTCGTTGTTGTGAGATGCGAGTCCTCAGCGGGTTTGTGCGGGTCCTTCGCATTGTAAAACGCGAATCTGCTGCGTCCGCAACCTGCGGTGTCAGTTCCCGCGTCATGTGGTTTGTAGCCAGTGCCAGGGTGTTTATCATTAATTTTTAATAAGGTTTTGCTGTGGCGTCCCCAAAGATAGTCCACCCCATGTTTTTCACCATTTATCTCTTCATTTTGGGTGGGCGTTCTTTCGGAACTTTACGGTAATTCAGGAGAATAGGTTTTTCTATATCTGCTTTGTTCTAATTATAATGTTTAGGCCCTTTGAAACGTTTTTAGGCCACAGTCAACGAAATTAGGGATGCCGGATTTCCTTTTCATTTGCGAAAAAGGTCTTACACTTTCGATAAAAAGACTATTAGAATAAATTGATCAAAGTTTCAAGTGCAAACTGTGATGTTAGAAATAATTTATCTGGGTCCCATAAGTTTCCAAGGCCCTCTTCAAAATTACATGCTCTATTCGAGTCTATGGCATAGTCCCTTTCGAATATGTCATAGCTTGCTTGAATTCATGGCCATTTTTATGGCCAACATCTCTTAGATACTTGAATCAAAAATATTTGGCTTTTCGAATTTGCTTCAAACTCAAAATTCACTGTGTTCACACATGCCTAGATTTTAGTGATGTGCATTTTTCTCTGCAAAGTGGTTATGACCAAAGCCTTTACTACTTTGGTTCTTTTAAGAACCTTCTGCACAGAACACACTTTCTGCTTTGTACGGCATTTACTGGATGAAAGCAGAGGTTTCACCCCTGCTTTCGCTCCGCCTCGGGATGTTCTTTTGCCTTGGACACGCTCATGGTTGAGGACAGAACGTAGCCACTCGCAGACTATGCTGGCTGTTGTCAAGGCCTCCGCAGTTGTTGTCAGTCCCCAACCTCCCGGAGACAAGAAAGGGGAGAGGCGAGGAAGAAAGTTGTGCTGTTTGCATGGTTGATGTACCCACTGCAAACATGACCTGCCTGCGGCAACATTAACAATTTTTTTTAGAAACGGGCACACTTTTTTTGTCTTGCTCAGGGGAAGGTGTGTCTTGTTTGGACTGCCATTTCAGTCACTGCTTGACCTTATTTGCTTTGGATTCATTCAATGACTGCAGATTGCAGTTCTCATGAGAGAAAGCAGTCAAAGGAGGGACTGTAAGCAGGCCCCTAGTAATAAAAGCACACTATAGTTTTGGCGTTTTGGAATTTCCCCTTGTTGCAGAAACGGGGCCGGGTGATAGTGACAAACCCAGAGAAGGACCGCTCGATGGTCCAGGAGTTGTTGGACTTCAAGGACCAGATGGACTCAGTGGTAACCCAGTGCTTTCAGAGGAACGAAAAGTTTGTCAACTCACTCAAGGAGGCCTTTGAGCACTTCATCAACCAGCGACCAAACAAGCCTGCAGAACTCATCGGTGAGCATTTCTTGCCACAGCTAATTCTAGGCTGTGCCAACGTGATTTTTTTATTTTTATTTAAGCATACTGCAGGTTGTAAAGGCCCAGAAAGGAGGGGCAAACACATTTAAGTACTCATTGTTGAATACACGTGCACACTGAAAAAAATCTTCAATTTAGAAAAGCAGATTCACTGGCTCCAATGCCCCTAGTGCTGCAACATCATAACAATTTTAAAAATAAATGCCACAACTCTCAAAAAAAAAAAAAAAAACTTCATTTATATAAACACCAACACACACAATACATATGCATACATATATACGTACATACACTTTACTTAATTGTACATGCTATATTTTAAAAATAAAAATAACAGTGGGGAATCGTTTGTTTATGATTTTTGTTTGTCAGTGTCCCTATGCATTATTAGTAGGGTTTCGTGTTCCCAGTAAAAAAACGATGAACACCGAAAATCAACCCCCAAGACAGTTTGTCAAAATTGGGTAAAACCAATAAACCCTTAAAGGAGCCCTGCAATCATATTTAAGCGTCTACCTTTTTTGCGGTTTCCACCTCCCTTGGGGTTCGGGCAAGCCAGCGGGCACGGAGAGAATGACTAAATATCAGTGCGTCATATTTTAGCGGGACGACGCGTAAGCCTCCTCCACCTATGGGGGCGACCCGCGGTGCCGAAAGCGCGCGAAATGTGACATCTTTGGTCCTGGGCTTACTACTGTTCAGAGCTGCTGAAAGCTTTTTTTTAGTTGAAATACAAAATATAAGTGGCACGAGCCGTTTCAATTATTTATAAAAGTAGTTTTTGTTAAGTATTTTAGATCAGAAAAGAAACTAATGCAGTTTAGAAAGAACGGGAACAAGAAATCACTTGTCGACATACCCGCCAGCAAGCGGTGGAAAAGGCGGCGCATACTAAAAAGGTGTAGTGGGATGAAGCACTGACAAGCGGCAAGCGTATAAAGGTCCCGGATGTACGCGGCAGCGCTGCAGTTGAGGATTCGACCGCTTCGAGGCATTTTGAAGGCCTTCGGCGTCAAGCTTTGGCTTGTGGTTTGGCACTTTCACGGTATGGCAGCGTGAAGTGGCTTCCATTCTGAACTGATATTTACCCCGTGCTTGTTGTCATTTGTGACCAATGAAGTGTCATGCCAAACTAGTGTTTAATCGCGCAGCAAGTGCAATGCGAGCCGTCCTGGCTGCTTGCTTCATACAGCCTAGCCAGAACATGCTTTAGTGGCGCCCTCTCGAGCCAACAACACGGAGTGCGGCAGCCGTGAGCGCTCGCTGAGCTCACTACCCCTCCTCTAGTTTACGGCCACTCAAGCAACCAAGGACATCATGAAGGAGGTTATTTTTTGCTTGTTTTTGCAATTTTATTTTGCCCATAACTTTTAAAATGAAGCGAAATTCAAGAAAAGAAAAGTTTCATTAAGTTACTACGTTCAGTGCGCTCAGGTTCGGTGTCAATTAAAAACCAGAAAAAACGTCCTTGCAGGGCCCCTTTAATTGGAGCTGTTTTTGAATAAGGAAAAGACCAAGCTCTACAACAAGAACATTTGTCTACAACTCTATGTTATTTTTACCTGGAGTGCAGACTCCAATGAATTGTCTATGAGCCTTCTTGCTTCAGAACCACACATCTCGCTTCTTTTTCTTATTGTTGTGTGGACGTTCTTAAAATATTCGGGTTACGCGCTTGTTCTCTGGAGGTTGGGGCATCCCACTTTTTTTGTCCTATTTTCTACAAGCCTCGATGAACCTTGATGTTTAATCTGACACCAGGAAATGATACTGAAAAACACAAAATCTGTGGGGGAAAAAATACCCCCCCCCCCCCAATTCTAAGGAAAAGTAACCCCGAAAACACTGAATCCTAATTAGCATCCTGCATAGACTGGCTCCTGTATTGGCAAGGAGCTACAGAGTCGACGAGGAGAATTGTGTGCTGGTTTGATCAACTTGGCAGTCTGGCCTTTCTAATTGAGAATGAGAGAACAGCCTCCGATTTATAATCTCCAGATAACGTTTAACAGAACTTTAGTGTGGAACATTACTTTTGAGGTTTATTTGTGGCCATTATATAACTTTCATTAGATAACTCAGATCACACCGAGGTTTTTAGTTGTATGTGACATATGAGAGCCCAACTACCCAGAACAGAATTTGCAGCTCGAAATTCGCTTTCTTTCCGCCCAAAAACCGCCGATCAAGAACTAGCCGGTTTAAGTCGCGCTCACTCTCTCTCCCGTGGTCACGGGCCGTTTTCTAAGGTTTTGACTCGACCACCAAATTTAATGCAAGTTGTTGGCCATTGAAGGCACACAGTTAATATTATAAATATAAAAGAACAAAACATGAAACCCATTTTTTTGGCTTTCGAAAAGCTGCAAATACATTGATTGAAAAAAAAGAAAAGTAGCACAGACAACCGAAAGCGTTCTGTGCGTTCACTGCATAATTCTCAACATGGCGTTGTTTCGCGTATCGTGGGACCAGCGGACGATGGGCGACGGCGTTGGACCTCTACTTCAGAACTGTCGTTTACAGTACCGGAGAATTCTGTCTTCCTTCAAGAACAAAATTTTGGACCGATCAAAAGAACTGATGTTCATCCCGTACGAAGGCCCGACCAGCAAGCCGATTGCACGAAGACGTCGGCGAGCCGTCGTCCCTTCTCATGGCTGAAGACATTGCTCGCTCTAACGATTATTACTTCGATTTAAATATGCACGCGTATGGTTTCTTTACGAGGTGCAAATGTGGCCTGCCCGACTTCAAGCCGGGAGTGCATGTATTGAAAGGAAATCGGCAGCAAACTTCCGACATACAGTCTACGGGCTCTCTTTCTACGCATGAAAGAGTTCCTTCATTAGCTCAGGGGAAAGACGTCCGATTCACACACAGTGGGCACGTGTTTGATCCTCGGTGTGGGTGTACCACTTTTCTTTTTTTTTTTTGTCAAGCATTTTGTGATGTTTACATTTCCTTTTTAACAATTATCGCTGAAAGAAAAAATCAATTGTTGTGGACGATACGTCGCTGAACTAAATGGTATGGGTTTCCATTTTCGACACCTGCGAACTCAATGTAGTCACTTTTCAAGAAAAGCAAGGAGCATATGAATCGGGTAGCGTCCGCTTTCAGAGCTTCGCGTAACTGTTCTACAGGAATTGCAGCCAGCCATTGATCCCGACCCGTTGATCTTTCGAAAACTTGTGCACTCTGCCACACAATGCCACTTTCAGATGTAAGACATGTGAGGCAGCTCTTCACGCAACTTCTTGAAAGTTTTCTTTTCGGAGTCGATCCCGGGAATTCACCACGGCACTCGGGCACTCACTATTAATTGCCAACACTTAAATGTACAAAACAACTTATCTTGAAGTACAGAGCAGCGAGCGGAACAAACATAACTGCAAAGGAATCACATGGTGAACAAACGCATTTCGTCTGCAAGGTGAAAAAAAAAAAAAAAAAAAAACTTACACGGTTGGGTGTAGCCACGTGAATTCCGCCACTCACTCTATCCTCTCCACTTCTTTGTGTGGTGCGGGAGTTTTGGTTTCGGTTTCGAGCAGTTGCGTCTTTTGGCTTTATTAAAAAATATAGGTGACTCCGTAGCAAAATATTAATTGGGTAGTATATTCTGACGCCATAATAAATTGCCTGACAATAGATCACCCGTTCAGCAGACTGTATCTTGGCCAAGCATTCAAATGGCACATTCAAATGGAGCTGTGAATTGCCCCTATTCATGGTTCAGCTTTCCAGTGTACCGATCAAGGTTGAATTACCCTTTTCGGACAGAAAGATGTTGTGGTGTCCTCTGGTGTAACAGCGCAGTGTAGAAGATTTCTAATTGGTTGTTTTTTTTTGTTTGTTTGTTTGCTCATTCATGCTTTGAATCTTGAAGTTGCTTTCCTTAGAAATTTTTAGACCTTCTGACATACAAAGCTTTGTTGTACATGTTTAATCTCAATTCTATTTTTCTTTATGTTGTTGTCTTTAATTTTGTCTCTCTCTCTCTCTCCGTAGCCAAGTTTGTTGACTCCAAGCTAAGAGCGGGGAACAAGGTAACGTTGAGCTAGGTTAGGACGGTTGGAGCATGGACTGACTTTTATTCATCGTTGCAGGAAGCGACGGAAGAGGAGTTGGAAAGGCTGCTCGACAAGATCATGGTGCTGTTCCGCTTCATTCATGGTGAGTATCATAGTGCCTGGGTTGATCTGTACACTGGCACCAGTTATTTTCTCTTTTTCTCTCTCTCTTTTTTTTTTTTATTATGAGGGACTAACAGAGATAGACTAATAGATTTTCTGGGAATTGACCCTTCTAAAACATTTTACTTGGTGTGTTCAAGAGGCAACATAAATCTCGAGTTTGAATCTTTGCCTTTCATTTTCTTTTGATCTTTTTATGTCCTATATATAGCCATCTGTTATCCCATACATTTTTTTCTGGTGCACCTGTGGATCTTGATCTTATTTTGTCTTATTAGCTATGATATTAGCTTTTTTAGTTTGAATGTTTGTCAAATTACCTTTCTGTTGCCTACAGTAATCTAACCATGAGCTTAGGATGAGCATACTCAAATTCTACCTAATCCTTAGCTCAAAATTAAATACTTTTAATTAGGTACTCTTTATTATGATTATGCACGGCACTTTTTTAATGCTTTACAGTTGTGTTTTAAAAAAGCCACAAAGTATATAAGAACTAATGCAGCCTGTGCAGGTGAGTTATACGGCCAGAAGGACATAATATGGGGGGATAATTGTCTCAACAAGTCGGCTAATTAAGTAAAATTTGTTAATTCACTTTTTAATTATTGAAGATAATGATATGGTTCCAATTAGAAATTTGCTGAGCATCATTACAAACCACTAAATAAGAACATTTTAGAAAGATTTGGGGCACGCGGGAAGCACAGTGCTTTGCTAAAGCTACCATTCGTGAAACAGGTGCAAGGCCAGTGGTGTGAAAACATGCTCACAAAATTTTCCTGTTTTATCATACGCGTTTTTGCTCCGCCAGTATTGTGCCCATTGCACTAGTAGTAACTTTAGTGCACCACTACTGTTCCTACACGCCCCAAATCTTTGTAGAATTTACCTATTTGGTGGTTTTCGATGATGCTCCGCACATTCTTAATTGGAACCATACGTTTCTTTTCCCTAATTCAAAGTTATTCAACAGTTTTTAATTAATTATTCCTCTTATCGTGACGACTAGCCCCCTATATTTTGTCCCCCTTGCCGTACAATACGCCTGCACAGACCGCATTAGTGTAGCTCTCGGGGCTTTCTTAAAACAAGTCTGTAAAGCTTTAAAAAAAAAAATTCCCTGTATTTTGACCTACTTAAAGCAAGGAACAGAGCTTCTGCTTCCTATCCCTGTTTTGCCTTAGTATGCATTCTGCATTGCCGTGGATCTTTGTGTTGGCAACTTGCAAGTTAATGTTTTTTGGGTTTCCCTGCAGGCAAGGATGTGTTCGAGGCCTTTTACAAGAAGGATCTGGCGAAGCGCTTGCTGGTGGGCAAAAGCGCCTCAGTGGATGCCGAGAAGTCTATGCTGTCTAAACTAAAGGCAGAATGTGGTGCTGCATTCACTTCCAAGCTGGAGGGCATGTTTAAGGTACACCCTGCTTCTACTTCTCAGTTTTTCTCATACTTTCTGGAGAGATACTAGTCATGTTCAAGGATCGGAATGGCTCAAGATTTTTGTTTCTCATGCTCTCGCAAGTTGTGTGCAGAATTGGCGAAGGATAGAAGAGTTATAGACTAGGAGATGCTCCCCTTTGCTGAAAGAGTATCTCCTAGTCTTGTTTGACCACCGACTCTGTTCTGTTGTAGCAATTCTAGCTTTACTTACCTTTTATGGCGCATTTAACTTCAATGTTCCAACCCTCTAGTAGTGCTTTGTTTGGCACAGTATGGCCATCTGTACTGTGCCACTTGCCCAGGTAGCTGTCCAAGAAGCTAGAACCTTATTTAGTGCAGTGCAGCCATCCCTACTGTGGTTCATTAAAACCCTCAAACATTGTCGTCATCAATTATCATCATTATTGTGCTCCCCCTTCCCTTCTTTTCTGGACATGAAGCTGTCCATGGAGCTGGAAGTTTATTTGGTGCAGTGTGGCCATTCTTACTGCTGTGAAATAAAACCCCAAAATATCATCAATCATTATTATCATTGTTCTCCCCTTCCCCTTCTTCACGGGGCATGGAGCTCTCTAAGGGTCTAGTACTTTATTTGCCACAGTACAGCCATCGCCACTGTTGCTCAATAAAACCCAAAAACATCATCATCATCAAAATTCTGTCCCCCTTCCCTTCTTCAGAGGGCATAAAGCTGTTGAAGGAGTAAGTCCTTGAATTAATTAATAAACTTAATTGCAGGGATGGGTTTCAGTACACCTGGGTGGAGCCCTAGTCCGGGGCCCCATAGAGTTAGTCCTTTATTTGGCACAGTATAGCCATCCTTACCATTGCACAACGAAACCCCCAAAGCGCTGTCGTCATCACCACCACCATTGTTCTGTTTCAGGACATGGAGCTGTCCAAGGAGCTGATGCTGGCCTTCCGGCAGCACTTGCAGCACCAGCAGGAGCAGGGCCAGCCGGCCCCGTCCCTGGACCTGACGGTGAGCGTGCTCACCATGGGTTACTGGCCCAGCTACCCGGCCCAGGAAGTGGCCCTGCCCCCGGCCATGGTCCAGTACCAGGACCTCTTCCGCCGCTTCTACCTGGGCAAGCACAGCGGCCGCAAACTGCAGTGGCAGCCCAGCCTGGGACACTGCGTGCTCAGGGCCGCCTTCCCGGCCCCCAACGGGGGAGGCCCCAAGGAGCTGCAGGTGTCCCTCTTCCAGGTCGGTCTGTGGGACACCAAAGTGGGGCGTGCATTGTCGGAAGTTCTGGTTCAAAAATTGGGCTCGAAAAAATTGTGCGCATTACGTCGCATTTGTAAACATACCCAAGAGTGTGGTCGCACGTGTTCACCCATTATCTGGATCATCTAATCTCCCTTGAAAGCGATAACGGCTCCACGAAAGTTAAGAAAAATACTGATAAAACAAGTTTTCCTTTTTCTTTTTTTTTCTCGCCACGGGGATGGGTTTTTATCTCTGCCGACGCTCGTTCGCTCCACGTCACAAGTACCACGGTGTGACGCTTTCGCGCCGCTTGTTTTTTGTCGCAACCGTAACAATAAAGGCGATAATTGGTCATCCCGTACATAGCGCATTTTTTTACTCGTTAACGACGTACTAGGCAAACGCGTGTGCCGACCACGAAACAAAACAGGTTACGTCTGCGCTTATTATAGAGACCGACGGGACGAGAGAGGCAGGGGGTCTCTTCCCGACGCCGAGCCTTCAGCAGAAGCTCGTTGCCTTCCGTCGTACTTTGGCTACACGTGCAAGCACGAGGATTGCTAGATGCGCGAGCGTCTTCGAGGGTAGGAAGCTTGCGCCGGAGGTGGGACAACCGAAGGATCTTCCTAGCGTTCTGATCCCATCCCTAGCTACAGCTAAGAGTGCTGTTTCTCGACAGTGTAAGAAGCACATTAACTATCCAAGGTAGGAACGGCAGGAAGCAGCTTCAGTCCTAACCGGCTCGCAGGCGCTTGTGCTGCTGGCCTTCAACGAGGCGGCGGGTCCCGTGGGGCTGGCGGAGCTGCGGGCGTCCACCCGCCTGGAAGACGGGGAGCTGCGGCGCACGCTGCAGTCGCTGGCGTGCGGGCGGGCCCGCGTGCTGCTCAAGGTCCCGCGCGGCCGGGACGTGCAGGACGAGGACCGGTTCCTGTTCAACGCGGACTTCCGGAACCGGCTCTTCCGCATTAAGATCAACCAGATCCAGATGCGGGAGACGCAGGAGGAGCAGAGCTCGACCCAGGAGCGGGTGTACCAGGACCGGCAGTACCAGATCGACGCGGCCGTGGTGCGCATCATGAAGATGCGCAAGACCCTCACCCACAACCTGCTCATCACAGAGCTCTACGACCAGCTCAAGTTCCCCGTCAAGGTGGGCGAGCTCTGCGGTGTGATTGTGTTGTAAGATGTCACAGCACGGCGAGCGCCTTGACGCGATCAATTGGATAAAGTTCTCTCGGCGCGCGCCCCAGTAACCTATTCTGATGATGTCTCCTCTAGCCAAGCAACACGCGCAACCGAGGAAAAAAAAAGTCTTGTTGCCACAGCACCTGTGCACGTGCACTTTCCACTCGGCGCGCCTGCTCCGACCTCGATGGACGCTGGCTTGATCACCGCTTCAGAGATCTCTCCGCTTCAATGCTTTCGTAAAACTGTTCTTGCCGCCGTTGAGGCACGAAACTAGGGTCACCAATGAAGCTGTGTCTAAGCAATGCACTTCGCTCAAGTGCTAAGTTCTACATGACATGGCACGCCCAGAAAACGACTTTAAAAACAAGTTGTCTTCCATAGAGAAGCGTGGGAAACCGGGCCCGCAACAGGCAACCTCTAGTCGATTATCTGAAGTCATCCGATGGCGCCGCTTGTAAGCAAGGCGAGCGGAGGACTTTATCTGGCAGCTGCAATGTGCGTAGTATCCACACCTACATATATCTTGCACTGTGAGTGCAACAGCCATTTCCTTTTGTGGGAAAGGGGGGCACGCTTTGTACTGGCACTGCCAACATTTCACGAAACTGAGCACCATGTTTACAAATTGCTTGCTTCGAATTTGCACCGTTGATGAGTGATGCCTGCACCACTGTCGTTTGGTTACCTGGTCTCAAATCTTCTCGTCCCACTATGTGAAATTTTTTTCCGTAGAGACAAATCGAGGCGCGAGAGGCGCGCCGCCGACGTTAGGAGTCAGCCAATCGGGTCGCTCGAAGAACCTAGCATTTGAAACTGGGGTCGGAGAAGCCACCATGAACAAATTCGCTGGATGCGTCTATACTCTTTCACGAAACTTCATGAACTTGTCGAAAAGATACCGTGGAAAGTGCCATCTGTGCTTGAGACCTTGGGGTGAAATTATTTTAGAATTTTTGAAACACCACTGTAAAATGCTGTGGAAGCGCCCACTTTGTTCAAGCACCCACTATTAACATTTTACAAACTTGAGAATTCTGCAAGTCGTACGTTAAGCGCATGATTCGACCAGACAAGTGCCCATGTGTAGATTATCCCATTTTTTAGTGAAAGTTGGGTGGGCGGTCCTCCGGTATTTTACGGTATGTAAAAGGTGCTACATCTGCTTTAAAAAAAAAAATTACTAAAAGTTTTGAACCACTTTTTGATATTTTTTAACTTCTACATGGATCATCCCCACTTGTGGTGACGAAAATGACTAGGGCGGAAACCGCCAAAGTTTCCCACCACTACGTAGTTCATCTAAGGACCACGCTTGTGCATGGTCCTCGGTCGTCATCTACGGAAGATATTTGGCACACAAAGCAGCCCGCAAAAACAATTGTTCCGCAAAAATACAACGCTTTTCGCCGGGCCCTTCCATGCTCAACATTGCACTGCAGATGGCGTTGTTGCGCGTAAGCTTATCTGCACCTCGCATATTTTTTAAATATGTAAATCAGATTTATTTGATTTCAGTCTGACCTAATTTGATGTACGTTTGGTTTATTTGGTTTAAGTCAGATTTATTTTATTTAAATTAGACTAATTTGATTTAAATCACTAACTAGAAAATGGTGACTCTTTATCACCATGTCTATTTTTAAACATGGCAGATTGATTGGTCACAGATAATGATGTGGAAGAAAGAATTACCGTATGTTTGAAATGTAGTTTATTCAACAATTTTTATTGATCTAATCCCCACCATACTAGAACAAAAACAGCTTGATTCTTTAAGTTTGCTAAAAGCTCTGTTTGCTTTTTCTTTCGCAATCTGATTTGCTTGTAATAAGACAATACTTCTCCAGTTTTATGTTCCTTTCGTATTCTGATCTGCTTGAAACGTGACGTTACATAACTGACGACCAAAGTGGAAGGTAGAAAGTAAGCTTGATGCTCCGCTTTGCTCAGAAGAGCACTGCTTTTTGCTCACGTTCAGCCCGACATAAATCTTTCTTGCTCAATGGTTTCTCTTATTTCAGTACAAAATGAATGCCCATAGAAAGCATCAAATGATAGACAGACGCATAAGAGTAGACTACGGGGGGGCATCAGGGCTCGTGCCCCCCCTGGTGAGATCCGGGAAAGGGGGGGGGGGGGGGGGGGCGGGCGGCCCCTTCCCCTAGAATAAACCACTAATTGCCGGTGTAAAAAAAGTTGCGCAGAAAAGCACCTTCCCCTGCCCTCCCTTCCCTTCTTTCCCCCCCCCCCCCCCCCCCCTTCCCCAGGAACTTCTCAGCCTGCCCCCTATAAAATCTATTTTCGGGATTATTTTTTGCAGGAAAGGTCAGATCTAAATCTTCATTGTAAAACTGGTCCGATTTAAATTGCGATTTGAATCGTGATTTAAATATCTTTATTTTTATTCTTCACCTCTAAGCACGGCAGAAGGCAGCAAGTGCATGCTGCAGGTCGGGCATTCAAAAGAGACACCCTTCCGTTCTCTTCTTGTCTGTAACTATAGAGAGCTGTTGTTTTTTTCTCGCAGCCCACGGATCTAAAGAAGCGCATCGAGAGCCTCATTGATCGGGATTACCTCGAAAGAGACAAGGACAACCCGAACCAGTACCACTACGTTGCCTGAAAGGGGGCGCCACCATTGCCCAAATTCAGTTCTACTATAAGTCTTTTCTGGCTGCTGCTGCTGCTGCTGCTCCTGTAACATAGACCCCCGTTTTTTTTTTTTTTGTTTTTCTTCCCCTGTTTGATAAGTGTCAACTAAGCGGCACAACATCCGGAACTTGTCAAATAAAATGATGCTCGAAGTGAAAAATGCCTTGCTGTTCAATTCGGTGTATTGTCCTTGCGAAGCTTCCCCAAAAAAATGTTTCAAATTAAGTTTACCTACATGGTTTTTTGATCATATGTTAAAATTAACTGGTCGAGGTGTGTCACTCCTACCAAGAAATATTTGTCAGGAGCATTTATGATTGTAGACAGGCTTTATTTGACAATTAAATATGAAGAAGCGAAAAGGATGAGAACGACAATAACTTCCTAACTGGTAACAGACCCTTCAATGCGTCAAGACTAACGGGAAGATTATAGATAGGAAGACATTGGGCAATCCGAAGAATAGACTAGTGTAAATAACAAAAAAAGTGCTCCCCTAGACGCCTTGTTGTTCTCTGTCCTGTCTGATTGCATTGAATGTTGTAGTAAGTGCACTAAAGTAATTCCCTGGACCTGCACGCCATTTTTTTGTCACATTATGACCGTGCACTGTGCAGATAAGGAGCAACTGAAAAACCATGCTTCATACTCCTCATTTTATGTCTTGTGCAACTCTAAGAGAAAAGGAAGGTATTAACTTATAGTAATCCATTCCTAGAAATTGGGCTGTGGGTATATTTATAGAGCCTGAACTTAGTCTGCCTTAATGGACGACTTGTCTTTCAGCTGCAAATGAGCAATTTGGCCAGTGCAGTACAACTGCTAGCCTGGGGTCTTCAACGTGCACCCTGCAGTACTGATACACGACCGCACACCAGTATGATGCTCATCAGGGGCGTAGCGGGGGGGGGGGGGGGGGGGCTTATGGGGCTTTTGACCCCCCCCCTCTCTCTTTCCACAGCCCAAGTCATAGACATCTCACCTCACCTACCTCCACCCCCGAAAAAAAATTCCTGGCTACGCCACTGATGCTCATCCAGATCAGAAAGGGCAGGAGGGGGATTAAACGCCATTCCTACCTAGACTTGAGATAGAATGGCTACAAATGTACCTTGCATAACGACTAACTACAAATACAAGCACGAAAAAAAATAAACGGGACTGACTTTTAATTGAGAAATTTGTCAGTATATGATAAGTATTCTGCATGCTAAGCTTGGTAGTATAATGTTTTCTGTGATATTCAATTCCATCCTTGATTGACATAAGATATCTGGTCCAAACAAGTGTCCTGCCTTGTGCCTTTTTAACAAGTGGGAGACGACAGAGGCTGTAAAGTATTTTGGGAAGTGAAAGAAACTTATCACTGTGTATATAGGGAAGGCAAAACATATTGGCAGCTAAGCTATCGAGGCCAGCCTTGCAAACGAAATGGGAGTTGTGCTATCTTCAGAGGAAGAATGAGGAAAGTCCAAAGCAGGTCCTCGAGCTCATAACGCGGATAACCCTGATATTTCATGTCAAACCAGCTGTTTCTAAAATTAATAAGCCACATTCTGTCGCATTATTATCTATGTTAAGGATGTTAAGAACAGGAAAGCCCAGAAAGGCAGAGCTTTTGGCAGGTTTTAGGGACTGTTAAAAGCAAATAAACACGGACACGCTTGCTAGGTGGCGCAAGTTACTTTCTAAATGGAGTAGTTGTGTCGTTGTCCATTGATGCCCATTTAAAATTCTCCTTGCTTCTACACCCCCACACCCCACCGCAATGCAATACATGCGATGACTAAATCGCAATCGAACTACGCCGTTTCTGGACAGGCATTCGATATTTGGGGATGACTTCCGCCTTCCCAACTAGGATTCTGCGCTTCTGTCGATTTTCTCGTGTTCGCTTTCACGCTACCAAAGTTGCGAGAAGCCCAGAGAAGCCTGTTCTCTGCGGCTCATTTTTTTATTAAATTTATTGTTGGGCTTTTTTCTATCTTGTTTACGCGGCGCACCCGTCCAATCACGAGGGCGCGGAGTCACGTGGCCCCCGACGTTTTCGCTCGCACCCAGCGAGCGAGCAAGCAAGCCCCCAGCGGGTCCGGCAGAGATGCCAGAGTGGAGGCGATCGGTGTGGCGGCCGCTTTGTCGGTGTGGCGCGCGCCACGGAAGTACTAATTTTAAGTTTCCCAAGTGCATTCAAACGACCAGCAGTGCGGGGTCGTGTTCGTAGAGTCGGTAGCATGACTATCATCGTATTTCTAGTGGACACAAGTGCCTCGATGAACCAGCGGACTTACTTGGGCGCGAGGCTCTCCGTTTTGGACGTTGCAAAGGACGCAGTCGAGCGCTTCATCAAGGTAGACCCGATCCCGGCGGCTCGTGCCGCTCACACGTCGCTGCCCCGCGATCTCGGGCACGTCACGCGTTCCACTGGCGGACCTTGGAGTCTGCAGCCGAGACCGACGGCTAACGCTTCTTTTCTTTCTGACCCCCACCGCAGATCCGACAACGGGACTCGGCGAGTCGGGGTGACAGGTACATGCTGCTCACGTTCGAAGAGCCCCCGTCGAACATCAAGGTAGGATCTGTCAGCCTGGGCGGCCGGCGTGCCATAGCGCGTCCGGGGCCACCGCTGACGCGAGCGAGCGGGCGCGAAGGCCCCCCTCCGAACTGACCGTCTTTTCTGTCTGTCGACCGCGATGGCAGGCGGGCTGGAAAGAGAACCACGCCACGTTCATGGCGGAGCTGAAGAACCTCCAGGCCACGGGACTCACGACGCTAGGGCCCGCGCTGAAGAACGCCTTTGACCTGCTCAACATCAATCGCATGCAGACGGGCATCGACACGTACGGGCAGGGTCGCTGCCCGTTCTACCTGGAGCCCTCCATCCTCGTAGTCATCACGGACGGCAGTCGACTCAGCTCTTCGGCAGGAGTTCACGATGAGGTTAGAACGCTCCGATCTGTGATCCCGAAAGCCCAGTTCACGCTACAGCGTAACGTCGCGGAGCGCGAGCGAGCGAACGTCGTCTGGGAACCACAGGCATCACTGCAGACATGCCTGTGGTACTCAGGTGATGCCCGAGATCGACGTGAGCCCTCCTTGCAGACGTTACTTTGGAGTGGAGTAAATAGGCAGAGCTTTGCGGGATCTGCGAGACTGACACCTTTTTTTTACCCGCAGCTGACGCTACCGATGCACTCCGCCGTGCCGGGCTCGGAGCTCACCAAGGAGCCGTTCCGCTGGGACCAACGCATGTTCGCGCTCGTGCTTCGAATGGCCGGAACGCAGCCACCGCCGGCGCCGCAGGAAGCGACGCCGCTGGCGACGGACCCGTCGGCCATCGACGACATGTGCCAGGTGACCGGCGGTCGCTCCTTCTGCGTCACCTCGCACCGGGCCCTCGTGCAGAGCCTCGAAGCGCTCGTGCAGAAGGTACAGGGCGGCGTGGTCATCAACTTCGAGAAGGTCGGCGCCGACCCTCCGGACGTGGAGAGCGCGGAACCCGGCTGGCAGAACTGCCGGCGGCTCATCTACGTGCAGCGGTCGGCCCAGAAGGGGTACTCGGTGGGGCACTGGCCTATTCCAGAGGCCTTCTGGCCGGACATGAACTCCCCTTCGCTGCCGCCGCGCAGTGCACATCCGAATGTCCGCTTCAGCTGTGCCCACAGTGATCCCATGGTCATCGACAATCTGCCCTTTGACAAGTACGAGCTGGAACCTTCGCCCCTTACCCAGTTCATCCTGGGACGCAAGCAACCCACGGTGGCGTGGCAGGTCTTCGTGGGCTCAAGTCACCGGTCAGGAGGGGAGCTGGGCCATGCCTTTGGCTACCTCAAGGCCAGCACCAACCTGACGTGCGTCAACCTGTTTGTGCTGCCGTACAACTACCCCGTGCTCCTGCCCCTGCTCGAAGACCTCTTCAAGGTGCACCGGTGCAAGCCGACCAGGGAGTGGAAAGTGCAGTTTGATGCATACCTCAAGAACATGCCCCTGTACTATGCGGGTCCCTTGAAGCGGGCGCTGCAGCGCATGGGGGCCCACAACCTGGTGCCGGACTCGATGGAAAACTGTCTCAGCTACACGGTGCTCAATTACCTCAAGCGCCTCAAGAATCAGGTGCCAAAACATCCTTCTCCTTCGTTGTTTTTGCGACACTGGAGCATGAGCAGTGGCACTAGAGAGTTTACTTTTTTCCCTGCTTTGAGTGCAAGTCGATTCTTTTGGAAGGTGGTTGTGTGGCATCCGTGCTAGTGTCTGCACTTCTGAATTGCCACGAGTTTATAACTGCAGTATTTACTCCATTCGAGAGGAGTAGAGGTTTATAGCCGGTTGAATTGCTCTCTAGTTACACCATTGCGGATACACTCTGTTTCGTATTGATATGTCATAATTTCTTGTATTGCTGCTGCGTTAGAGCTTGTGAACATAAAAGGTGACACACCCTCTTTCATACACTCACAGCATCACTGGAAGTGCATCTCAGGGTAGCAAGTGATGGGCAAAGGAAGCAATGCATCTTTTTTTTTAATTTATTTCAGATATTTGCAGCGCCATTGGTATTATAACAGGGAAAAAATAACAGCAACATTACAGTAAAAAATATTGGGCAACTGGAAAAAAGAACAATGACGACATGCAATTGTGTGCATAGTCAAAGAAAAGACAAACTACAAGATCACAAAAAAGAATAAAAAAGTAAGGCTGATTAAAAAAAAGATTGTTTGTAGTGTTTACAATTTTGAAGCGTAAAGAGTTCCAATCACTTATTGTCTTATCACAAAATGAGTTTAAAAAGCTTAATCAAAATCTCTTTATTTTATTTTTTACATTCTTGTGCTTTATAGAGTGGTCTTGGCAGCAATGTGAACCCAGACAGTTTTGTGAAGAACTAGTTTCAGTTCAGTTTTGACGAAACATGATAGCAGGTTCTGCCACATCCAAAGTACACTAATAGGGTGCGACAGGTCAAGAGTAAAGTGGAAGCTCCTCGCACCTCTTTCCACTTTAGCAGAGCGAACGCTGGAAAGAATGTTGTCTCCTGTCCAGTGTTCGCTCTGCTAAAGTCGAAAAAGGTGGGAGGAGCTTCCTTTCACCCTTGACCTGTTACCGACTACGGGGTGCATTAGCACTTACAGGTGCAGAGAGTTACCTAACGATCCAGTTTAATTTTGTGCATCCGATGACAAAAGTAAAAAAGTAGTCTGATCTACTTTACAGTCACGATCCATTCGTCAGTGGGGATGCTGCTTTAGCCAATCCTTTCATCCACTTCAATCGCCATCCTACAGAAAGAAAGTCGTGAGGAGGGGGATCTCGTACTACATAAAGGTGGCGTGCACTCGCAGGCAGTGAGGAGGGCAGACGCGAGATACTTCTCGTTGCGCTAGACAGTGTGCAAGAACAGCGACAATCTCTCAAGCCTCGGCGAAGAGCCCTCTTAACTTGTCGTCTTTTTCGAGCCCTCCACTCTCAAGGTACAATGGCTTGCACACCAAATAATTTATTGGACACTTATTGTGCAGGCCAAGGCGGAGTATGAAAAACTGGTGTCGGCAGTCGGAGGGAACAACAAGCCGGTTGGTGGCGCCCCCGACAATGTGCGTGCGAGTCCGGGTGTGCCCCGGGCCTCAACGGGGGAGGTGGCAAAGCTGTCGGAGCTGCCTCTCAGCTGGAACCCTGCCCTGAGGGAACGGCTCCAGTGTCTGCGCCAGGAGCTCAATGACTTTGCGGGGTTCGGGGTGGCTTTGGTCACGGCTCGGCCGACGGACGCGTTGCTGGCGGATGCCTTGCGGAACCCCTTCGACATCGGACGTTCGGCGCTGCTCGACCAAGTGGCGCGGATGAGGGCACACTATCTGCACGCAACACCGGGCGGCGTTCTGACAGCACGCCTTCACGACGCCGGTGAGATGCACCGTTCTTCCCGGAGGACATTCTTTTTCTTTTTACAATCTTTCCTTAAATGTTTAGAGCTGTTAGAGCCACTAAGCAAACTACGCTTCAGACTGACACCTTGGTCATTGATGGATGGACAAATGAATGCCAGCGGTCGTTCCCTTTATGACGGGCGGTTGCTCTCACCACCTAGCCGTTTTGGTGCTTCAAATCATTGTTGCCAGTTATCGTAGGAAAGGGTTTTCCCGTCCTCCAGAAACACCAAAATGGTCCTCGACAAAGCAAAACAGTATCACCCGAGCTTTCCAACACTGTGTTTAAAGTTCTGGAGGTCGCTTTTTTGAGCCTAAGTGATCGCCAATTGCACCAAAAATCTGGGAACAAGGTGACGATAATCTAAACATTGCTCCTTTAGCTGCTCTGAAAAGCTGCCACTAGTAGCGTATTTGAAACTGTTTGAGTGTATCATTTAACATAGCTTTAAAGGGATGCTGAACTGAAATTTAGAGCTAACAAAACAAGGCTGAAGTGATAGGTGGGATGCTGAAAACCCCAAAACATTACTCCTACAGCAATATCTCTAACGGTTGGCTATATTTTTAGAAATGAAGTGCGCGATAGAACACGGCCGACGAGACATGTCACGTTACGATTCCGGTTCCCACTCCTCTTTGCTTCATCCCCTTAGACAGGTGAACTGAAGCGAGGAGGAGAGAAGCAAAGTCGCTTTCCCTCATTCTCAACAGTTTCACGAGAATCGTGACGTCACATTCCTCGCTTGATAGCGCCTTTTTTTCCAAAAATACGGGCATCTGTTTAAGATATTGATGTATGATTGATGTTTTGAAGCTCCTTGCGTCCCGTTCAACGCTCCTGCAGCCTTACAATGCTGAATACAAGTTTCGGTGAAGCATACCTTTGACCTGTTAACCGTTTCTTTAAAGGGGGGGGGGGGGGGGGGCAATTTTCGACCCTAACCTGCTTCTTTAAATTTTTATTGCATGTGCGGCTCGGGGTTGCACGTGTCTGCACCACCAGTCGCCATTTTTAAAAATGTGTACTATAAGAACAAACATGTGCTGCCATCTTTCGGCAGCGCCGCAAATTAAGCTGTGAACGATCCTCGGTCGTCTAAAACAGCCAAGGGGCAAGCAAGGTTGCGTGGACGGGCTACTCGTCCTAAACGGTTTGGGGACGGCTGTAGACGCACGAGCTAGGCTCGTCCAAAACGGTTGGGCGGTTAAAAATATGCAGTGCTTCTTTCCGCTGGCTTTTTGCAAAAGAAAGACAAAGAGGAATTTTTGGCATAACTTTTAATGACGACGCCATCTTGTTCTCCACTTGGCACTAATGAGTTGTGTTAAGAGCGGGAGAGATCTTTTCTGCTCTGACCAAAAAAAAAGCAGTCATATCCCCTGGGTGTTGCATCTGCACAGCAAATGTTCTAGGCATATTTTTACAACTCTATGATATGCCCAAGTCACCGTGCGTGACCTGATGTTGCTGCATGGTTTTGTTGGTGTCCCTAATATGATTTCAGAGCAACTGCACAGCCTTCCCGTGAGCCAAATGGGCAACTACCAGGAGTACCTCAAGCGCATGCCAACGCCTCTGCGAGAAATTGAGTCCACTCCTGTGAGGCAACACATGTTTGGCAACCCCTTCAAGATAGAGAAGGTGAGGCACTTTTTTCACTCTAGGGATATTACGAGCATTTGTGCCGTGTTCAAGGAAAACGGAACAATATCCTTGTAAAGGCTTTATAAGAGTGGGAGCGAGTTCCACAAGCCCTCCTCTCACAAGATGTTTGCCGTGCCTCCTAGGTAACATGGCCACTTTGCTAGATGTGTCCTCGCTGATAGACCATTTGGTATATTACCCAAGCATCAAGGAGAATGCAGGGATTGGTGCGCCACACGCGCAGACCTTTCCCGTATAAAAGATTAAAAGTAAATAACCAAAATAAAGCTTTGACGAACGCACGAGCAAGGTGCCATTTGTTTTAGGTATTTGCTTTAGAAAAGTTACTACTGCTGAGGCCAGCACGTGCGGCGCGTGGAACACCAATCCCTGCATTCTCCTTGATGCTTGGGTAATATAGCAATAGGTCTATTGAACATGGATCCCAGCCCACGGGCTTACCAACCGGAGGTGTGCAACCTTCCAATTTTTAAAGTGGGGGGAGAAAGCATGTGTCTTGCCCCCCCCCCACCCACCCACCCCCTGAAATAGCCACCACTAAGCAAGGCAAACACTGGCCGGCGGCGCCCAAGGGATACCAAGGGCACCGGCCTTGGGGTGGGGGGAGGATCTGGTTTGCCCCCCCCACTCAAAAACAAGTTGGTACGCCACTGTCCCAACCAATTGCTGACACAGCACTCGCGTACAATCTGTGCCTCACGGTATCCTCTGGTAGGCAACATGGAAAATCCAGTACAATGTTCTCGTTATTTAGGAGATCGGGCTGTGCTCTAGAAGGCGCAATCTCCCACCTGTTATTGTTGGAACTAATGCGTAAAGAAGGGTCGTGGTTGATATTGCCGACCCCTTCAAGAACTCCACTTCTCTTCTCTGTAAATAATATAAAATAAACCAATTATTAAATAATGACAGGTTAAGATTATAGTTCCCCAAAATGTCTTTGCTTGCACAAGCTAAGCTTAGTGCACTACGTGGAAGGCCACTTGCGCTACGACAATGTGTAAAAATTGGGTCAGGAATTACATTTCCACGAGGGCCCAGCCTTTTTTTCTCAATACAAATAAAATGGGACATGAACCAGCAAGTAAGACAGGACAGGTGGGATAAGGACCTGCTCGTCCTTGTCCTTGCGCTCTTCTATTTGTGCCCAAAATGCTCGAACTAGCCCAGCAACATGATTATTTCTCACATTTTACGTGTGGGAAGTGGCATCCGAAAGGAAAGAGAAGTGGGGCGGCAACATCTCCTTGCGGTTGCGTTGCTCACTTTGGTTGTGCCGTTTCCCGCAGCGCATGATGGTGGACGAGGCCGACCTGGACATGGTGACGAGCCAGGCGCGGGGACACAAGCGGGCAGCCCCCGAGCCCCCCGGGGGGCCCCGGGCCAAGCGGCGGCCGGGGCCCCTGCCCAGGGACTTCGGACACCGGAGCCGCAGCCCCACGCCTCCCACCTCCCCCACGCCCAACGGACCCAGTCCGGACGGCCCTCAGAGTCCCGGTGCAGAGGCCAAGCCCACCAGGGCACCTCCACCCATGGGCAAGTACTTCCCTCCCAGTCCCCTATCAGCCCCTTTCATTTGTTTATTTATCGATGTTGCACACCAGCAGCTACGTGCCTTTCTAATATCACACTGTGTGACACTAGGGTCATTTGATTTACTTGACCGGTGCATAAAAATGCAGGGAATTGTACAGTGCCCCTCAAACTTAACGCCGCCACTCGGTTTCGCAAATATTGATCTATTGCAGGCTACCCAAAGATAAATCGATCGCTGCAGCTGCTGGAATACCTTCCCTTGGTTCGGTTTTCATCGACGACGCAAATCTTTACCAACTAGTTCGACCGCTAGGTTCAGGAATAGCTCAAAAAGTGATAAAACCGGACCATCTCGTGGCGGCGTTAAGTTTGGGGCACACTGTACTTCCGGTTGCGTTGTCAGATAGACTGAGCTCTTAAATCGAATACGGCAGTGCGCACTGAGTGCAGCTGGAGCAGGAGGTGCAGGTAAATTGGACGCAGCAACTCGTAACATAAACAAATGGTCACCGTTTTTTTCTTTCTTCTGTTTTGACTTCTATAAGTGCAAGGCTGTCATCAAAATTCTGCTTGCTCGTAGTGCCAATGTTTATCATAATGAGGGAATTGGTGGCCAAGTGTGCTAACGCACACAGATGTGTGCATTAACTCTGGTGTCTTCAGGGTTCAATCTCCACACCTGCCCATTGCAACCTGGATGAGCACCGTACCGAAGCAAAGTCCTGCATCGCAACTGCGTGATGCACATTAAAGACCTCGGGCTAGCAGTGGTACTGCACTGGTTCTAAATTCATCATCTTCAGCAAAGACGTGAGACGCCCACAGGGGCTGGCCGACTTCCCGCTGTCGATACATACAGATAACACGAGCCCAGCCGAGCGCCTGGAAGAAGGATTGCTGTGGTAGACAAGCTTGGTCTGATGCAGTCTTTGATGCAGGAGAACCGGAGGAAGAGGCGAGCAATGGCTGGGCTCCCGTGGAGCCTGACCGCGCTGCCCTGGGACCCTGGGAAGAGCGGAACGGCCAGCCGTCGGCAATGCCACCCGAGCCTTGGCGCGACAACGGCTTGCTCCGAGGCTGCTTGCTCAAAGAGGTTCGCAGGCCTGGACGCAGTAAGTCACGCCTCCTCCTTTCTAGAAGGGGGTGCCTATCCCCTCGTTGCTTTGGCAGCAGTTGCTGTAGTGTTACCGAACGAGTCCAGTGCCCATGGTCACGATGTGCTACGTCTTAGTTTACACTGCAGACGAACGCTTGTGCCAAGTGTAAGGGATTTGTCAGGTGCATAATTTTAGGAGGCATTTCTGGTTACATAAGCATTTCACAACTTGGAGAGTTTTTTCGGAACTGTTAGGCACCCAAGCTTGTGCTTCTTAGAGTGCGGAAACTTCTGTTGCCGTCTTGTAGAAAAGGTGCCGAAAGAGACAAGGTCAAGACAAGTTGAGCAAAACAAAGTGCTGACAGAATGACTTTTATTTATACATGTTTTTTTTTCTAATAAACTTCATTGCAAGGCACCTTATTTTGTTAATTTGTCACACTCCTGTCTCTTTCACTCCCTTTTTCACACATTGGTACAAACAAACCGACCCAACTGCCCTCTCTGTGTGTTACCTTATCCTCGGACCTTTTTTGGGCAGAGGCTCTGTGTTCAGAGTTCTGCTTTGCGATATTAAGGCTCTGCTTTGCGATATTAAGGCTCTTGAGAAGAACCGGGGATCCTTGGAACCAGTGAACCCAAAAACGTTATGCGTGGTTCCATCCTGTACGGAACATAGCAGTGTTACATCCTAAATGCACAGTTGTTTGGGGTGACTTATAAGTTATGGGGTTTACAATATTAGAATGAAATGTGGTCAGCCTGGACTCCCTGGATATTTCTCAAGGGCCAACAGTCACGATCATACAGCTGCTCATTCACACCAACAAGATGAGCCAGACAAGGTGCTGCTTTCTAGTCCTGGTAAAGGCAGGGAGGGGAATGCCATCTCCCGCCTTGACTGGCTATTGGCAATGTACAGTGGAATCTCGTTAATTTGAACCCAAGGGGGACCAGAACTTTCTTTGAATTACCGGGAGTTCTTCCTAGAAGCGCATAGGATGGGACTGGCATGTTTCTTTGAATTATCCGCGAGTTTGAATTAATGAGATTCCACATACCAACATCAGACGAGCGTAGCAACGAGTCACTGCAGCCAAGCATGGGGATGTCACTTTTGTTTGGTATTTGCCTTTTAAGCCCTGCTTTCATTTAAGCAACAAACAAGAACAACCTACCTCAGTTGTGTGCAGCGCGCACTTGAAAATATATTTGGCAGGCTCGGAAGCACTTGAGCTTACTTTACGAGCGTCGAGAGATTGCAAGCCTGTCAAAGATTCCTTTGCATGCATGCTGTGCATGCTTGAGGTTCGTTGGAACTGGCTGCCACAGTTGGTCGCTCAAGTGGGTCGAGGGCATTATTGTTAGCGAACAATCGAGCTTGGAGCACTGGCCGTTCAGCTTCAGCTCTCTTCTGGCCAATAATATTATACCTCGTATTTTGTTTGTTGTGAGTTGGCTACACTACGTAAATGGTTTAGTCGATCTCGTGAAAACATAACCTTTTGTTTCTTGTCTACTAGATTGCACGCTTTGCGACTCACAACCGTTAGAAGGGCGACACGAATGTGCAGTACTGGCAGTCTTTTTGTGGTGCATTTGGTATGAGCCAAACAGTCTGAGATAAAGCCCAGTGATCCTAGTGCACCCCAGGGTAGCTTGAAGTGACAGGGGGCCTGGAGAGCCGGCAGTTGTAAAAAGTGGAGGGGTTTACGGACTCTGAGCATAGTGGAATGGTGCCCGGAGGGCCTCGTTAACCGGTGTGCTTACCTCGTCCTCAAAAGAGGATCCTTGATTTCTACCTGACGAAGTCATAGAAGTGTCACTCTGTTGCCTGCTACGATCGTGGTGTTGGTGCAGCAGCAGAGACAAATGTGGCAATGTGTGGGCGAGATAGGACGATAAACACACCAGTCAGACACAATGGAGGCACCATAACCCTAGTGCAACCCAGGGTAGCTTGCAGGGGCAGCAGCTACTAAAGGGGACAGGTTTGCCCTCTGTTTTCCGCACCCCAAGGATTATCTGGCAAAGCGTAGCGATAAGGCGAGCTCAAAGTGGGTGGATGGCCGTATGGCTACAGGGGCCGGTCGGGGCTCTCCGTTTGCAGACTTTGAGCGCCTGTTTGAGCTGCTGGGCCTGGTGCAGGGGGGCCTGGAGACCCGGGTGTGCATGGTGCGCCACGTGATCCACGAGGCCGGACGCTTCAAGCGCCGCCTCCTCATGCGCCTCCTGCGGGACTTTGAGCAGCGCCTGGTCGACGCCGCCGCATTCCCCTCCGCCTAGGCCCCGCCCCCGACCCCCCGTCGGGGTGGGGCACACGGGCACAACACGCCATGAGAGCGTTCGCTCACTGGAACGTCCACTCTCCAGAGCGTTAGTTTCCCGGACCTTGCGCTTTGCGAGCGTTCGCTCCGCGGGCACCCGCTCAGCGACATTGGCTGTCAGCGACACTTCGCGGCGCATGCGTTTGCGAGGACGTGCCTTTGCACGCCTGCCACTGGTTCGATCGTCTGATGCCTCACAGCAGGCAGACGGGCGAGCGATGATAACGCCGTTTCGGCGGGGCTACCCCGTGAAAAGAAGAGCGCTCTGCTCGGGGCCGCCCTGGGAGCGTGGTGGCCCCGATCGGCGCATGACGGCATGGCAAACAATAGAGAGAGGTGTTTTTATTATTGGATCCTTTCTTTTATCATCATTTTCCATTGTGTGGCCGCTCGTTTACGGCGGCGGCGATTGGGAGATGTCTTGGTGCGCCTCCCGTTTCCGTCTCCCGTTGATGGGGCGCTTACGTGTTTTGGTTTTTTTTTCCTACTCGACTCGGAGAAAAGGTGTATGGGAAGTGTGCAACAAGGCGGCGGCACCGCAGTGCGGTGCCTTACATTTTTCATTTCAGGTAGACATTGCGCGTAACAGCCGACCATAGTTTCTTATCAATTTCAGCTTGCCTGAGCACGACGATGTACACAACTTTCAAGGCCACAATGGGCGCTAAGTTTTTTTACGCAAGACACGTAAATTGAGAACACCGATTCCCTCCTAGCTGTGGCGAAAACGGCCGCAATCATCTTGATGCAGGTGCATCTACTCGATACGCCAGCGAGCAAAGAGCACTCTGATAATAAGAGGAACGAAAAATACTTCTCATATCAGTTCTATCAATCACTAGTGAATGTCGTCCTATATAGTGATTTCCAGACCGTCGAACAAACAAGTGCCTTGTGGACCCATATTCCAACAAGTGCTGTCGTTGCTGCTTATGACTGCAAGGAACACAATTGAATCCGAGTTCCAAGCAACTCCTGCGAATCGAATGACGTGAGAACACGCACAGAGAAACGCTGGGTGGGTAGATTGCCGGACATTGAGGTGTGAAACCATTACTTTGAAGCGAGATCAAGAAACATGGCTGTGTGGAGGTGCAGATGCAGCCAAGAAACTCCGGTCGCATTAGAAGGGGTTGGAGCGGGCAGCGCTTCACCTTGCGTCATAGTGTGGACACTGTTGTCGGTGGCACTGTGAACCAGCTGCCAAGATGTCGCACGCTGCAAATTGACAACTTCCTCACAGTGCCGTTTACCTTTCATCCGTGGCTCCACATTTGAATAGACCTCTTCCAAAAACGGAGCGATCCTAGGGGCGTAGTGCTGCGCAAAGGATCTTGGGAACCCACTGCCCACTAAGTTTCAGTTTCGATTTGCAAACCTCATTTCGCGGCGTCCCGTTGCGACCAAAAATGGTGTTTATTTTTTCGAATATGTGACTTTCCTTGAATTTATAATACCGTAGGTGTTGCGTACAAATACGGATAAAGTGCTGGGGCACGTTTCTTGGGCTCCCAACATTCCACAGTTTGTGCGTAGGTTGACCCGGGACTGCGATGATGCATGGAAGAAGAAGTAGATACTCTGCAAGTTATCCTGCTCCATTGTGTTCTCAATGTCCTAGGCTTCCTTAACTTATCTGCGAGACAGGAGGGTTGTGCTGCATTCTGGAGGGGTAGCCAAGCTGCCAAAAAGGTATGTGACGTGGCCCCCCCCCCCCAGCCATACTCCCACTCCTCGCTAAGCTTAGGCAGGTCCTTGCGGCTACTGGAGGTCCGTGTTTCAACAGGGGCTCTCGCAAAGTGAATGGGTGCAATGCAAGCGGGCGCCTACTTTATTTTCACGCAGTGCCAAGTTGCACTAATTCGTCAACAGGGAAATCAAAATTGAAACCATGCCACTCCTATTCATGGCCACCCAGGTCCAGTAATGCAATGTGTGCAGTGTTGCATGCGGGGATTTCTGGAACTAGTTTATTGCCAGGTGCCATTTGTCTTGCAGCGGTTGCAGCCACAAATGGATGGCTCTACTTTTATATCGAAGTGATATATATATATATATATATATATATCACTTTGGCTCAATGGCGTTGCAAGTTTCGTAGGCAATGCCAAAATAGCATGAAACAGATTCTTTCAAATAAGCAGGTAGTTGCATTGAGAGATGCAATTTAAAATGCTGCCTTATCCGCCCCTCCTGCATACTTTGCCGGCAGCAATGCAAGATTTGGTAGGGCATCGGCACAAATTAATAGTCCTTTCGTTGTCCACAGCATGCAGCGCAAAACAAATTCACGGATAGTGTTGCATGAAGCCACATGACGAGGCATCGCAATATATAATGATGTCTTGGGGCATCGCTCAGAGTTAAACAGGCACATATGTGCAATTCTACGGTCCTTGGAAGTCGTAAGCAGTGTTTGAGCCTTCGGTCACCAGCCAAATTCTGAACATCTCGCGAATCATCTGGGGCTTACCAACTGTCTTGGCAACTTCATTGAGCACAAAAGCCGAGAACTTTTGCTGTAGTTCTAGAAGCATGTACTATGTGCACGCTCGCATGGCCAGGGGGGAGGGGGGGAGAGGAGGAGGAGGAGGAGGGAGGGAGGGAGGGAGGGAGGGAGGGAGGGAGGCGGGCGGCAGGCAGGCAGGGCAAGTATGAGCTTTTACTTTTAGCTTCATGAGAAGCACGAAACAAAGGTAAAGATCTATAAAAAGCCAGGCTGCTCTTTGACCTCGCCTTGGTGTCAAAAGGGTTAAAGGTATGGGAAGGCCAAAGGTAACACAGATTGGACACCACCTGTTCAGCTCTTGGTTGGAGAGAGACTTTCAAGGTAATCAATAGATAAAGTTGTCTTTATTACATTTCTTATGTTCATGCAGTTACAATAGTGAAAGCTTTCTTTATTATTACTTTTTCTTCGTGCAGTTGCAGCCTCACGGCAGCAGGTTGTCAGCTTGCGAGAGGAATTGCCCTAAAAGTGGCTGTGCGGTCAGAGCAGCATGGAGAGCCAGGCAAGGATGAGCACCGTGCCTCCGAAGGGAGCGGCCATCTTGATTTGCTCATTGCCAGTGAGCGCATGGATGTAGCACGACCCACAGAAGAGTGTCATTCCGGCTGTCAGCAGGCTACCCACCTGCCAACAAAGAAGGTCGACAGACATTGGTACACCAATATAACGAAGATAATTTTGGTGGGGCAAATGAAAAAGTAGCCACCACATAAAAAGGAGGCAGAGAATATAAGCTCCAAATCACTTTGGAGAAGAGTCCTGTTGGCTAGGGCGTTGTTCCAACTTTACATATATGAAAGGTATGTCTACCAGGGCGAGACCATGATGCAAGAATGGAAGAGAAGAGAGTGCTGTATGGGGCCAAAGCAGTGTTTCGGGGAACGTTGACGAAATCCGACTGCAAAGCAAGTTGTGAAACGCGAATATTGTAACGGCATCTATGAGTGGTGCCATGCTAGGGTGCAGTACAGGTATTGTTTTGATGCCACAACGACATGTTTGCTGCGTTCCTTAAAACTGGTTTTGCACAAGTAACGTGGGCACCGAATGTGGCATTGCAACAACAGATGTGGTACAGAAGTCGTGATAACTTCTCCAGAAAATAAAGTGACGCAGAAACTGGTAGTGTAGCCAACACATGAAAACGGGTAGCGTGTCGAAGCAGATGCGTATGAATGGAACCACGTTTTGGAAACGTGGCAATAAGAATGACACTGTGGCTTGTCACGAAATCTTAGTTCTATCTCTTGGCTTCCTCTCATTTGTTTGGTGTTGGGATGTGACGTGAACTTAGCCCCCTCGAATGTTCTGGAACAAGCCGAGGTCTCCAAACGGGAAAAGACTGGCAAGCAAAAGTTGCAGGTCTTCTTACCAGTCCGGGTCTCCGTGTGAGGGGCGTCGCCAGAAGTGCCAGCGTGTGCAGCAGGTGATAGTGGTTGGCTCTGTCGAAGGCCTCCTTTAGCTCTTCGGGAACATCGTCTTTCTTGAAGAGCACTGCAAGTGAACAAGCATATCGGAGTTCCTCACTACATAAGTTGTGGTTGCAAAGTTGCAATGGATCTCTCTCGAAAGTTAGTCCCCTGTTGGAAACAGTGGAACCCCTGCATAACGGTGGGCACAAAAGACACTTGTCAAAGTTTGAACCCCAGAAATGCCATTGACTGCACCTCATTGTTATCTCTTACTATTTTAGACTTTCAGATTGTGCAGTGGCGATTATTCTGCCATCACGAAGTGGCTCCGACCCTCTGTAGGTTTGGTGGATACATGCATGGGTCTGGAGACATAGCACCAGAAAAATATATAAGATGTTACAATAAGGAAACTGGAACTTCGTTACCTGCAAATAAGGGGCACGCTTTAAGTTCGCGGCAAGTAAAAGTTTCCAAGATGGGAGCTGCTAGGGTACTGGGGTGCTATGTTGCGCTTTTTGGACTCCCAGGAGACTTGGAAGAGGGAAGTGACGTCAACGACTAGAGCAAACGCAGATTGGATGTTGACAGAAGAAAACGAAATCAACACCCAATCTGCGCTTGCTGTGTCGTTGACGTCACTTCCCTCTCCCTAGTCTCCTGGGAGTCCAAAAAGCGCAACATAGCACCCCTGGTTGGGATGTGGGGCTGAGAACCTACTCTCGAACTAGATAGCAAAGCTAACTTCTCGTATTCGAAAGCTCGGAGATGCCGTGTGCAAGGCATTCTGTAACGGTCTTGGATGTGGTTGTGCCAAATAATGGCAGACACCTTGTTTATTGGACACTGGGTCGCTCGCCTCTGTTCCGTTCCACTTTACGATGGACTGCGGAAGGCACTACGAGCCATCTAAACCAATCCAATGCCGTGCAAGTTGCGCAATATGCGTAGTCACGTGATTCGTTCACAGCGTCTGCAGCGGTCCATCGTAAGGTGAAACGAAGTGCATGTACGAACAAGAGACCCCAGTCAGCGACCAACTGGCCTAACCGTGCGCGCCGTAAGCCCCAAGGGCGACGGCCAGGGCCCCGGAGACTCCTGCCAGGCGCACGCAGAGGCCGCCGGTTCGGACCAGGTGCTTGGCCCATGCAGGGGGCGTGGATTCGCTCGCGAGGACGGAGGCTGGCGGCGATGATCCACCGGGTCCCTTCGAGTAACCGCGCAGGGTCCGGGTCACGAAGTTGTCCGTCACGCTGTCCGACACGTAGCTTATGAACTTCATGGTCCTCGTGAAAGACTCTGGATGAACGCGAGGTTCAGATTCGTGCGTTGACCTCCCTCTTCGTAGAGAAACTTTGTTATTATCGTTATTTCCTTATCGAAGCTATCGAAGTCGCCGAATCTTGGGGAATGTCTCGCATCGGCTACGGCTACGCCTGTTTTGCGGTCCTACCGGCTCTGCTGGCTTTGATCGGTTTTTGGGAAAGCCATTGCTTTTAAAAGATGATTTAATTTTTATATATTAAAGCTTGAAATTAGTCTTACTTAACAAAATTTAACCGACCAACCGAGCAAAAATTTGTTCAGCGGCTTAGCTTGGCTTGCTGTCGGCTACAAGGTTTACTTTGACTAGGCTACTAACATCAGTGGCTTTGATGGTTCGCTACTGCGGATCCGCAAATCGCGAAGGTCGACCGCTGTCATCCGTGCTACCGATTGTTTCTCTCCCGTTACTGCTTCACCAGCACCCGCAACCTAAGCAGTGATTCTCGCTTCAAAATAATTCTACAAACACGAGTCAGCTCGTCGGGGCATTGATTAGCGGAGAGCCTCCGCGGTTTGCACCGTCGCGGGCGGACCCACCAGATCCGATAGACTGGCCGCGCTACTGCTGCGGCGCTAGCATTTGTCGCAGTCGGTGCGAGTCGTCCAAGCGCCAGCAAAATGACGGACGAGGACCCTGTCATACAGACCAACCTCGACGCCGCGGTGAGCAAGCGAGACGCCGTCACTAAAGGTTACTGGAGCGATCCGTACATACAGTACTTCGTCAAGCCGTCCGAGCGCAAGGCGCCCGAGATCAGTCGCGGGTACTACGCCCGCGTGCACGGCGTCAAGACGTTGCTCGACAAGTTCCTCAAGGTGGGTACGGTACAACCTTGCTCAGAAACTTTGTGCCGGAGTTGTAGTGCTGTTCAGAGAACGATAGCGCGAAGAAATGAAGAAAAGTGAGTCGGGCAAACGACTCACTGCTTTACCACCTAACTTGCCTTATAAAGCGTGATACATAAGAATGAAAAGTGCTTTGGTTTGGTTGAATTAAGCACTGATGCGCTTCCGAAATTTTATGCGGAAGCTGGATGCAACACAGAGCATGAAGCACCAGCGAGATTAACAAGACCTGTTGTTGAGCTAGCTGGTGCATAATACTCGTGAAACTTGTAGGCACAAACAGGGACGGACAGAAAATACAAGACACGGACAAGCGCTTGTCCGTGTCTTATTCTTCACGCCCGTCCCTGTTGGTACTTACAAGTTTCTTCACCACCAGCTAGATGCTGAACATGATACAGAAACCCTCTTGTATTTGGTGTCTTATGCCTTGCACTCTGCTTATCGCGGTGTAGGCTTTGTGTTATGGTTTTACTTGCAAGTTGAAGATCCCTCCATCCAGGCCTCGACAGGAGCATTCCACATTATCTTTATTTTAAAGCTCACCTACCTTAATCTCGTTGAGCCACCCAGGTGGCTCCTAGGAAAAGCGCCAGCCTTGGGGACCCCCAGTTGACGGGCTCGAATTCTGACCGAGGTCCCCCCCAGTTTGATGGGGGCTCAGTGCAGAGAAGGCAACTTGGTGGCCAAGATTTTGGTTACATGTCGTAACAGTCTCAGTAGGTCGAGATTAATCCTCAGTCCTTTTCTGGGGCATGCCAGATACCCTTATTTGGTTTGGCAGGTTAAACCCTCAAATTTGCCTTAATCTCGTGCCAACTACCCCGGTTTCTTGCGTCTCTTGAGTAAATCAACCCTTCACTTTTCAGCTTGCCTTTGATGTCCCCTTTCAATACACACCCCTTTTCTTCGTGCTGTTCTTCTCGTCCTTGTGGGTTTCCGGCTAACCTCGGTTTTTGGCTTGCCTCTGTTGCTCCACTTGCAGCTGGTGGGTCCTGACTGCCAGATAGTGAACCTGGGCGCTGGTTTCGACACACTCTTCTGGCGGCTGATGGATGACAAGGCCCAATTCAAGAGCCTCGTCGAAGTCGACCTTCCTGCCGTGACGACGCGCAAGGTCTACTACATCAGGCTGCGCAAGCCGTTGCTCAAGGGCATCGTCACCGAAGGTAGACTGCAGATGTTCGGCGTCTGACTTGCTTTCTTTCGCTTGTTTGGTCGCTTGCTAGCATGAATGCGTGCATCATTCCAACCTTCCCTCTTTTCTAGACACCTTAAACGAGCTGCATCTTCATCGATCTTCCGGTATTAGCACTCCAACCTGTGGTTAAGTATATCATGATGATTGCGTGCATAGTGTGGAGTGGCTTTATTTGAGGGCTTTAAAGGGACAATGAAGGCAATTTCAGACATCTTTTTGGCGATTGAGCTGGGTTCCAGGCACGTCTCGGGCCATGTTGCCCAAATTCAACCGAAACAGGCGCTTGAGTGCCGCGCAAATCAATTAAACAGTCGCGGTAATAATCGTACCGGGATCGACTGGGGCGACGCCCCGAGAGTTGCGGGAGAAGCCTGGAGAAGCGGAGCTCACGTGACCGATGCGGGGACAAGGAGCGCGACGTCACAAGAGACGCGTCAGCGATTGGTCGAAACAAGTCGGTCACGTTTTGGTTCGCGATTTTTAGAAATACTGTTCTCATTTCCGCTTGAATAACCATGAAAAGTATAAATCGGACTGGAAATGATTACTAAACCGTAAATAAAGCAGCATAATTGTTTTTTCTTTGCTACGCTGGACGCGAAACGGCCAACGAGCAAATATGGGCACTTCGGCACGCGGGCCGCTCGTTACCGACTGGGCGGTCTCCGTCGGGTGATGGCGGAGGCTGCCACACACATACTCCCGTTCCGTTTGTGTTGGGTCACTGAACGGAAGCTCGAACTCGCTAGCGAGAGCGGCATTGCCGTCCATCTTGACAGATTTGACGAAACGACCGCGCCACCGCGCTGCTATAACCCACCGCGGTAACCAGAGTCTCGATCTCCTAAATACTACCGATACCGACTATTCACACTTGACGTCACTGCCTAGGTCACCTCCGTTTTCGGAGGCCCAGAAACGAGAATGGAGATTGTTCAATTTCGGTTTCTTTAGTTCTTTCGTAGGCACAGAAATATGCGTCACAAATGTCTACAAAAATTGGGCAGCATGCTATGTTCCCAAGAAGCATAAAAACACCATGTAAAAAAATTAAATAAAATCGTCTTCATTGTCCCTTTAACCCATGGGTCCGAGTTGCATGGGAATTTGATAATATCTAATGTTTTTCTTTGTCTGCAAAATTGAGCACATTCTGTCTTGAACTGCACGGCTTATCACCATCTCTGTTGTGACAAACGCTTTGTGTGCGTGCTCTTGAAGACTTGTGTACATTTTGTGTTTTTGCGGTGGTACAAAGTTAGAAATCTGTTTGTGATGTTGTGTGCCATTGCATTTTTTTTTTTGCAATGAACCTTTCATTTACTAGTTGACTTCTCTAAATAAACCACATTGAAGATGTTTTTCTGTTTTTTTAAGCCACCTCGGTGGTTTTGAGGCAAAGTGGCTGGTTATGGCTTCCCAGGTGGCGGGTTCAAATCCCGGCCAAGATGCCCTCTATCTGATGGAGACGTAATCCAGAGAAAGGGCCGTTTATCTGAGATTTCGGTTATACGTCAAAAGATCCACAGGTGGTCGAAATGAATCCTCAGTTAACCGCTGGGGTATGCCAGATGCTCTTCTTTGGTTTGTCACATGAAAAACCCAAATTTAACTTGAAGACGTTTGCTTTGATTCTGCCCCCCAACAAATGATATGCTGGCTTGACCTTGAGTTACTTTGTGCACACAGAGTACTAAAAACAAACACCCATTTTCTTGTGGTGACAACTCTTTGTGTGGCAAATGACTGGAGTGTTCCAGGAAGATTTGTGTGTTGTAATTTTTAAGTAACTGTTTTTGAAATGGAGAAGCCGCTTGTATACCGCAGATTGGAACCAATATCTCAGAACTTGGCGACACCCTTTGAGTGCAGTAGCCTTTGAGACATCTTCATTACATTTCTCGGACAATCGGTGCTGCGTAAAATTTGTTTGTCATTTGATTAGTTTGTGAACCAACCTGTGGTCGTGTTGCTGTCGTGACCGGCGTGCCGCTTGGTGTCGTCGTCACGGTGCAGATGACGACGTGAAGGTGAACTCGTCGGACCTGCACGCCGGCCACTACCACCTGGTGGGCTGCGACCTGCGCGAACTGGACGTCTTCGAGGCAAAGGTGGTCCACGAGTCTGGCCTGGACGTCAGCCTGCCCACCCTTTTCATCGCAGAGTGTGTGCTCGTCTACATGAGCTGCGACGAGTCTTCTGCGCTGCTCTCCTGGATAACGCGCAACTTCCCTCATGCCGTGCTCGTCACCTACGACCCCGTAAGTCTGGTAGACGCAACCCCTGATTCTGTTGCACAAACTTGTTGCCGCAGGCCGCGGTGTAAGATATATACGGGTGTGGACTCCGTGCATGTCCCAGCTGCAAGATGAAGTCCTCTCTTCGCCTTGGTTGCAGGCGGCACCGCCAGATGACTTGGATCAGTGGCCAGGGCTAACCTCTTGTGGGTCTGGTCTCCTATGCTTCTGTGTGGGAGACATGCGTGTTTATTAAGTTGTTCTCTGTGTGCGCCACACTATGTAAAACTTGGCAGTTACTGTAAAATACCAAGCACGCCCCTCAATTTAGTTACACTCGGAAAATACGCTTTACTTGTTGTTGACCTAAGGAGCGGCCATCCCCCCGTTTTACACGATTAACTCCAAGTTTTGAGTGGACGCTTGCTCGGAATTTACGGTATGTTACGCATGTTGCTTAGATACAGCTTTGTCATTGACCCTTGTTTTGTGCCTTAATGGCTGCAAGAACAGTTTTTATTAATGCTTTGAAATGGTGAGATCACTGGTGCTGTGTTCAAGTCAGTGTCCTTCTTGTTCTCGGGGCAGACACACAGAGTGGAAAATCGGGGAAAACCGAAAGGCCCCGAATCAGAGTTGTAACAAAAAAACAACAAAAAAACCAAGCTTTCCGGAAAGAGCCTTTTATCTACAGCTCTATACTGTGCTGACCCGGAACACGGCCTGTACTGAACTGTCTGCAAGGCCGCTTCTTTCTTTGGGAACCATGTCCCTTATCCCGTGTCCTTCCCTGATCGCTACAGGGACGTTTTTCAAGCGTTCAGGTCTCGCACATGTTTCCTGGATGGGTGGATAGATGAATGCAAATGTCTGTATGGGCAGCCTAGAGATTGGGGAGTCCCAAGGCCGTGTCCTGGTTTCTTCAATGTTATCCCTCTGTAAACGGCAATTTTTTGTCCGACACCAAGAAACACCAAATTTGGGGAGGGGGGGGGGGGGGGGGGGGGGGGGCTAGGCTAGGCTAGGCTAGGCTAGGCTAGGCTAGTTTAAGTGGCAATGGGGCACAAGCTGTCACCTGATGCAAAGGGTGTGGCCACTACCATCTATTCATTATATAACGGACATCTTGCTCGTGGAGATTCATGTACCCCTTTATTCGAAATAACACCTTTGGCAACTAGATAACTCGACTGTCGGAGCATAATGCAACGGTAACATCAAACTCCTGCACATAGAACGACAAGAAAATAATTAGAAAGATTGACCTTTAATTGGAGAGGACTGGATTGACTAAACCAGAAGGGCTGGAGACTTTTGGCCACTAACAGGCAAAATATAAAATACCCTTGTACTGGGTAATTATAATAATAATTGACCTCTTCATTGCGTCGTCGCAGTGTCCTTTTATCATTTTTAGGGTGTGCCACCACTGGCCCTACTACTTTTAGATCTGTTTCATCGATATCTGGTTTTGTGATCACCCTCTCAAACATGTACCTTTGCTAGCACCTCTGGTAAGGAGGAATTACCTAGAAATATACATTGCTAAGTTCAAGCTTAGCAATTAAGATTGCTGTGCCTTGCGAAAATATTTTTAACTACGAAATGAACTTTATATTTCCTAGGTGATATATTGTTATGTTCCTGTTTCTTAATGTTTTTCTTTGTGCCTTTGTGATGTACGCTTCTGCTTGAACTTGGTTGAGTTTTCAGCCTACCGTAATATACCGCTGAAGCACCCACTTCTATCAAGTGCCCACATTTAACACTTCCCAAACTTCGGTATTCTGAAAATTATGTTAAGCACGTTATTTGACCGGACGAGTGCCTATGTCTAGATTAACCCAGTTTTAGTGAAAATAGGGTGGGTGCTACCCTGGTATTTTACAATAAATAAATAAAAAGATGACAAAAAAACTAGGAACTATTTTTGGTGCTGCTTTAGAAACGAAGGTCCAGGGAATGACACTCTAATCAAAAAACTCTTAAATGATCTACTTTGCCAGCCCTAGCCCCTGGCTCTACTCTGTTCACCTCTAAGCTGACAGCGCGGTAAAAGCCACGCTCCCACCCAGACCCATGTGCAGAGAGTGCCGAAGCCGACGGTGTCACCCTACCGTCGGCTTTGGGGCGAACGGGGTATGGTGGGTTCCGTGTACATGGAGCAACACTTGCCGAACCTTGCCATCCTCTGGCACAGGTGAACATGGATGACAAGTTTGCCGAGGTGATGGTGGAGAACCTGAAGCAGCGCAACTGCCTGCTGGCGGGTCTGCAGGCCTGCACCACCCTCAAGACGCAGGAGGAGAGGTCGGTCCCCCTTTGGCATCTTTCGTTTACTCCGTTTGTGCGAGAGCCGTCCCAGCACTTCCCCGGCGGCAAGACAATGCGGACGGCAAAGTCGTCTGCTTCTTGCTCAGGAGTTGCGGTTAAGTCAAAACTATGCCGAGCTTTGATTGGCATTGATTGAAAGGGCAGTGAATAGACCTCACTGCTAGATGCCTTGAGGTCTACAATCAGCCAATAAGAGCTCGGCATTCTGACATCACCACAACTCCTGTGCTAGAAGCAAGCGACTTTCTCTCTTACCAGAAGTGAGAGAACACTGCCGACACGTGGTTGTCATGGTGACATCATGATATCACGTGACGCCGTGATGTTGAGTGATGTTAGTCACGTAACCTCGTGACACAAGAGACATGCGGCATGTCCTCAGCTCATTCGCAACACTCTGCGCGTCTCTGAGTTTATCAGATGAGATGAAGACATGTTTACCTCTTTCCTTATCGCACCCATTGAAATCAATCAATTTGATCGATGGATTTCAGACCTCTAATTCAACGCGTTCAGTGCCGTTTTAGGGCATGCGACGCCATCTAGGATATTACGAAGGAATGCAACTTTGAGTTCTGGTTTCGCTCTTCCGCTAGGAGATGATTTTTCATGAAACCTTAAAGTTCCAGGATTGCGAGTGATTGCATTGAGCTAGGCGTCCTCGTCAGCAGACCGACGCTGTTCAGAAACAACATCATCTGGCTTGCGATTCTGGTACATGTGCAATCAATTTTGTGCACAAAAGTGGCAGCAGTGAGTCGGAAGATGACGTTCATTCATTCGATTTTAGTTTTGATTGTGGCAGTGGGTCGAACCGGCCGGGATTGTCCACAGGTGCCTGTTGGCATGTTTCGTTTTGCGTGCCGAGGACATTTATTGCCTCCGTGAGCTTCTGTGGACACACTGGAAGTGTTCTGAACGCATTCTTTTTCATCTGCAGGGTGTCAACCTTATATAGATTAAGTCTTATGCCATGAGCAGCAAAACGCGTGGAGTTTTCTTTGGAAAAGGCGGCCCGGTCGCGACCTTGGCATGATGCTACGGAGTAGCACGAAACGCCTGGGTTTTGACTTCGGGGAATGGAACAGTCATCACGAGGGCCAACTTTCTTTTCTGCAGAACAAGAAGTTTTGCACATAGGCTTTTCAAACTTGCAGGATTTGTTTTTTGAGGAGTAAAATACAGAATATATGGTTTTAATATTTTTTTACTTCTAATACTTTGCAAGGCTCATTGAATGAAAGCAAAAACTTGCATGTTGGTTGCACAAAATTTGACATTCCATTTTTTGTTTGTGCGATATAAATTATATTTTGTTTGACGCTTACATTTTTTAAGAAAAAATTCCTTTAGCTACGTTTTGGTATACTTATAGTAACAAAATCGGCAGCTAAACAATCTTTTCGTGAGACCATCCTATAACAGCTTTCTTTTACTCCAGTAGGGAAAGATGGTAAAAGGTCGATGCAACAAATCTTTGTACAGTCATTAAATGCCGTGCAGAAGTATTCCCTGACATTTATAACATATGTAACATGTTAATTTTTTTTCTTCGCAATAGCAGGCACAGAAAAAAATTCTAGTAAAACAAGCAGTGTTTGCCCCCTTAACTTTCAGCCACAACAAGCAGCCACATTGTCTGGAGCTTATTATATGTCGTCAATGTTTCTAGTAGCCATACGGTGGGATAGGCAAAGCGCAGGGCACATGCTGAGTTCCACACACTGTTAAGGTTCGACCGTTCCCATCATCGCAGAGATTGCCATTGCGCACGAGTCACTACCCAAATGTTTGTCGAGGCATGGATCATCACGAGCCCAAATCGAATGCTCACGCAATGTTTGTTTCCCCTGTACAAGCCACATTTAAATATCATCAGCGCAGAGATCACAAAAGCCTCGTGACGAAATCGTGGGGATCGGATTGTTGACAATGCCAACAGTGCAATCGCCACGACTTCGTCATTGAGTTTTGCGAAGGAGGGACTGAAAGGACACGTCCGCTGTTGTCCTGGCGCGGCAACAAGGAAGCTTCCTAGTCTATCGTGTTACGTGCGAGCATACTTGGGTCCCACTAGTGCCAGTAAGCTCTTGTGAAGTGAGAAACATTTCCACCCAATACCGTTGCATGGCCCCTTTAAAGTTTTGAAGCAAAATTGAGGTGATTACAGCAAAGCCAGAACCTTTTTGAGCCGAGGGTCTACCTACTAACAGTGATCAAAGTGGGCCGATGAATTACGACTTGTGGTGTTACGCAGGATCCGGAGCACAGGCTGGGAGGCCTGCACAGCCTGGACCATGTCCCAGGTGTACCACTCCATTCCCGCTCCGGAGCTCCACAGGTAGGTCACTGTGCAAAAAGACTGTGCCCGACACAAAGAAAAAAAGCCACAGGATTAAAGTGTGCAAGCAAGAGGATGAATGGACTGCACAACACAGTTAGGGCCAGTTCACACATGCATCTCAGCAGTTAAATAATGTAAAGTCAGTGCTGCATCAATGCTGAGTTAGCACTCCATTCTGTTTGTGAGAAAAGGCAGAGACATGTATTGGAGCACCGGTGCAGCACTGATAAAGTGAAAAGTCAGTACTTTTGTCTACCACGCTAAGTTAGCGTTGGGGTGTATCTATGCACAGGCCTTCACTGCAAACACGACGTTAGAACTGCGTTTTGCAGTGTCGGAAGTGCTGCACCAAATTGTGCCACGAACGAGTCTGCTACATCTTGTGCCAAAATGTCAAGTTTACTGAACTTTGCACCACACCTGCGTTGAGAAGGACCGAAATGGACAAAGCAAACAAAAAAACATAATTTGATTGTTGCTGATTCCTAATATTCAGAAAAACAGGAAGAAAGGAAAGCGGTACAAATATGCATTTCCCAGCGTCTCTATGCACTATATATAGTTTGTATCATTTTAGATCAGAGCACAGTCAACGGCTCGAACACGTACAACCACAGAGCCTTTGCTGCGTTTAATTAGGTTAGCTGATGACAGAACATGTTCCGAAAGCTGACGAATGCCTCATTGTCACGCTTTTGACACTGTTTGATTGGTCCTATTGTCTTGTAGCGTTGGTTTGAAGCGAAACAAAGTGTAGAGGTTGCTCGTTAACCACGCTAGCCCGTCATTGTCTGAATGTCCAGGCAACGTTGGCGATGTCGAGAGCTAAAAGTTGCGAGAAAAGTCTGCGAAATTGTGAGGTGCGCACTAGTGCGATAAGGCAGAACCAGGTTCTATGACTCCTGCTGAGATCATCTGATTATCATGCTTGCCACATGCCTCCTTGCCATGGCTACCATCTACCGTGGCACTTGCGCCGCCCTCATTGACCTTCAGTGCGTGCCTTCCACCTGCGTGCGTGCATCAAGCTGCACCGCTTTTTACCGGAGTGCTATACTCCATTTCACGATAACTTGGCGAACTGTGGAGGCTACGGCCCCCGCAACCCAATAAGAGCGCCGGGGCAAGACAGGTGATAACATTCCATGATCGATGCCGCGGGGGTCATGTTACCGCCACAGGAACAGAGCCGTCCTCGACAAAAAGTAATTCCAGGCTTCTCTTTCTTTTAATGGCAATTGAACTCGTGCAATTCCATCTATAACGAGAAGAAATGTATAAAGAATAAATAATCACAAATTTATTAGTTTCAGTTATATTTAAACCAAAAAAAGTGATGCCACATCCGTATCCACTCGCTTTTTTATCCTGTGGTGCCGTGGCCGTTGGCGATTGCCGGCGATTGCAGCCATGTAATCTGCCGTTTCCGCTCAAAACATGAGACTGTGCCCTTGCACTAGTGTCCGTCACAGATTCGCGACTAAATTGAGCTTATGGTTGTCTCATGAACTGTTCCCAAAGTGCTAGCTTTTTTAGCGGTGCGTAATGTTGCTCCGGTGGACGTTCATTCGAAGTTGGTTGGTTTCAGAGCAAACGACTCTTGGCTAGCAGACGACAGCCGGTTCCTCTGGGCCTCATGCCTCGCATTAGGCGTGGTGACACAAACGCTCCCGTGACGTTGGGTCGCGGGGCCCTAGCCTCCATAGGCCGCCAAGTTATCGTGAAACAGAGTATAGGAGCTGTGGCTGAGATGGGGAGTGCCTTGGTTGGTGCAGGTGCAGGTTGTCTTCCAATTTAAAAAAAAGCTGTGCCCAGAAAGAAAAAAATGTGAGTCCATATTTGAATACATGGGGTGGTTGAGGTAGTTCCCGTGCAGCAGGCAATCAAAAGAGCGGCGAAATTCGACTCTACTCTGGTTCCAACGTCGCTAAAGCTCAGTGTCAATTTTGAGGCAGAGCTGTAGGTTTTCATAATATTTGCTGGTGGTTGTTTTTGCAGTTTATGATCCCGGAGTCTCGAGTTTGGTAGGTTCACAAAACTTGAGTTGACATATTTTTATTGAAAGACATTTTGGCAGATATGCTGGATTTCGCAGGCATTTTTCAGAAGATATATTTACAGGCTAAATAAAGTATCGAGTGTAAAAGAGGCATAGGGAGAGATGGGTCTTATGTCAGCTGAAGTGTTTTGCTATATTTTATTTTTCAACAATTCTTTTAATATGCATTGTGAATGCTCCTTGGATACTCTGACCTGAGCCTTATTTATAAAAATAAGCCTGTGTGTGTTCTTTTTGCATCCTATCTAGTATTCTGATAACAATAGATAATGAGTAGTATGCTTCAGTATCAAAGAGGGACCATTAATTGTTATCAAAGATGGGCTTGTTTAGCGATGCAATCATTCTTTTCATTTTCATGCGATGGGGCAACAGATGTTGGCATCTGCTCCAAAAGCATCAGTGGCTGCTCCGAACCAATAGTTTGTCTACTACAAAACTTGCTACAAAAGGTCAAACGACATTGATGACAATGACAGAAAGCCATACAAGGTGACTGTGGGGCTACGTTCTAGCCGTGGTTGTCGGTGCATGGGGGGTGGCAGCCATCCACTTTGACTGGACCCGGAGCCGCTGCCTTCGCTGAAGTGAGCGACCGCTCTATCAAACCTCTAGGGCTTTAACATCCGAAACGTTCGTCGAATGGCCCGCCAAAGGTCGTCTTGGCTCGCTGGCCTTCTTGCCTGAACCGCCACCGAACCTCCAAGACTCGCACAGTGGTTTTCACGACGTTCAGAAGAGCAGGTCATCCGCATCGTGCACCTCGTATATTATATCATCGCATAATTGCCCTTACTAGACTTGGCACCGCGGGCCTCCATGGGCTGTCGACCTTCTGCTGTTTTTGTGGCTGTCCTGATTCATAAAAAATTACTACAACTACTAAATGCCTTTTCTATCACTTACTTTGCTCAGACAAGGCATTGATGGACAGCAATATTCACTGCCTAAGTCAACCAAGACGAGCATACTCCACTTGATCAGTATTGACAACACCTTTTCAACTCTAAGATAGACAAAACAAAAACACTGGCAGTTGTTTGTTTATGTTGTGTCATATGCACCCAGTGCAAGCAATTTGCCTTTTGCACGCTTGACAACGGAGAGTGAAGTAAAATCTGGTATCTGATTTTTTCAGAGGGTAAAGGCAGAGGTGCACTGTCGGTTTGGAAATAGAAATGCCCCTTGTGCAATAGAGGGAGTTGTCAGCTAATATAGAGATGTATTGTATGTATGTTTATACAGTAAACTTTCGTTAATTCGACCTCGACGGAACCTTGAAATTTGGTCGAATTATCCGAATGATTGAATTAAAAATAGGACAGAAAAACGGTTAAAATTAAAATTCCTTTTATTGTCCAAAGTACTCATGGATGGTCTGATGTCGTCTGCACTTAAAACACATGTCCAAAAGCATGCTTCGGAGAGCAGCGCAACTAAACGTGATGTCCCCGGAAAATCGCGCACTACAAAAAAAAATATATATATATATATATTAAACGAAACAATTAAGTTTTACTAGGCGACTTTGGTGCCAAACCAAAGTCAACTCGGCGGCAAAAAAAAAAAATAAAGGAAAAAAGAATTTGCGTTTTCTGACGCGCAACATGGATTGCACACGGTGCTATAGAGAAGCGCTTTGAGAGAGCGCGCTGAGAAAGCTTCGAGCCGACTTTGGCGTCGGGCGGCCAGACTGTCGGCGACAAAGAAAAATAACAACAACAAACAAAAAAAAAAGGAAAAGGGAACTCACGCTTTCCGGTGCGCAAGATGGAGCGCACACGATGCTACAGAAAAACGCTTTAAGAGCGCGCGCTGGCTCGTGCGTCCCCTACCACGTGCTATGTTCTCCGCGCTACTCCACACCAGATTGGTTGTACTGGCTCTTGCCATTGGCTATGGTCCATCTCAACGGCGTAGAGGAGCAGGCGCATATTTGCGCACGTTCGGCTTTGCAGCAAAGGGCTCGTGTTTCGCCGTTTGTTGGTCGTTTTTCTGCTGTGGTGTCGTGCAATGTGAGCCCGCACGCATTCGCTCGGGACGAATATCCGATGCGGAGTCTTCCCGAGTTCGAGCTATCAAACTTTTCCTCCCATAGAAATGTATGGGCGCTTGCCGGGACTTTTGAACACGATCGAATTAAACGAAAATTCGAATTAACCGAGGTCGAACTAACAAAAGTTTACTGTACAGCCGGGACTCGGCTTCGAACGCATGTTGGTGCAATGCTCATCCAGATCAAAACGGGCAGGTAGTGGGGATTGAACCCAGGATCCCTGGGTTCTGCAATGTAAGCTTTCGCTACATGTGCTCCGAGCTGAGTTGCGCTAACCCTCTCGCCAACTGATCTACTAAGATTTACAGTGATATTAATTTTTTTCGAAGTGTTGAGCACGCTTCTTACCGGGCCCCAGTGCACTGCTGAGAAGCGGTGTTGCTTTTCTGCAGTACACCAGTGCTTGGTAAGAAGCGGGCTTGAAGGGGCTAAACTGCCACGATCAACACCTCGAAAAGTACAAATATTGCAGTGATTCTTAGCAGGAAAGCACACTTTCGAAGCGGGATGGTACATGTGCGCACCTTGTGTAATTAATAAAAGAAACTAAAACTTGGTGAGTGTTGATATCTACACTAGAGTAAAATTTCCAAAATTTAAACTGTGGCTATTATGCAAGAATGTATGTTAGGCAGAGATGTCCTGACAACAGTGTGCTTATAAATCATGGTTTTTCTTAAATTAGAGATTAAAAAAAAAGTATATTTACGTATAGCAAAAAGATTTATAAGTTCCCTCGATTAGGTATAACTGGGCATCTCCATAGGTTAAATATTATGTTGTATAAATGTGTCCTTTATTTGTCGGTTCAATGTAGGCATTAAACTTTCTGAGGCCGTAGTTCATACAGTTTGGTTAAAATTGGGCTAGATATGGACAAATGGAAGCTTGGGAGCAACCTTCACGAGTTCAGCTGGGTTTTCATTAGTATGGTGGAGTAAAAACTCTGAGAAACTTCAATATTTCATTCTAAAGTATTTGGCCAAACATTTAACTTCGAATTCACTTTGAACTCAAAATCTACTATTCCCGCATGCTTATTAACAAGTAAAAACCAAATAGCTCATCAAAAACCGATTACAATATTCGCAACTTTCAGTGAAGTTGGTTCTGTTGTTTGTGCTAGTCATTCTTGTGGGCTAGACTATGTTTTGGTGTATGAACTGTTCTTTTTCGACAGAGCAATACTGTTACCCTTGTTTCCACTTCTTTCATTGACCACGCGTGGTGCATCGCCTTTTTTTTCTTCCGCAGGGTCGAGAAGTTGGAAATGCTGGACGAGCAAGAGCTTCTGGAACAGCTTTTGACCCACTACTGCCTCTGCGTTGCCTACAAGGGCGGCGGATCCCCGTCGGTATTCGCCAAGCTGCAGTTCACCTAGGCTCGCTCTAGCCGCTTGCAGCACCCTTTCAAACTCCTTTTCCTGGCTCCTTGTTGCACAGAGGAGCTGACACCTTGTCAGCGGCCCGTGACTCTCTGAACTGGACGTGGTGTCGAGAAACGAAATCACTCGCCGACCGGTTTTACCCAGAGTTGCAACACTGGGCACGCTAAGAACAGCTGTCAGCGGTTCGAGTTGCGTCTAATTTCACTCAAAAGAGCGTCACCATTTTTATGGGCTAAAGGCAGCTCTGGCTCAAGGCCCTGTAACTTCAGCTTAGTTTACTGCAATCCCCTTTGGTGGCTCCCTTTTGTGGATTTGCGAGGTGTCTAAGATAATCCAAGAGTTTCGATTGAGACTTCCGAGCCTTTGGATTCTTTGCGCCTTTCGGAGGCTTCCATGGATTTCAGATGCTTAGTAGTCTTTTGTTGTTCTGTCTCTTGGTGTGTGTGTGTGTGCGCGCCCGCGCGCGCTTGTGTACCAGAGCTGATGCTTTTGGTTTTTTCTTTCTGCAAATCTATGTGAGTGATTCTTTGTATTTATTTATTTTGATGGCTGAAATGTAAGCAAAAATGTCATTATGCAGCTAGTTAAAAACTGTTTGCCGTGCTCACATGCAGAACAAATTTGGAGTGTCTGACAAGGTCGCTGGGCAAATAAAAATTGCCGGGGACATAATGCAACGCATCTTGTTTTCTTTTCAAAATGGTAAGTAATAAACAAGAGCAGAGTTTGCTTGTTCAGTGTGTTATAAGGGTTTGGTTAGCTCGCAGGCACGCCCAATGCACCAGTGGGCCTTTTCCACATAAAGACGGCGCCAACTATGCTCATTGAAATTGGATAAATGAATGGTCTGGGGCATGCAACTAGCCCTTTCATTCGGGTGGCGGCTCGCATCACCAACTACATATCTCTGCAGGGACAAGCTCAAACAGTATGCACCGGCAGTGCATTCTCGTTCATCATAATTTTTGACTAGGAAAAATTAGGGTGAAATGATTATCGCGAAATATTTCAACCAAATTTCCAGCCTTTTTACCTCTTTCTCTTCCAGATGAATCGCAAAATTATGGTTAATGCGACGCGAATGAAAACGGCCTGTCTGCAAGTTGTTTTGCACCAACGCCGAGTCTCGGCCTGATTGACATGAGGTGGCCCTGAAAATTCCTTAATGCTTTCTTTTCCAAGAATACTGTGTTGCGTGTAATAAAATGGCAACAGATGAGACATAAAGGAGGCGGGAGAGGTAGCAAGTGGTGCATCTCTCTTCGGAGTTTCCTCCGTTTCCAGACAAATACAGTACCAAGTGGCTGGCTACACAAGTATGCCTGGTGGGATCACAAGTAAGAATAGATGGATGCATTTGGCCGAGCCCTTCTTATTGGGTGGTGAGTTGCACCACCAGTAATGAGCCCAACCTATGTGCTCGCAGTCGGGGGCAAATGCAGAACTCGTTTTTTTTTTTTTTTTTTTTTTTTTTTTGGGGGGGGGGGGGGGGGGGGCGACCGCTTCCATCGTCGTCGTCGTCCCCCCCCCCCCCCCCCCCCCCCCCTACCCCCTTGTATCCGCCCTTGCTGGCAGTTCGTTCTAGCTTCGCTCAAGTTACGGGGAAATTGAAGTGAAAATAATAAGCTTCCAGCCTCTTGGCATGTCGTGTGGCAATGATACCGGGTCTCGGCTCCTAAAATTCTCTAGCAAGTGTTCTAAAATGCGTATTTAGCGCATCGGCGCGCAAGGAGGAGCGCGGCAATCAAAGGGCAACATAGGTCCATGCGCGCGCCGTCATTGGTTGAGGTTGGGGGTAAACAAAAGCATCTGGGCGCGTTTAGGGAGTAAACAAACAAACGAGGTGTGCAAGGAGCAGACGAACTTGCACGCAAACGAGGCAGGAGTGGGATAGCTGTCTAAGAAGAGCGCAGGCATGCGCAGAACCTGTATTGAAAAAAGATTGATTTTGCGCGTCACCAATCAAGTATAGGTGGCGCAAGCTACTACACCCATACGACTTCATCGATTTGTGATTGTGAAGGTATCGCTCTATCGGTACGCAATAATACGAGTCGTTTTACAAGTTTACGATCAAATCAATCCAATCCAAGGCCGTGGCATCACAAAATGGCGGTGCCTACAAGAATACGATAGTGTGTGCTGTTGACGCTTCCGACCCCGAACTGGACAATTTTGCGCTTGCTTTGTACCTCGTTTGTTGAAAAATGAGTCACGGAAGTGCAAGCAAGGTGAGGTCCACGCTCCGCTAGATTTTCCCTCCCTCGAACTTTAGATCTCGTTTCCGTTATCGCGGAGCGAGTTTTCGCGCAAAGAGCGCCTTTCAAATTTTGCTTGTCGTTTTCTGGAACATCATAGATGTTATTGCCCTTGAACAAATAGCATTTCGTGGGCCAAGGACTTTTTGGAACATTAGCGGACCGCTACAGCGGTGATAGCTCACGTGCGCTCCCCGTGTTGCCTTAAAACGTTTCGTGTCATCCCCCCCGTATTTTACGAAGCATCGTTACAATTATAAACCTGGACCAAAGGACCAGTTTTCTATTATCTCTTTTTATTGTGCGGTTCTTCGCGCGTGCCCCTCTACGTACCCAATTCTGTCATTGGCTTATATTTCGGAGACGATGTCCCCATTCTTTTAGTCCATTCAGAGCTGTTATTACCAATCACCATCTGTAAATTTAACAGATAATCCTGCATACAATGTGTTAGATACCTTAATCACTGCGCCAATTTCTGTAAAATATTAAAAGAACCCCCCCCCCCCTTTTTTTTCGCAAAAAAAAAAAAAAGAGAAAAATGTATGAAGTTAATTATTCAACAAACCTTGCAGGTGGGTGAAATCTTCACAGCGGCAGGAGCCGCATTCACTAAGCTGGGAGAGCTGGCTGTACAGCTGTACTCCGCATCGGAGCCGTCTCCTGCCGGGTGAGTACTAGCTGTCCCACAACCACACCTGATGCACAGCGCTTCAGGGAGCAGAGCAAGTACCGTGGACATTTAGTGCTTGAAACTTTGGTGTGAACATGATGAGAGAAGGCTGAGAGCTTTTCTCCTAGCAGCAAGCTGTTTTTCTAAAGTGATCGCTTGATTCAAAGGGTAAAACCACCATAATCCAATCCAGTCTAGCTCCCTTGGGAAGTTTGTAGTGGCATGACTAGCATGACATGGCACACAATGCATCTGTGCAATGCACATGTGCTAGAATGCAGTGTTGGCTACATTATCTCCGTTGCCGCAGCTCTGCGTAAAGGTCACTTGGGTTTTGATTCTCAGCAGGGAAACGACTGCTTATCTTTCAGGAGTGCACGGTTAGCTCTGTGCTATAGTCGGTTGCAAGTCAAGAAGGTAGGAGAAGCTCCTCCCACAAGCGTGATGCGCCCGTTTCAAATCTCTCCGCAGTCGAAAGAAGAGTTCACTGGAAACGGAAACGCTCCTTGTTCCGCTTCAGTGAATTCCAACTTGTCTCCGATCCCACTTTTTAAGAAAGCGACCTTTGTATTCATCGGAGAGGGAACCGAGCCCCTGAAAGCCTTTGTATCCATCGGGGGGGGGGGGGGGGGGGGGGGAGCTAATCCCCAAAAGTCGTATTTGTTTCCGTCGGTGGGGGAAAACACTAATCTCCCTCTCGTGGCTTCCACAATGCTAAGTCAAAGTCGAAAGATAAAGCAAATATGTAAAGAAAGGCAAGACCCTCCTCGCGCGTTGGCCGCGACGTCACGGAAATGGTGGGACGCTATTGGATGCGGCGGTGGCGGAGGGATATCTGATTCCCTTTGAGGGGCATTTGCCGCTACCTTCTTAACCTGTAACTGACTATAGGCGCAAGGTGGTGTCGGGAAGTGGTTTGCAACAGCGACCGCCATCTTAATACTCTCATGCTAACACAATCTTCCTTGTGAAGTTGGTGTTTTGTCTTATTCTGTTTTATTTTTATATTGCCACACTACGGGTTTTGGCATAACTTGAGCAGGGAACCTCTTTCAGAAATAGCTGCACAAGCTATTTGCAATGTAATGGCTCTTTTGGTAGATGCACGAATGCAAGCTGTAGTTCGTTCCCTCCTATGTTGACAGTGCGGTGGAGACTCTGTGCTTGTTGAACGATCCATACGTCTAGCCTTTGCCACGTGATCACTCCCTTGCCCACACCCACGTGCAAAAGTGGGGTGAGTCGATGAAAGGGAGACAGCCGGTTGGTTCCACGAGTGCATAGCTCCCACTGCGCTGTCAGCCTAGAGGTGAACGTAGCGTAGCAATTTATGTGGTGCGTTTTACGAAAAGTGAGGTAACTGTCTCGTCCAAAAGATGCTTTTATCGTCCGTTTTTTTTTTTGTTGGTTTTTTTTCACTTGGGAAACCAGTTTTGTGTACTCCTTGTTCACGGTGCTTGGACTGCATGTGAGCGCGATGCCTGGCTGAAACTCGCTGTGACTCACTTGCGGCCTTCGCAGGGGCAAGTGGACGGACGACGAAGTCGAGATGCTTCGGAATGCGGTGAAACGGTTCGGCGATGACCTGAATAAGATTAGCGATCACATAAAGAACCGAACCATGTAAGTGGGCACCAGAAGCAGAAGGTCAGCTCCGAAACGAAGAGTTGGGAAAATCTGATGTACACCAAACGCTTTCCAGCGCCATTGTTCGCATCTTGCCCGATAATGCCTGCACACCGACATTATGCCTATAGTGTAATGTTGCAGGTTTTGTTGCGTTGAGCTCCCACGCTATATAGCCAGGGTATTTTTGTTTGGTGTTCTATATTTCATAAACTTCTGATATTAATAAAAAAAAATGGGTGGTATATTTCTGGCTTAAATTTAAAAAGAAAAACAGTATGAACCTCCCCCCCTTTTTCATTTTCGGAATTTGGAAGATTTGGGGTAGTACTTCCTTGCATGAAGTTAAAGGAAAAAAAAGAAGAGATTCAAGGTTATTTGGCTGAAGGGGTAATTTACACAACAAAAAATTGCCATTTCACTTTTAGTAGTAATTTTTTGGTTGTAGAAATCAATTGGCTCCTTCCGCAATTGTTATTATATTAGCAATATGTGCCATTTTTTATTTCCATGTAATTTTAAGAATGAGGATCAAGAGACCATTGGTTTACCATGGCCGTGCAGATATCGAGTTTAACCTGGTTCCGACACAGCGTGTTCGGGGCACAGATTTTTGGTGATGTTGAGTCCTACCCCGGGAACAAGGAACCTCACGCTACGAACTTCTTTCATTCAGGGAAGATAGTGGTAACAAACATACTAGAGCAGTGTTACATCCGATCCGATCCACAAATGTTTTATGCATCATTCTTTCGCTGTGCGCTTTAAACAGTTCCGACAATGTTACAAAGCAGTTTCTCGTAGGTGGCGCATAGATTTAACCACGGAAATGCCGCACAACCCCGAAGGGTTTCAAGGCCTTCCTATGGTCAATGCCAGTGCGTTTTCTGGAGAGCCTAGATTTAAAAGGTAGCAACTTGCACCATGGAAAACGTTTGCAGTGTAATGCCAACCACCTCCCGTGCAGATCGGGTGCACGTGCGTGCGTAGCGGAGAGAGGAGGTAGCGGGGAGAGAAGCAAAACGGATGAAGGTGCTTGCAGAATAAATTTTTTGCCTCTTCCTTGCAATGTGACCGCAATTGAGCTGTTGGAAACGCTTCCTCTCATTGTAAGCAGTTGCCTTTACATCTGTAACAAAATGGTACGTGTTTGGGGAGAACGTACTCATTCGCCTAATTCGATCGCGGTGTTTGTCGCTTTTCCCACTCTTCGTTTTGGCCCGAGCATTGCCGACTTCGCGTTCGGTGCCCCGCCACGAGAGGGCACATGCCGCGGACCCTCTCTAAAACGGTTCCTCTGGGGGCTCCCATGCAGCAGCCAGATAAAGAACAGCATGAAGCGCAAGGCGTACGAGGAGGCCGGTCTGCCCATTAAGAAGCAGCAGCAGCAGGTGTCCGTAGCCCTCAAGGCAGCGCAGGAAGGAGCGCAGACCACCCTCGCGGGTGGGCTGCTTGCGCAGGCGGCTGGCGCCACTAAATCGGCAGGTAGGCACGTCAAGGACTGCCCTCGGACTATAGTAGTTGGTTTCACTTGTGAGCAAAGCCGAAGCTACGGGCACGAGCGTGTTGGCCCGCGAACGACGCTTGCACTGCATGAGTGTGCATGTTCGGCAGAGACGGTGAAAGCCACGTGCTCGCTCTTGCATTTTCTGCTATGCTCACACCTAAAGATTATAATAGTGAATTTCCTGGCATTTGCCAGGGTCAAAGGCAACACCTCGTGATGGTCTCGTATGCCCACACGCTAGCCGAGTCGGGCCACAATATTTGCGTGACCTCAAGTTTCGTAAATGTTGCATGTTGAGTGACTCGCCACAAAATGTAAAGGGGACACTCATATACAAAAACAAGCATTTGTTTTTTCGTGCAATAGCACTAAAAAATGCTGCCCCGATGCCATTCAGGAGAATAGTATACTCGTCTAGAAAAACGGATGCATTTAAATTAAAATCATGGTGGTATTGCAAAGGGATGAGACATCGGGCCATTTCTTTTGGCTTGATGTCGCATCCACAGAGGATAGCCATTATTTGTCACCACGGAAGGTTGTCAGAAGCCATGTATGCACATGCTCAGTTGTTGTGCCGTGACGCTTGTCTAACTGAAGGAGGCCTTTTCTGCTTCCAACAGACATGACGCTCAACATGCTGAATGCCACCGAAACGGAAGTGGACGTCGAAGGGCTCGGGGGCACGGGCAAGCTGGACTACGACAGTTCCTCCTGAGCTGACGCACCTCACCACTGCAAGGAAAATCACATCGCCATCATCATGTCCAACTTTACGTACATGCATGCCGGATTGTATGTACAACTGTCAGATCATGATCTTTGCCACCCACGCTTTGTCCCTCGTGTTAATAAAACAATGTCTTTAGTAGTGTGTCGGCAGATATATGGAGTTGCTGCAAATAGTCCAGTTAAAGGGACACGGACAGGGCATTTATGCTTGCCAAGGTACATGACATATGGGAAACCAACTACCCGGAACACAATTTGCAGCTTGAAATTTGAATTTGTTTTCTTTCTGCCCGAAAACCGCAGATTGAAAACTGTCAGGTTTGAGTTGCACTCCTTCTCTTCCCCGTGGTCACATACCTTTCTCTATGGTTTAGACACACACACCAAATATAGTCAAAGCTGTGAGTCATTGAAGGCACACACTCAATGTTAAAAATATAACAAAATGTGATACCCATTGTTTGTGGCTCCTAGAAAAGCTGGAAATATATTGATTTAAAAAAAAAAAAAAGGGTTGCTCAGAGAACCAGAAGCCCTCAGCATAATTCTCAACATGGCGTGGGCGTCTTGGGCTGGACATCGGAACAAAGCGGATTAAACGACGACGGGCGTGGGACCTCTACTTCAGAACTGTCGTTTGCAGTACTGGCGAATCTGTCTAGCTTCGAAAGAGAAACCATTTACAGAATAAAACAGAATTTACTGCATACGACAGACCCGACCACCAAGCTGACTTGCATGAAGATGTTGCCGAGTCGTTGTCTAGTCTCCTGGCTGAAGACCGCCCGCCTTACGAACACGAATTGGTAGGAATTTGAAAAACATGCAAACGTCAAGCACGACGTGCTTGACTTTTGCGTTTTTCGTGCAAGTTTTTCGGCTGCTTCGCAGAAGAAGAAAAACAGAAAAAAAAAAAGAAAGACGTTTACAACTTCCTGTAAGGCCGAATTAGAGCACAGCTCTTGCGGGGAGGGTATGGAGGGGGCGGTATGCCCCTCCTCCTCCATCCCCCTCCCTCCCACACGGTGCATTATGGGAAACGTCCCATAATGCAACGTGCATGTCACCGCGGTGCATTGTGGGACGTTTCCCATTATGCACTGTGCAATTACGGCTACGCGTCGTGCCGACGCATTACGGTTACGCCGACGCCGCTGAAGCCAGAAACAAGTGCTTAAGAGCTGCGCTCTAAAAAAAATGTGGTCTGGTGTAGTCACATTATCTTGGCAACACAGTCCACCACTACATTTCTCGCAAATACTGCAAAACCTTCAGTCCAGTTACCTGTACACAGGATGAAAGTGTTCCACGCCTCCCCCGCCAGTGGTCACAAAATATGATTACAACACACTGGTTCGCAGTCAAATGCAAAATGTGTAAACCAGCTTTGACAGAAGCGAACGACTGCAACAAGCGTGAGACTTTACTCTAAATTCCCAGGTGCCGACGGCTCATCATAGTCCAGTGAGACGTCCAATTCACCGTACAGTTCTCGCAGCGCGTCCAAAACTTTTTCCTGAACAAAGTCCACGTCTGAAGGCGGGCAGTACCCGTCTAAGCTCGAGCGTGCTATTGTGATGAGCGCGGGCTTGGCGTTTAGTCGTCCGAGAAAACGGGTGGTGCTCCCTATGAGAGCTAGGATCTCGTCGCGTGAGCTCACATGATGCGGCAGCTGCGAGTCCATGTCGCAGGTACAGCCGGCATCATGGATTAGCTTGGCTTCTAACGGCTCCCCCTTGGGAGGTCGGATTGTGAGGTCGTTACACAGATCTAGCAGGCGAGGGTCGACTTTGGCGTCGGCGACCGGGGAATTAACAGTGTCGTCTCTCAAATCAACTCCAGAGTCGGTATCTCGGTCGACTGGCTTCCCTAGTGCACAGACTTTGACGGAATCACCCGAATCGGCTTGCAGGTCAACCCCCGAAGTAGCTTCAGGGTTATTAATAGGACCGACTTCGTGGCAGAGCCCATTCAAAGTCTCAATGCTAGAACCTCTGTTTGACGATTCGGCGGTGGGTAGATGGCGCTGCAACTGTTCCTTGAGGTGCTGAAGCTGAGCCCTGCGTTTCGCCTGGGCTTTCTCGAGCAGGCCGGGGTCTGCAGTGGGGTCGGGAAACGAAGCGTGGTACAGCTGACGCAGCAGTTGCATCTGGGACTGACTCAGTACCATGGCAAAGGGATCCTGGGTGCTGTAGAAGTCGAGGTCAATGTCCAGCACGAAGCAACGATCCTCCGGCTGCCAGGCATTTCCTCCGTCGTTGGGTTTAGCTTCCAGCAGGGCGTCCAAAGTCTGTACTCGCAGCCCGAGTTCATGGCCCTCATCCACTTGGTGCGTCCACATGCACTCGCTCAGGAAGTAAGGCAGGGGACAGGTCACCCGGGCTTGGCCATCCTAGAGTAGATAGTAGATGACAAGCAATTTAAGCATAAACATGGGTTAGCAAAAAAAAATGTGTTGTGCCATATATAAGAACTCCTGATGTTTTGACGTGGCGGCGCAGCATTTGGCCATGTCGGCAGCGGTTGCTCTGGTTATACCGCTTGGCAATGCGATGCGATGTCTGCCAGTTTGAATTCGGCCTTGTGTTACTTGCCTCAGCCTTTCATACTCGGCTTGCGTGTGCCTTATGCAGGGGATCAAAGGGTCGCGAGATTGAACCTTGCATCGCTATGCATGTGAAAAGTACAATGACAAAGGCCACAGTACAGTGATGTGACTGCTCTGCTAAGGTGGAGCAAACCCCTATAAATGGGACAAACTAACTTAAATATATTTGCAACAAATTCGCTTGGCCCTGTATTGTGAAAACATAAATTAACACCACAAAGAGTGCCTATAGCTTGTTTCCATTCTGTCCGGTATGCTAGGAAAAGCTTGGTGTGCAAGCAGGTAGCTTTACAACAGGATTCTGCTTTATGTGTATTTGTGCAGAGGGTGTATTTGTACTGTTTTTCACCTAAAGCATTGTAGTGAAACCAAGCCTACAGGCATGAAATCTTGTATTGGCAAATTTTCTTTTGCACAGATGGCACATTTCAAAGCAAAGTGCTTGACATATTTTGCACATGGTATCATTCCCTGGTGACAATTACTTTTATTGATTACTCGCTTCAATGCACCGCTTTTATGGTGCAATGTCGACACAACAGAGAGGGAATGCTCGTAGTAGATAAACTGCTCGCATGGTAAGCACAACACCAAATTGGCACAAGATATCTATAGCCTTGGCTCTGCCACCCCTATAAGGTGAAACAAACGACAGCAATGACCTCGTGCTCACCGATATCATATTCAGCTAGGCTCCTCTTTGGCAGCGATGCGGAGAGCAAGTCATCTACTTCTTGCACAAGGGTTTCGGTGACTTTAGAATGACGCCGAGCTCTGATTGGCTTTGATTGAAAAGATATTGGGTAGACTTCAATGCTTAAAATCCACCCCCCCCCCCCCCCTTTTTTTTCCCGTCAATAAGAATTTGGCATTCTGACATCATTGCGACCCCCTGTGCACGAAGCAGACCAACTTGCGCTCCACATAGGTTTACCTCCTCCATCTGGGGATGCCCAAACAAACACCTTGAAAATGAAATTTGCAATGGTGTAACTATCTCGGTAAACATACACTTTCTGGCTTCTGCTCTGACCATATAGAAATTACTTCGTTCTTTCAGCTTTTAAGCACTGTTCAATAGGAGCTTGCTTGAAAGAATGTTTTTGTCCTTGCAGCACTTGGGATCGAAAGCAATTGCAGCATGTTGCCCTCTCTGATGCAATAATTGAAGTGAAAACTGACAGCAAGGGCGTTTTAAAAACCCACATGTAAAAGAAAAAGAAATTATCTCAATAAAAAGGTACAATGTCCTTATTGACAAGCAATCGTTTTCAGTTATGCAAAAAGAGCAAGCCACAAGTGAAATACCCCGCTGTGCAAATGAACATACCTAAAAGGCTTTGTCCGAATCAAAATCCACCTTATTTGCCTGTTGCGTAAAAGTGCACTAGCGAGCTACACTTAGTTATTCATTCAATATTCATTATGAAGTGAAGGTGTTGAAGGGTCCCCCAAAGCCCGCTGCAAGTTACATAATTGTTTCGAAGATTAAGTCATGCTAGTTAATGAACTCAATGGCTGCACGTCTACCCTGGGGTGGTGAACATCTAGCTTGCACACAAAATGGCGAAGGCTAGAAAAGCCAGATCAACAGGGATTTTAATGACAACAATGAATGTGCACCAAGCCTATCCCTATAGTCTGTTGCAGGTTAAGCTCCTCCCAAAAAGCTTTCTGCTTGCTAGGATTGCTGGTTTCGCCCTCCTCAACTATTCTCATCTTCATCATGCTCTACTAAAGTGTACAAACTGGTATGTTTTGTGGGAGGAGCATATCCTGTTTTTCTTAACCTGCAACACGCTATGGTTCTTCCCATATGAGCAGCTGCACTAACCAAAGTTACAAACATCCACCGCACCGTGGCGCCACCATACACCTCGAATTTTCACTGCTTTCACCGTACCCTAGAGCCGATGAGGAACTGTTGATCTCCGTCGGGCAGCTGGTCCGACCACGGAGACCGCACCCAGAGCACACGGTCGAGGTGTCCCGCAAGGGCTGCCGGCAGGATCCAGCTCTCGATGTCGACCACGTCGAGGACATGGTCCCGGTCCCGACAACGGGCCGGGTCCAGGCCAGGCGGTAGCACCAGGTCCGGGTGCGCGTCAAAGTGGACCATGAGCACCTTGGAAAAGGGTAGTTTCTTGCGGCCGATGGCCCGGTAGATGTGGTGCAGCGCATGGTGGTGCGGCTCGACCACGTACACCGGCACTGGTCGAACCATCTGTTAGTTTTGTTGTGCTGCCAGTGCTGCCGTTCAAGCAAGGCGCCGGGCAGGAATGCCTGGCATGTCTGCAGCCGTAATGGACATTTTAGTTGTCTTGCTGCATGGACAAGTTCATCTGCTGGTTCCACGGTTCTACCGATTCACAGCCTGCCGCATCAAAATAAACCGGCACACGATTCAGCGGAGTAACCGGCGAATGCAGGTCTACAGCAGCTTCGCCAGCCTTTGCTCTAGGAGGAACGAAGAACCAAGGGAAACACCGGAAGCACTGTGAACGACGGCCTGCGACCAGAGCTCTGCCTGCGACGGCAGTCAAAGAAAAACTGAAAAAAACTAGAGATCAGTGGGAAAAACTGAGAAAATCCTTATGGATAGAGAGATGAATTTGTCGGATTCGGATGCAGTACACGCCGCTCAGCGGAATACTTGCGAAGCACTGCCGCGCTCCTAAACTCCAGCCGCTGCTCCTGGCGCCTTGCTGGCCTTGCCTCGCCTGGCGCGATTCACTTTGAGTTGAGCTTCTCAATTCCCGCATTCCCGTCTTCGCGTGTTCGCGTCGTGAAGCAAATCGGCAACGGCAGGCACGCGAGGTGAGGTGCTGCGGTCCTTGCAGCCGCAGAAGCGATGGCCGAGGACGAGGCGCACCTGATCCGTGGGGAGCAGCCGCCGGCCCTAGACTATCCCCACGAGGATCCGTCCAGAAATGAGGACGACGTCGAATACGAGATGCCACAGTCGTGCGGCAAAGCATTCTGCGATCCCAGCACCCGGGCGCACAGATTCATCGTTCTAGTCTTCCTATGCTTTCTGTCCTTCGGTGAGTCACTGATCACGGGTATTGAGAGAACTCTTTCTGGCGTTCCAGGGGGCTGGCTCCGTGGAGGCTGTTGTTCTACAAGTTGAGGTCGGGCTGATCGGGCGCGCGGGCTGTCATGTAGAATCCACTAGTGGCTGCACGTTTTACACGTAGACAATTTCACGCTGAGCTGCTACAACGCAGGGACTGCAAATTGCAATAGGGAGTACACTGTAATACAATAGGTTCTTTACTGCTTTGTAATTTCTCTAACTACAGCTGGAGTAATACCATGTCGCAAAAGGCAACAGTAACAAACTAGGTTACCGATATACTGCCTCAACCCGGGTCCCAAATTCGTTTGGTATAATTTGAGGCCAGGGATGGGCAGTATTTCAAATACTTTGTGTATTTTGCATTTGTATTTAATTACAAATTGGGTAATGTATTCGACGTGTGTATTTAAATACTAAAACGTGGGTATTTCAAATACAGTTGTAATTAAATACAATTTTGTGGGCGAAAATACATCCCTCAAATTTATTGTCACTGTCCAGAGCGGGAAGAAAACTATGTTCTGCACCGAATGCAGTGTCTCTCGATCAAGCACAAGCGTTTAGTGACTTTGTGATTACGGTGCTAGTCTATGGCAAGAAGTGACGAAATCGACGTTCGCAGACAGACTGGCTAAATAAGTGCCTGTAACTACTTGTGCTGCTTTCCAGCCTGATTTCCATCCATATTTTTGCCTGGAACATTCTAGATGCGCGGGTCGTCCAGATTTTCGTAACTGGTGCAAGTTGCAACAATAAAAAATTTTCTAGCTAGTGCTGCGCGTCTTGGTCGTCTCGGTTTTTTGTTCGTCTATACCAAAATGTAATCAACATAAAAAGCTGCTTGAAGCTCTGAACTTTTTTCACCTATTACGTTAAAGCTGATTAAATTTTTTTGTGATTATATTTCTATTACGTTACTAGAGCCTCGCACACTAACTCCCGAGTGTGCGATGCAAAATTAAAATGAGATACCCAGAAACTCGTTGCAGGTGCCCTGAATTCGCAGACGCAAATTTTGAGAAATTTATTTGGAGAAGACCAAATACATTTGGTTGTATTTGTATCTTGTACTTAAATGTTTTTTTTTTGGAAATGTAATTATATTTGTAATTAAATACATTTTTGACGAAGTATTTTGTATTTGTATTTTGATACATATTTGCATGTATTTTGCCCATCCCTGTTTGAGGCATATCTCACGTGTCTTGAAAGATATTCCTTCTTCATTGATTTGCCATAGGTTCTTTCAGTTAAACTATATGTATATTAGCGAAGTGTGTATCAGTTAAGGTATGTGTGCGACAATTGAAGTTGGGGTTGATTGAATTGTGCCTCGCAAACTGGGGCATTTTAAACAGGTCAGTCGAAGTGTGTTTTTGTTCACGACCCTATGCCAAATGAGTGACCAGATATTCTACATCTGCAAACTTCCTGAATCCCAATGTCCCAGGCACGTAGCCAGGGCGGGGGGGGGGGGGGGGCCATAAAGCTTGCACCCTCCCCCCCACGAACTCTTCCATTTTGCTGGGACCTCCTCTCTGCCCTCCCCCCTCCCTCCCCCCTCATACAGCATTTTGTCATGGGCAGGCCCCGCCGAAACAAAATTCTGACTTCAAGCCCGCAATGTCCCATAGTGTTCCTCAAACCTATTGTTTTGACGGTGGATATAGTGTTAAGAGAATATTGCAGCTGAATTTCAAGTCAGCCAGGGATTTTTTATGACTCCAGATGGCACTGGATCGCCACCTGGAAGGGAATAGAACAAAGCATTGCAGAAAGTACACGGAGTTTCGTCAACAGGCCCAGATAATATCATTATCGAACTAGTGAAGATGTTGAGTCAGCAGTCTATGATAAAGCTCCAAGAGGCCATGGACAATATTTTTAATGACGAGAGAGTTTTAAAGGATTGGAGGCTAAGCAGGATGAATCTTATATACAGAAGGGAAAAGAAAGAAAGGCCGTGTTAGATCTCGCTGCTCAATAACAGTAACGTCGGTCGTATACAGGTTAGCAATGAAGGTTATGAAGAGTAAGATACAGGATTGGTTAGAAAATAACAAACACTAGGTGAACTACAAGACGGGTTCAGAAGATTAGAAGGTTAGGGAATAATTTCTCTTTAACGCAGTGCATCAAAATTGTACAAAAGGAAAGTCAGCCGATCTGGTTAGTGTTTTCATATATCATAGGAGCTTATGACAGTGCAAACCAGAATAAGTTGTGGAATATTTTAGGAAAAGCAGGGCTGGAACCGGATGTGATAAATATGTTAGACGTCTACAGGGATAATCGGGTGACAATATCATAGGAAGGTTAGAAGATACAACCAATAGTCATAGGCAGGGGTTTCGGACAGGGGTGTCTGCCGTCACTACCGCTGTCTATGGCATATTTGCATGGGTTAGAAGACAAGCTAGAGAAGAGTGGTCTCGGGTTTGATCTCGCCTACTTTAGCTAGGGGAAGAAAGTCCGAATGAATGATTCCAGGGCTAATGTATGCTAATGATATCATTTTAATAACAGACAACAGTAGATGTATACAGGAGCTGATAACAGTATATGTAGACAGAAAAGTGACGAGCTAGGGCTAAGAATTAAGTCTGGAGAAATTTGGAGTTATGGTTTTTATTGATCACAGGACAGCCCATATTGTATATACAAGGATTTGTGAAGTCGCAAAAGCAGAGAAATGCAAGTATTTGGGGGAATGGTTAAAGGAGGGCACACAATACCTCCAAAAGCACGAAAAATATCTGACAACCAAAGGCAACAGAAATTTAGATGTACTGAAGAAAAGAGCAGATGAAATTTTACGGATATGAAATACCTCCAAGAGCATGAAAAATATCTGACAACTAAAGGCAACAGGGATTTAGCTATACCAAAGAATATAGCATATGGAATTTTAGACATGAAATAGTGAGGGGTATCTGGAAAGGGGTTACGGTACCATTTGAAAATGCTGCCCTGTGCATGATGGCGGAGGTACAGTCAAGACTGGAGGTCAAACAACGTGGCATAGGCAAATTGGCTCTAGGAGCGAAAAAAAGAAAAAAAAAAGAAAATGAAGGTCTGCAGGGGGATATGGGCTGGTCTTCGTTCGAGGAAGCGAGGAAGGGGAGGCAAATAGAGTGGTTGAGGAAATTAGATGAAGAGAGATGGACACACACACACACACACACACACACACACACACACACACACACACGCACACGCACACGCACACACGCACACACACACACACACACACACACACACACACACACGTGTAGAAATGTACAAGGCAAGAAAAACTATCATTTAAATGAAAAGGAAATATTTGGCAACTCTTGAGGAGTATGTTATTGTTGGAGGTTAGGACATGGGTTTTCAGGATTGTGACGTACAGGGTCAAAATACCAGGAGACTGATACAACCTGCACATCACGCGAAGAGGCTGACATTCTCAGGGCCATAGGATTCAATGAGAACGATGATAAGGTAGGGACCAGTAAAAGAAAATTAGAAGAATGGTGTGAAAATTGAGAGATAGATAGATAGAGGTTAAAATGATCTAATGAAATTGGCTTGAGCATGATTTAATTTGAAGTAAAAAGAAATCGAAAGGCATTTACAACTTCCTGTAGGGCCGAATTAGAGCGCAGCTCTTGAGGAGGAGGAGGAGGAGGGGAGGGTATGCCTTTTCTCCTCATCTGTAGCATCTCCTCCTCCCCCTCCTCCCGTGCTCCTTTCCTTCTCCTCCTGCTCCTGTCTTGAGGTATTCCGACTTTGCGATATACGGTGCTAAACAATCTGAGAAAGATATATATATTCTGGTATTCTCGCTCACCACCTGTCCGGAGAAAGGCAATGTAGTTCTCGCGTCTGGTAGCTCCGCTCTGTCTAAGTTCTGCAGGTGCCAAAAAACAGGATCAAGGCGGGAGAACAAGACAGCGTTAAAGTCAGCATTTTGACGAAGCACGTGATACTCTCGATGTCATCCTACTTGCTGTCGGCTCTGTCGAACACTGCTCGGCGTTTTTGATTTCTTCAGCGTTAGTCTTGAGCGTGTTCCCCCAAAATGGCACAGCAAAACAGCAAGTGCATGTTCCTCGGGGCCAATGGGATGTTTTCCTGCGTGACTAGTATGAAGTTCTACGTCTTGCACAAAATATTTGGTGAGTGCTGTAGGCGAGAGATACAGAGTCACCACGAGCAAGCCGTTGTTGACTTTGGCGGCACAAAGTTTTAAAACTCCGTCTGACGTGCCACAGAGATCAATGGGTGCAGCACAGACCCTTAGCCATGTAGATGGCTACTTGGATAACGAATATACCCTGTTTTCATACGTGCCTCTCTGTGATTTATGGGTGGTGATATCACTTGCCTGCACAACTGGTAGCTGGCATTGCCCCTCCTCCTTCTCCCTCCTCCTCCTCCCCCCTCCTCCATCTCCTTACTTCCTCCTCCTCATCCTCCCCTTCTTCTTCCTCTCGTCCTCCTCCTGCACTGCCTGCATGTTGCATTATGGGATTATGGGACGTTTCGCATAATGTGACGGTTCCCATAATGCTACATGCGTTGCATTATGGGACACGTCGCTGTCGCATTATGGGAAACATCACATTATGCGAAACATCCCAACAGCAACAGCGTAGCCGCGTGTTGCATTATGGGAAACACCCCATAATGCAACGCGCTGTTACGGCGACGGCAACGTTTCGCATTATAGGAAATGTCACATTATGTGAAACGTCCCGATTGCGAGGTTTTGCACACCTCCCG